ATGCTGCCGGGCTCGGCTCCACTACCGGCAGGGCTGCCGCCGCCGCCAGGAGCGGCATCTCCACAAGGCAGCCCGCCTGAGGTCCTAGCCTCCGCCAGCGCGCCGCTGCCAGCTGCCCCGAACCCCTCGCCCGTGTCAGTTACTGGCGGCGGCAGTGGCGGCGGTAGTGCTGCCGCCTCCGGTGGCGCCGCCGCCGCGGCCCTAGGCTCGGACACCGGCGGCGTCGCTCATGCGGTTGATAACGCCGGCGCCGCAGCCCTGACGGCGGCTGGAGAGATTGACCCCTCGCTGTACGGCGGCCTTAACTCCACCGCTCTGGCGGCGTTGCAGGCACTCATGGACAGCAGCCTCGACCCGGCAACGGCCTCTGCCATGCTGGAGGAGCTTTCCTCCCTGGCTCCCTCTGGCCACTTGGGTGGCGGCGGCGGCGGCGCAAGCTGTGATCGCGGCGGCGTCGATCACGCTGAAAAGGCTTGGGGCCTAGGCATCAAGGCCAGCAGCGGAGGCGTTGGTGAGGATGACATTGCCGGCGGTGGCGGCGGCGATGCGGCGGTGGTTGTTGATGTACGGCGGCCGAGGGCACAAAGCGACGTCGGCAGCACTGCGGTACCCAGGTCGCCGCCAAGGGAGGCCTTTCCTACGGCCTCTCCCGCCATGCATCCGCTGACGTCGACGCCGACGCCGACAGGGTACGACGCGCCGTACTACCAGCAACAGCCGCCGCCGCCGCCGCAACCCAACCGCGGCGGGGTGCTCCCTGCTGGGGGCCGAGCTGTTGAGGCCGCGGGCCCTATGACCTCGTATCAGCAAGCACATTGGTACGAAAGCAGCAACATGCCCCCACAAGCGCTTCCGAACCCGCAGCATTCGCAAGTGCCGCCGTACAGCCAGCCGTCTGGCGCGGCGCTGCCGGCTGGTTTTAGTCCTGGGCAGCAGCTAAGGCAGCCGCCGCCGCCGCAACAACAACAGCAACACCCCCCGGCGGCAGCTGCCAGTGGTGGATGGCAGACACAGCACCCGCCTATGCGCACCGATACCGTTGCTCAGCAGCATCCTCCGTCATACCCGCAACGACAGCAACAACGGCCGCAACAGTTCCCCGCGTCCGTGCACTCGAAAGGGCCGCAGTACGTCCTGCCAAACATCCCGCCAGCCCCATTCGAGTCTCAACTGCAGCAGGCTCAGCATCACCCGCCGCAGCCACAGCAGCAACAACAACTCCGTCACTCGCCGGCCTCACAGCAGCACCAGCAGCAGCAGCCCTTCTTGCCGCATCCCACACAGCCTGCGCATCAACATCATCAACATCACCAGCACCATCAGCACCACCACCCTTCTCAACAACCACAGCCGCCACGGCCACAACAGCACCAGCAGCAGCAGCAGCAGTACCAGCAACACCCTCCCCAGCTCCGCCGCCACCACCAGCAGCAACAGCAGCAACAGCACAGACCACAGCCAGCAGCAGAGCAGCCGTTGAAGCGCGAGCAGCGACACGACGGTGCAGCCTCCTCCCTCAGCAACGCCGCCGTAGGGCTGTACCAGCAGCTGTTAGTGGACGCTGCAGGCATGGATGAAGTAGCGCCTCCACCGTACCAGGGTGTCGGCAGCAGCTCGAGGTTGGCTCATTTTGGACAGCAGGGCGACGGGCAAGGCTGGAACTTTGTTGGCCAACCAGGGATGGGCGGCGCTGCGAGAGGGCCGCCGCAGCAGCCTGCTTTGCACAACAACAACAACAACAACAACAACCAGAACAACAACGGTGCCTCGGGTTCCATGCCGCAAGCGCACCAGCGACAGCAGCAACCGCCGTACATGGCGGCGCCGTCGGCTTCCAGTGCTGAGGAGTTGTACGGCGCCACGCCATACCAAGATCCACAGCAGGAAGCCAGCGGCATTGCCCCACCGCTGTACAACAGCAACAGTCACTGGCAGCAGGAGTCATCCGCCATGCAAGCGTCTCCGTACCTCACGCAGCCGCCCACATTCGACCACCACGACAGCCACCCGCATTCGTCGGCTCACCAGCAGCAGCAGCCCTTGCTTAGTACGCCGCCAACACATCACGTGGCTGACCCGTACAGCAGCAACACGTACGACATGCAAGGTGGCGGCGCGGCATCTGCGGCGGCAGGGAACGCAGGGTATCTGTTTTCGGCGGGTGGGGACGCGGCCATGCCTTATGGTTACGCAGGCACCGCGCCTGGCACCGGCGTTGGATTTGGCGGCAACGGCAGCGGCGGCGGCGGGGGCAGCAACAGCAACTGGACTTCACTGCAAGGTCGCGTGGCGGCGGGAGCGCTCGCGTACGGCACTTCTGTGGCGGCGCCGTCTCGCATGATCAACGGCCGGGGCCTTGGGTTCAAGTCCTCTGGTGGCGGCGGTGGAGGCGGCGGAGGCGGTGGCGGCGGCACCAACGGGCCCGGCAGCAAGAAGGGACGCGAGAATCTGCCGAAGGCTGCGGTCAATGTAAGCTTTGGCCCCCGGCTGAAAGAGCTGTGGTCATCGGGTTGTGCCTAGAAAACGTGATGTTGATTCGTCATCCTAGCTAGTACGCCATGCTAACTCTCGTGTGGACAAATGGGGTAATATGTTCTGCCTTCCAACCAGTTCTGTGGTGCAAGCCGTAAGGCCCTTTGCATAGTCAGCATGGTTAACATCCGTGTAGGGCTCTCATACACACCCTTAACGCTCCCTCCTCTGCTGGCTGGCTTTGTTGGCGGCCTCGAAACCCCTCCCTGGAGCAGTCCCTCAAGCTATGGGTGTACAGCCACATCGTACATCCGTACCCTAGTGAGGACGAAAAGGAGGTGCTGTGCGCCTCAACTGGGCTGGACTTGCTGCAGGTGGGTTCGTGGCTGCTGGGGCTGCTTGGATATGGACCGGTAGTGTACGGTTATGCACGGGAAGCAAGCATCCTTAAGGAATCTTGGCAGCAGCCGACTGCCGTACGTTGGCTGCTGGAATGGGACTCGCCCGGTGGTAACACAACCCTGCCCTGCGCTTCCCTGTGGCTCCTGCGTAGCTGAACAACTGGTTCATCAACGCGCGCGTGCGCATCTGGAAGCCGCTCATCACCTCCGTCTTCCAGTCCAACCAGCCGCGGATGTCACAGGAGGCGCAGGTACGTCATTCCGCCAGGTAGTTTTGGGTCCGTCCATACTACTACCGGCACGTAGTTCGTTTTGTTGCCATACCACCATACCACATGGTTCACCGAGCGGCTTACGTGCAAGCGCGTGCCATGCTTCCGTACCAGCAGACCACGACAGTGCTTTCAACCAGGTTCATGTTCTCGGTACGCCAAGTCACCTTCATGACTGGCGCGAGAGCCGTCCTTTTCGCACCGCTGCTTACTTTGCTTACACGCAATGCGCACAAAAGCGTGTCTGTTGCCCGGTGCACACTGACATCACACTGCTGCTGCTCCCTGCCCTTCTTCTCCTGCCTCTACCTCCTCCCTCAAGGCCCGAGGTGACACCGAGCTCCTGGCCAAGATGAATGCCGCGCGCAACTCCCCTACCGCCCAGCTGGCCCTGGTGGCTGCGGACGCGGCTGCCCTCACTTGTCTGGAGCAGGCGGCGCAGCAGGCGGCAGAGGAGCTCATGGCAGCAGCCAAGGCGTCAGCAAGCGGCGGCGGCAACAAGGGAGGCGGTGCGGGGTCGGGCAGGCGGAGAGGTGGCGGGACAGGCGGTGGGGGTGGAGGTGGTAGCGGCGAGGGAGGGTCAGTTAGCATGGGGGGAGGGTATTGATGAGGTGGGTTAATTGGAGGGGTAGTGGCTGGGTGGTAGTTTTGCAGTAGTTACTCCTGGAATGCGAGCCGTGAGCACAAGGATGCGGAGCCGAGGCCGTTGAGGGCTGAATTGGGATTTTGTGTACAGACGGCGTGGTGTGGGTCACGGTGTGGGGTAATCGACTAGCCATGTAATGGTTGCGGTTTTGGGGGGAAGCGGCTAACTTGCTGTTGTGGTTGCATGTCATACATGGCTAACGAAGACTTTAGGTAAGAAGAGGCCTAATTTATCAGGAAATGAAATGTTGGCAGACCTGGTCACGTGACTGCCCGTGTTCCCCCTCATTATGGCTGCATGACCAGGGATGTGCTCGTGTTTGGTGTAGCCCAGGGTATAGGTAGTTGTGGGGTTTGGTGTTGTAGGTGTCAGCTAGGGCGACGAACAAGACGTGTCATGGACGTTGATTAGGTTTCACGCTTTGGTGACCCAGTGTTGGGTGCGCTTCCAGGTAAGGGGCTCCTATGACACTTGACGCGTGTCAAATGGTACGTACTAGTTGTGGACAGTTGGGGTTAACATGGTGCAGTTGCGCAGATGTGTGTAGCGTGCGCAGCCTAGCTAGTGTCGATGTTCAGGTATCAAGAAGTAAGTAAGGGTGGGTTAACCAGGACTGTGATGCTCTGGAAGGCGCAATGCGGGTTTCAACCGGCGCATGTACTTGCGTTGCTCCAAATCTCAGGGAAGGGGGAGCGTGTGAAAGCTCACTACTACACGAGCTAATCCTGGCGCCATGCCAAATTCCCGCAAGCCGCCAAACCACATTGCTGGCTATCTCCAAGACGCAATCAACAAGAACACAGATGTAAATATCATTCAGTGTACAGGCGACTACGTATCTCGAGGTAGTGTCACATACAGATGTATGGCTACAGCGCGCGGTTGACGACCGGTCAGTGGTACCACGGTCATCCGTGTATTTCTTAGGGTTAATATATAACACCTGAAAATTATCATATTCCGCTCTTGGGTCTTAGCGCCCTTGTTACAAGAAGTCGGTAATAAACTCTGGGTGCATTTACACTAAATTGCGCACACGAAGGTTTCCTTCTTTTTATTATGGGCTATACGCTTTTGAGCATTCCAGTTTGTGACGGACACATGGCCTATGCCCAGGAGCAGAGAACGCAAATGCTGTCGTGTACGGCAACGACTGGATTAGTCGCTACCCTACTAAGCCCAGTACCCCGACTTGCTGGCTGCCTTCTAACTTTTCTCAATTACAATTTTGCTGAGCTGTGAGCCTACACACACCTTCTACACTATGAGATACAAGCAGTGTGGCCGTCCCCAATTTACCTACCTCACACCCACATCAATTTACTGTTTAACTACAGATGATGCGAGCTACACTGACATGTTAAGCGCCGCCTGCCGAATCCACGTTTACGGAGGGATACGCAGTCGTAGTAGTTAGTCTGATAACGGAGTCTTACGGAGTCATAACCAACAATTTTGTCGCCGAAGCGCTGTAAACCTCACTTAATTGGAAAAGAAGTTCATCCTAGTTATTGCGATAACGCTTCTGCAGCGTCTGTGCTGCCGAACTCGGGAGGTCGGGACCAACACGGCTTGCTTGGTCGTCGGCCGCTTGCAGCAGCATCGTTAGTGGCTGTAAGCGCCCTCGAGACTGAAGCAGCCCAGATTTTTTAAAGGTATGGCATTCTGCAAGTTATGCAGCCATCTCCTCTTCGGCGTTTACTCGTCAATGTGCCATTTGTCGATTCCGGGCACTACGAAAGGACTTCGGCACTGTACATCTGCTACCTTCAGACTTAGGAGGCTCATGATAAAGCTCACATGCCTATCAATGGCTTCCTTTTTGGCGTACTAACATGTATAACTACATGCTTGTCCCTGGTCCACACAAATCTACACTAATCCCTCTCCTTACTATGCCTTGGTACTCTTGCTTATTCTCAGATCAACGTGCCCGAACTCGCGATGGGGATTATGGGGCGCCATTACCTGGCCATTTTACTCAGCTTTGCGTTTCTGGGCTCACCAATTGTGGACAGCCTCGCTGCCGCCAAGCCGGCCGCTGCCAGCACCGCCAACAGCGGACAGCAGCAACAACCAGCAATAGCAGCAGCTGTAACAGCTGTCTACATGCGCCAAGGCGCAGATGTACTTGACCTGCAGTGGGACCTTGCTCCGAGACGGTTGATACGGCAATTGAAGCAGTTGGGTTTGAATCCTAAAGAGATTGAGGACAGCAACCTTAGCGAGGGCGTCGAAGCACCATCCGTGGAGAGCGTTCTGCGGACTTTGCCGCATGGCAGCACGTATGTCATCCCAGCTCAACACGGGCTGCAGTTTTACTGCGAGGCTGAGAACATGGAGGCAGTGGCTTCGTTTCTCAAGGCGGGTGGTTTGGTCATCCTCTTGGATGCGAATGACGCAGACGGCGAGGCGGCCCGGCAGTTCATCACTAAAGCTTTGCAGTACGAAGGTGAGCAAAAGGGTGCAGCAGCATGTGCCACATCGGGATAGCGTTTGCACTGTGCCCGGGCTGTATAAGCATGTAACGTTCTTGTACGACAGCGCGCCTGTCCCGACCTCCAACTTGCTAGGCAAACATCAGTATACGCTGAACAGTTCATGTACCGAATACGCGTCTACCATGCAACCGTGTTTGATATGTCCCACTCTCACCATCCTTCACAACAGGTGGCTGGACTACTTGCGGCCGTACAGGCGACAACGGCCACAGCAGCCTGGGGGTTCCAAAGGCGGTCATGCCTTACGCGCACTCCTTCCTCCCCTCCGCCGGCTCCGACTCCCCGGGCTCTGCTGCCTGGCCGACCCAGCTGGAGGACGCGCGCTTGTTGCGAGTGAACAGCTGGTGCCACTCGGCGGACAAGCGGGCGCTCACCTGGCCGCTGTACACCACCGGGGACATGAAGCACGTGGCGGTGCAGGTGCGGAGGACAGATCTGGGGGTTCCGGGCAGAGCTGATATGCGCGCAAGCGGGAGCGAGACCGGTAGGTCCCTCATGCGATAATGGCTGCCTTCAAAGGCCGTCGTCGTTTCGTGACAGGAAAGGAAAGCAAGTCAGAAGGGGCCCTCTGTGTGAGGTATGCGGCATGGCGGCATCTATAACAAGGAAGCGCCCTGTCCCGCACCGCAGGCCTTCGGCAAGCTGGACGTCCCCGGTGCCGTGGTGTGGCTGGGCTACAGCTGGCGCGATGGCCCCCGTCAAGAGTGGGGTGCGCTGCTGGAGAAGCTCATCCACGACTTTGCTGAAGGTGAGGAGCGGTGGCTGCAGGCCAATGAGCTTGCAAGCATAAGTAGGGAAAGGGGACCGATAAGCTCCGGGCATTGCACCCGCGCAACAGCATGCGGCCCATAGGCAGGCAGGCCTTAAGTGTGATTGCAGGAAAGGCGCATGCGCCATACCATACCTGCCTGTACCGCCTCCCGATCTAACAGTTTCCTTCCTCATCCCTCGCAGGCCGCTACGCTGCAACCCCTCCCACAAGCACTGACCCCGTCACCGATTTTTCCGACGTTTTGGTCTCCGTGGATAGCATAATGGAGGCTGCAGCCGGTGTTTCAGAAGAGGCTGCTGCTCTTGTGCGACGCTTCCTGCAAGATACCGCCACGCCAGCCACGTACCCGCCGCCGCCAACTCCAGCAGCCACCTCTCCTTGCACCACCTGCCAATCCTGCCTCTCCCTCATGGCCCCCGTCGCCTCCGTCGCACTTGAAACCTCCAACGCCTCCATCCGCGCCTCTACCTTCCTCACCTCCTGCCTCGCTGGCTCGTATTCTTCCGTCTCCTGCAATTCCATCGCCGCGTCCATTCTATCCGGCACCACCAACCTCGCCGCTCGCGCCGGTCTGCTGTGCTCCTCCCTCGGCGCCTGCTCCACCTCCTCATCGTACTGTACCGCCCTTACCGTTGCCCGGCTGAGCAAAAATACCGGATCTTCCACCACCCTCACCGGATCTTTGGACCTGTGCGCTGCCGAGGGTGTCAGTGGAGGCACGGGTACGGCATTATTCAGTACGGCAGTGATGGGGGCGGGAAGCTGCCGCAACCCCGCGGATTGCATGGCCTCTGGGGGTTCTGGTTACGTGTGTGAGTTTGCGGCTAATGCAACTTCTAAGCAGACGTGTGAGTGCACTAACGGTCGCGACGTGTGCCGGAACGTGGGCACCTGCACGGCCTACTGCTCCCTCAACTCCACACTCGCCACTGTTGCCAGTCTGAATGCCGGTTCCACCACCTGCGATCCTGCCGCTCTGCTGCCTGGCCAATGCGCTTCAACGGAGGCCTGCGTTGCCGTACAAGGTTGCAGCCAGTGGCAGTGCGATGCAACCTCCCAGCAGCTTAAACGGGCGGCCTGCACTGGAATCTGTCAGCCGCTGGCCATGATTCCCACTTCTGCACAGATCGCGGATAATGGGCAGTCAGTTGCCATTACCCTCAGTGCAAGTGCGGCATCGTTGAGCCTCGTGGCATGCAGCGGCGTGTTTGACGATGCCAGTACGGCAGCGTTGGGCGGATCAGGCGCGCTGTGCAGCGTGAGTGGCACAACAATGACGGCGCGGCTGACGTCCTCGGCAACCCTGCTGGTGAGTGAGTGGGTCAGACCGGTCTTGGTTGTCAAAGATGGAACATTGATGCTTCCCGTGCTGGGCGTCACTGCCCTGCTGCCACTGTTCTAGAGCCGCTTGCCTGCCACACCTGTGTTGAAGCCGTTCTGTATAGGCAGTGCTGGTGCAGCTACATTATTTAATTACATTTGCTATCGGCTAGTAACCCACTTATTACCTTATGCCCACCCCTGCCCACCCCATGCATTACAGGCTGGTCAGCAGCTGTCCATCCGGTCATCGGGCTCGCTTCTGGTGTCGCAGCTGGACCCCACTCGAGCCTTCAACGGCTCCGTCTCAGTGGCAGCATGCAAGTCCTGTATCGTGCCGCTGCCCGTACTCACCGGCCCCACCGCCATCAGCACGCAGCCCTGCACCGCAGTCAGCTCACTGGTCTCAGCGGGGTCACAGGCGCCCGTGTTTGATGCGTCGCTATCGGTAGACCCGTCTGGCCGCGCCACTTGGGCCCACGTGCAGTGGATACTGCCAGCTGGGTACGGCAGCCCGGCCAGCCGTGCCGTACTGCAAGGTGCTGTTGACCGAGCTAACGGCATGGAGCTGAACAGGTAAGGAGACCGGTTGCTGGGTGACCCAGAGGACATTAATAGATTAACAGGTTGGGTGGACAGCAGGGTCTTTTGCGGTACTAGAAACGACACAGGCACGGCTGAAACCCTGACACTACATTTTCCTCTTGACGAACCATGCGCGCAGACATCGGCTACGCCTGTCGCTGACGTCCTCCGAGGTGTCATCGCTGGGGGCCCCCGCGGAGTACCGCCTGCAGGTGCGGCAGCGTGAGGCCTCGCTCAGGATACACTGCTGTGGGTTGTGGGCAAATGGTGCCATGGGCTGCTGCCGCTTTTAAAGTCTTTAGCTGTCCCTTACCGTCCTGATGCATGACCCCGGTGGCCCGACCACGCACCCTCCAAACCGGCAGGTTGTTCTGGAGTCCTGGCTGGGCACCTCCGCCAACGCCACCCTCGCCTTCACCACTGTCACCGTGGGCAGCAAGCCCGTGGTGCGGGTGGTGGGACCCACCTCGCAGACCTTCCGGATAGGCAGCGGCCTGCAGGCGGGCGCTGAGGCTGACTCGCCATGCACAGGTGCGTGGCATGACGCGCGGCCGCACACGTCTTCGATCTTCCTGCACCCCTGTATGTGCTGATCCGAGAGCGCGCCTGAAGCCGCTGCCGGAGCTGCACGTCAGTGCTGCAGCGCCTAGCTGTACGGCAACGGCATTTTCTGCCTTTAGAAGCTTCCTTTTCCGTCCATGACTGCTCCATACTGCAGGTCAATCGCTGCAGTGGCGTTGGACATCGCCCTCTGGCTGGGCTGGGCTGCCGGCTGCTGGCGTGTCGGGGCAGCAGCTGTATGTGGCCGGCCCCGTGCCGGCAGTGCATGGCCAAACGATTGACTTGCGGATTACAGCCAACTATGGAGGCGGTAAGCAATGGGCAGTGCTCGGTATCTGGGCTTCACTACTCTGGCGTGTACGGGCAAATTGCTTTTCTTGTGCCGTACTTGCCCCTGGCCTGACGGCTTCATGTTCGGCCCCTAAAGCGCCAGCAGGTGTTTGAGCCAAGACACTTCACATTTTCCTCCCTTCCCCTTCTCCTATGTGAAATGCAGATGCCGACACAGCCACTGCTGTCGATATGGCCTTCACAGCTGTTGGCTCCACACCCGTCGTAGCCCTATCCGGGCCTCCCTCTGAAGTCCCTGACAATACCACCATCGTCCTCAGCGCCACCGGCTCCTACGACCCGGACACCACCACCACGCTGCAGCGCCTGACCTTCACTTGGTCATGCGTGCACGAGGACTACCCTACCCCCTGCTTCTCAAGCTCGGTGCAAGGGGATGCTGACAGCGTCCCCGGCGTGTGGAGCATCCCTCCAGGGCTGCTGACGACCGGCAAGTGGCACACCTTTTCTGTTACGGTCGCGAAAGAGGTGGCTGCGGGCGCTTCAGCGCTGCAGGCGTCGGCTTCGGTTACGTTCCGGCCGCGGCCTGCCGCCGATCGCTTCCCTCGCGGCACTCTGACACGGCAGTGTGCCAGCGGCATGTGCACCGGCCCGCACAGCACGGATGCGCCCTTGACGGTTATGCTGGCCATGGCGGCTGGCTACAGCATCTCCAGCGTCCTATGGACAAGTGCAGAACTGCCTGGCCTGGGTGCAACGGCAGCAGCAGACAGCTCGGCACAGTCCAACGCGCGTTTTCTGACAGTCCCAGCCTCACAGGTGCCCACCAACCGCCTCAGCCTTACCTTGACGGCCACCATGAAAACCCCGGACGGCCTAAGCGGAGAGGCTACGATCACGGTGCCCCTCAACTCTGGACCATACTGTAGCCTAGCCAGCTCTGCTGGCGGCGACATCGGCTCCGTTGCCGCCTCCGCATGTCTGTCTGCGGAAGCCTTAGACGACGTCTTCCCGAAGGCGGCCTTTGTCATGCGGGCTCAAGGCTGGGCCGATGGTCAGGATTCCCAGCTACGTTACGAATATGGGGTCCGTAACGTCCGTGGCGACGGCCGCGTTGTGGATCAGATGTACCAGATTGGAAGTGCTGCATCGGCGACAATAACCGGCCTTTCACAGGGCAATGTCACGCTGTACGGGTGTGCCATCGACAGCCAGGGCTCCCGTACCTGTGGCGTCCTCAACGTGGCTGTGAAGCCGCCGCCCGCGGACTTCGACGCCGTAGCGGCGGTGGCGTCAATCGACGTGGACCTCGTCCTGCAATGGAACGACGCGAGTGCACTGCTGCAGGCCGGGCAGGCTCTTGCAAACTTGCTGTCAGCCGCCTTCAGCAGTACCGCTGACTCCACCACTAGCGGCAGCGGCAGCGGCGGTGGCGGCGTCAACGCGACTGCCCTCGCTGAGGTTGCTGACAAGCAGGGCATGGCCATTGTTAACGCCATCCTTGGCCGCACCACCATGGCTGACCCCGCCGAGGTGCAGCAAGCCATCGCCACCATTTCAGCAATTGCTGAGAGCACCTCCTCCGCGCTGTCTGATAGCTCCAGGGAGGCCATCCTGCAGGCCGCAAAGGCCGCAGCCACCACGCTCTCCACTACCACAACCCCTCCGACCAGCATGTTATCTCAGGTCTGCCTGTTGTTAGGGGTCTCCATGCCCGCAGCAGCCGCCTCCGGGGCTCAGGCACCTACAGGCAGCCGGCGCCGTGCAGTGCTAGCATCTTCCAATGGGGTTGCTGTCAGCAGTGCCTTGTCGCGACTACAAGACTTCCTTGCCGTCGCCAGCGGGTTGGGCCATGCGCTGGGGAGTCAGGCAATCCCAGGTGGAAGCTATTTGGCTGTGGGCGACGGCGGTGTTTATGTGTCTGCTGCGGCGTTGGTTGCCTCGGCTGTTGATGCAGGCAGTAGTGACAATGCGACTGTATCGGTACGCCTCAGCGCCGGTCCTGAAGCCTTGGTAGCAACCCTAGCAGGCAGCAACAGCAGCAGCACTGCAGCTAGGCGCCTAGCCTTGGCATCAACCGGTGCTGCAGCAGCCTCTCATCGCCGGAGCTTGAATGCAGCAACAACATCGTCTGCCACAACCAGCAGCAGCGTTGAGGCAGAGATGGTGCTTGCCGGGACCGCAGCCAGCACAGCCTGTGGGTACGGCATTGTCCTGCAGTACAGTCCAGCGGCTTCATCCGCGCTAGGAACGGTGCTAGCCGGCTCACTCTCCGACTCGGTCGCCGTCCTGCCTACCGGACTTACGACTGTTTCTTGGAATGCCGCGCCCACCATTAACACTGCTGCTGCTGCCGCCCCCCAGCTAGACGGCAATAGCAGCTACCTGCTGCTTCGTATCCCTGCGCCTGGGTACAATGCCACGAAGGCGACAACCTGCCTGTCGTACAACGTAACCACAAACACTGCCGCTGACGTCGGCGCCAGCTTCATCTCGTACGACAGCCTTACCGGCTTGGTGACCTGTCGTACAATGATCATGGGAAGCTACATTCTTACCCAGAACTCGGCCTCACAGGGTCAAACACCTGCTGGCCAGCAGCAGTTAAACTCTACCGCGGGAGGCAACACCAGTAACAATGGTAACAACGATGGCAGCTCTGCAGTAGGTGAATCCGGAGTAGAGACTTCAGCTGACAACCGCAAGATCTCGAATGCGTCACTCATTACCGGGCTTAGTGTCACCGGAGGTGTCCTACTCATAATTACACTAGCAACTCTTGTTATGCTAAAGGTTGCTGCATACCGTCGCCAGCGGCAGCAAGATTTCTCACCCCTACCTTCACCGGAGGCACCGGCAAACCTAATTATGTACAACCCAGTCGCCGAGCAGCAGCCATCCGCCGGTGGCGCATCCGCATGCGTATCTCTGGAGATTTCGATATCTGAAGGCGGCGGCGGCAGTGGCGGTGGTGCTGCAGCAGTCACGCCCTGGTATTCAATGGGCACGAGACGGACAGGCATACCTCCGGCGTCGCTGCCGCCGATGGCTACGATGCCGCTAACAAGGTCATCGCCAGGGCATCTCTTGCGGCAAATTAGGCCGGAGCCGGTGGTACTAGAGGGCGGCTCGTCATCGTCCTCAATGTTGACCTTGGCGTCGGTGTCTACATTGGAGCGGGGCTCGGCGCAGTCAGTGGGTACCGGTAGCCATGTGCACCTACCTATGCAACCCGAACCAACGCCCCTGCCAGCTGTCCTCCCGAAGGTGTCGGTGTGCGGCAGCGTGTTGATTGTGACGGATGCACAGGATGAGGAAGGGACATGCGACTTGGATGCAAGTCCTGGGCAGGAGAAAGTGAGGTTTGGTGGAGGACCCAGTGGTGGCGGCGTCGTGTCCAAAGGCAAGGAGGAGCCAGGCTTTACGCGTGTGTCGGGAGCGGGTGATGAGAGCAGGCGCGGGTTGACTTGGCAACAGCAGCAGATGTCTTGAGATAGCGTACGGCAGGGTTATGTCGGGCACTAGCGTCAGGAGGGATTGCCAATTTTAGTAGTCTTGGGATGATACGCCGCTCTTAAATAAGGATGCGAGCTGAATTATGTTGAGCACTGATATGTAATTATTTTTGGGGTTATTATACCAATGCTGGAAGTTCAGGCGGCACAGTCCTTCTCAACGTTTGTACGGCAGCATATTGCTGTTTTGAGATTGGCAACCATGCATGGACGTACATTGGTGTACTTATATAATCGTGCTGTAGGCCGGGGGGCAGTTTTCCTTACGTACGATGTAGTATGTACCTAATGCATGATGGCATGCCAGCAAAACATACAGGGTCTCGAATAACGTGTTGATGCGCTGTTGTCGTTGGAATGTCGTACGGTAGAGAAAGTCCGCATGTGCTTGGATTTCCTTATTAAGCTACCCGTGACTTATATCGCAATCCCAAATGGGCGTACTAGACAGTGGCAGACCGACATGCATGATAGTAGCAGACTGTGGCAGACCGACATGCATGATAGTAGCATAGTGTCCGCGTAGGTTTAGTCGACTAGGTCCTCTGATGTACTGCGCTCATTCAGACGTACGGGACTGACTAGTGTACCCAAACTTGCCGTACGTATGGCTTGTGTTTTCTCCTGAGACTCATTACGATTATTGAACCGGCACTACTTCTACATTATAGGAACGCTTGGTGATGGGTTGATGATATGAAGCGATTTGGGGAAGTTGCAGTGCTACGAGCAATCCAACTGCAGTAGGTTTTGCTGGCTTGGCCGTCTTGATGGGAGACGTACGACCAGGGCCCGCCCACGTCATTCAGTTTCTTGCTTTCATGATGTCAGGGAGGATGTGGGCACGTCATGGAGGTGATGCAATACTCGTATCCCACCCTAAGAGCATTTTTCCGCGACTCAGGGGCAGAGTCACTCTGAAAGCCTACAGCTGCCCAAGGACCCTAGTTGCCACTGCTGCTGCCGTGTGTTGCCGTATGACGCTGACACACTACACTTTGACCGCACAACCTCTGCTAACGGATGTGTACTCAAGCTGTAGACGGTGCAATATATCGAGGCTGGCTATGCGTGGGGAAGTAATGTAACGTGGTAATATCCAAGCACATTTGTACACCTAAGACTTATCAGCAGTCGGAGACCGTGGCTTGTTGTTGCCGTACCAAGTTCTTGCTTGTAGCGGCAGGTCAGGGTATAGGCACAGTTAGCTAGGGGTTGCTGACCTCATAGACGTGCGAGCATGAAGGGCCCTGATCCCCTGAAGGAACACCTGGAATCCGCATGCCCGCGCGTGTCTCACAACAGAATCCCTGTCATCATAGATCGCCACAACCCGCGTGTGCAACACGATTTCCCTCCGCATCTCCTCCTTCACCCTCCAGCCGGGCAGTTCACCACCCGCCTTCCTGCAGTACAAGGCGTCGTAAGGGATGCCATGCAGCTTCAACCACTCTCTCATTTGCACCTCGCAGCACCCGTCGCGCCACGCACATAGTATGATTCGGTACCCCTGTCTGTGATGCGCCAGTAGCGTTTCCTTGGCATTTTCGACAACCGCATCCTCCATCACTCGCTCCCAATCGTATGCGTTTCTGCGCTTGTTATCAGCAAGCGTACCGTCCAAGTCGAAGATGTACCCCTTGGCCAGGGTTTCGTCCTGTGTAAAGCGGGGTAGGAAGCACCTCATCGAACCGCATATCCTTTTGCAGCCGCTGGAACCTCTCAAATTGGAGAGCAGGGATTTGACCACCACCTCCCAACAACCCCCCCCTTTTTGAGCGAGAGCTGTAGCCATTATTTATTGCCTTCGCTACTTTGCTCATGTTACCAAACGCATCCGTGAACTCGCAAGGGATCCGTGAACTTGCGAGTTCACGCAAGGGACATTCGAAAACCAGCGGAGGCGCGCAAACAAGCCGCCAAGCTTTAATTTGACTTATTGGCTTGCAGTGCGTAACGATGGCAACAGTTTGGCTTGTGACATCATTACTTGCTGGCAGCTTCAGGTCGGCAGGCTTCGCAAGAGTATATATACCTCTGTTGAGTTACGGCAAAGGTGACGGACTTCCGGCCAAAGGGCACCGGAGTCGGAGCAATTTGCAAAAGTATGTAACTCCTGCCAATTACTTTCATTATTTTCAGGCAAAGTCGATCCAGGCCGCGAGCTCGCTATTGCGACAAGGACCAGCCAGCTGGGATTGACCTAGGTTTTGTGAGGCGACTATGATACGTCAAAAGCACAATCAATACGAAAGCCGATGTCTGTAACGTTGGTCGTGTACGCAGTGCAGGTTTTGCCATGGAACTGGAACGCCGTCACAGCGCCCTGGGCGAACACGACGTGGGGTCAGCTTGCCACACCATAAGAGCGCATTGCATTGCGTATAAACTGGTAAAATTTAATTGAAGCATGCATGTGTTCAACATTCGGGCGTGTCCCGGTGTCCGGGTCATGCCGCGAATGTACGGTCGAGTCGACTGAAGACTAACGATGCAAGGTGCCCTTGCTCCTAAAGAAAACGATACTCATAGCTTCAATACTAGATAAGACGGAAAAAGAACTGAACCCTTCGGGCGCTGCTTTTGTTTTGCGAGGTCATTTCTGACCCACATTGCCAGATAGCTCTAACCCGCTACCGCTTACGAACTCAGATATACGGCTAATGCCAGTTCTTACATAACGGTTCTGCCTCGACGAAATCTACTTTGGCCGGGCAACGTCGTCGCGGCGCCCACCCATATCAGCTGCCGGAGCGCTGCCGGCTCACGTGCAAGCAACCACTGGTACGTTAGGCGCCAACCTACTCTGCGCTTATTGTGCTATTCTGGGCCCGTCGCAGTACCAGTGCGCCAGTCGCATGCCTGCGGTCAGTTGTATAAGCAAGAGTCCCCCGACTGCAGCGTTTTATAGGTCTTACTACCTTATAGTGCACTTCTACTCATTATAGGGATAATACTAAGGAAGTACTGTCTGTTGGCAAACGGCAATTCTACCTCATTACCTGCAACGGCCTAGCCAGCAAAGGCATGTGTTGCTTTAACAACGTCGGCTAACAACCGCGAAGGGAAGACCACTGTTTCATTCCTTCTGGAGAGTCCTCTCTCTCTTTCCGTCTGGCTTCTGCAACTCTAGGGGACGCGACATCTGGGGTGCTGAAACGGTTTTTGTAAGCAAGTATAGTAGCTGAGCCCGTAACAAGTCTTAATGTCAGAGTTGTCGCATTCAGTCAAATTGGAGATGGCAGCTGTCTGATACTAATAATGTGATAAAGTCTTCCCTTTCTTACAGCAAGAGCATGTTTGGTATAGATAAATAAATGTTAGTTCATTTATAATTGTAAATGGCCATTACTTGTTCTATGGTCATGTATTTCTAAGAAGCCTATGTCGCTGCCCATCCTCATGTCTTTGCTCCCCTCTACCGTTCCCCAGTCCGCATACATGCCAGGGCAACATGCTGAACCCAGCATGGCGTGCATCGAGCAGTGTGCAACGCGGGCTCCCAGCAATTGCTTCCTCTTTGGCGCTTCTTTTATTAAGCTTGACAGTGGCGGATTGCCTGGCCGTCGGGAATGCCGGCGCAGGGGTAGCCAACGGCTCTCCCCCAGCAAAGGCTGCTGTCTACATGCGCAAAGGCGCAGACGTACTGGACTTGCAATGGGATCTTGCTCCTAGGCAGTTAGTACGGCAATTGAAACAGCTTGGCTATGAACCTCTAGAAATTGAAGATAGCAACCTCGGCGAAAATGAAAGTGCGTCTAAGCTCGTGGAGCGAGTGCTAATGTCTTTGCCGCATGGCAGCACGTATGTCATCCCAGCCCAACACGGGCTGCAGTTTTACAGCGAGGCTGAGAACATGGATGCAGTCTCTTCGTTTCTCAAGGCGGGTGGCTTGGTCATCCTCTTGGATGCGAACGACGAAGACAGCGAGGCGGCCCGACAGTTCATCACTCAAGCTCTGCAGTACGAGGGTAAGTAAGCTAACAACTTTGCTAAATGGCTGGTGGCAGGTGCTTTCGCGCTCGTGCTCGCGCATGCATGGGGTGCACGGTAATGCTAGCCACAATGCAGCGTGTTCCCACGATCCCTCGCACATTCCTTGCTGTTACCCTCGCCAGCAACCTAGATACCTTACCACCCGCCTTAGCTGACAAGTCTCATCTTGGGCTTCTTTGCTTTCCATGCCTTCATTACACCAGGTGGGTGGACCTCCTGCAAGGCAACAGGTGACAACGGCCACAGCAGCCTGGGGGTTCCAAAGGCGGTCATGCCTTACGCGCACTCCTTCCTCCCCTCCGCCGGCTCTGACTCCCCGGGCTCTGCTGCCTGGCCGACCCAGCTGGAGGACGCGCGCTTGTTGCGAGTGAACAGCTGGTGCCACTCGGCGGACAAGCGGGCGCTCACCTGGCCGCTGTACACCACCGGGGACATGAAGCACGTGGGGGTGCAGGTGCGGAGGCTGGTTGGGGGAGACGAACTAAGGGCGGGAATGGGGTGAAGATGTCACTTCTGTAAGGAGGTATGATTGAAGAAGTAGGTTTCTTGCTAGCTGCCGTGGTGCGTGGAAACAGATTGCACGCTTGCATGGGTGTACGACAATGATGGCGAATCGACCCAGCCTATCATGGCTGCCCACTCGTTTGTGCTTTTAACTGCCGTTGTGACTGATGGTATCGGGTGGCCATCCCTCTGCCGGGATTGTGGCCGCCTAGGTCCCACCCACCCGCCCGGGGTCGCGCCTAGACAGCGAGTGGGGTGTTTGCTTACGTTTCGCCTCCCGAGTAGGAGGTTGGTATGAAAGGGCTTCCTGGATGCCGGTCCCTCAATGAAGGGGGTCAATCGCCAAATTGAGGTGCAACACTGGATGCTGTCAGCACGATCGGCCACTGGTGCATCTTAAACATGGGTTGGGGCGTCGGGATGTGTGGGTTAGGGTTGGGGTTCCTGGTTGGTGTGGAGGCGACGTACGGTCGGTTGGCTTCGGCTTACATTATCTGTTGCAACGCATCACAGCAGCCAGAGCAAGAAATGGTCAATTAAGATAGCGCGTCTGGTATTTAAGCCTGCTACAGACAGGGTGCCCTAACCAACGTGGGTTCAGCTTTGACTTACCGGTATGTTTCACCGTTATTTGTATGCCCGGCACCGCAGGCCTTCGGCAAGCTGGACGTCCCCGGTGCCGTGGTGTGGCTGGGCTACAGCTGGCGCGATGGCCCCCGTCAAGAGTGGGGTGCGCTGCTGGAGAAGCTCATCCACGACTTTGCTGAAGGTGAGTGGCTGCATGTCCCATGGTGCCACAACATTGACTGAGCACACGGCAGGAATGGAGACTCAGGGACGTAATGCTGAGTTGTCATGGACCAAGGCTTGTCAACCCCAGGCCTGCCCGTCTCTACATTAGGCATGGAAGCTTATAGTCTAAGCCTTCCGGTCCCGTTCTACTTCTGTACAATTGTATGTCATTTGGGAATCCACCTCTCACCCGTCGTCACCTGTTCAGCCTGGCTCTAACTTGCTTGCCTCGCAGGTCGTTACTTTGCAACCCCCCACACCAGCCACATCTTCAGCACTGGCGTCGATGACGACTCGGCCTCCATCGGCGATGTGCTTGCAGCAGATCACGAGGATGCAGCTTCTGTGGATACCTTGCTTGAAGCAGTGCCGGCGGTATCAGAACACACGGAGAAAGCAGTGCCAGCGGTATCAGAAGACACGGAGAAAGCAGTGCCGGCGGTATCTGAACACACGGAGAAAGCAGTGCCGGCGACCTCAGAACACATGGAGAAAGCGATTGCGAACGACACGGAAGAAACAATAATGTCAGCGACATCAGAACACACGGAAGCGCGTGCGAAGGCTGCTGTTTACATGCGCAACGGCGCAGACGTACTAGACTTGCAATGGGATCTGGCACCAAAGCAGTTAGTACGGCAACTGAAACTGCTTGGCGTTAATCCTGTGCAAATCGAGGATAGCAACCTCGCCGAAGGTGACAAAGCAGCTACACTCGTGGAGGACGTCCTGCAGACGTTGCCGCACGGGAGCACGTATGTCATCCCAGCCCAACACGGGCTGCAATTTTACAGCGAGGCTGAGGACATGGAGGCAGTTTCTTCGTTTCTCAAGGCGGGGGGCTTGGTTATTCTCTTGGATGCGAACGACGAAGACGGCGAGGCGGCCCGACAGTTCATCACTCAAGCTCTGCAGTACGAGGGTAAGTAAGCTAACAACTGGCTAACAACTTTGCTAAATGGCTGGTGGCAGGTGCTTTCGCGCTCGTGCTCACGCATGCATGGGGTGCACGGTATTAATGCTGGCCACAATGCAGCGTATTCCCACGATCTCTCGCACATTCCTTGCTTTTACTCTCGCCAGCAACCTAGATACCTTACCACCCGCCTTAGCGGACAAGTCTCATTTTGGGCTTCTTTGCTTTCTCTGCCTTCACACCAGGTGAGTGGAGCTCCTGCAAGGCAACAGGTGACAACGGCCACAGCAGCCTGGGGGTTCCAAAGGCGGTCATGCCTTACGCGCACTCCTTCCTCCCCTCCGCCGGCTCTGACTCCCCGGGCTCTGCTGCCTGGCCGATCCAACTGGAGGACGCGCGCTTGTTGCGAGTGAACAGCTGGTGCCACTCGGCGGACAAGCGGGCGCTCACCTGGCCGCTGTACACCACCGGGGACATGAAGCACGTGGCGGTGCAGGTGCGGAGGCTGGTTGGGGGAGACGAACTAAGAGAGGATGGGAATGGGGTGAAGATGTCACTTCTGTAAGTTTCTTGCTAGCTGCCGTGGTGCGTGGAAGCAGATTGCGCGCTTGCATGGGTGTACGACAGCGATGGCGAATCGACCCAGCCTATCAGGGCTACGGTTTGTTCCGTTTCTTTTGCAATGTAGGGTTGGGTTCATCACCCGTGTTCCCTTTTTAGGGCACCATTGTAACGGTCATTCATTCAGGGCTGCCCACGCGTTTCTGCTTTTAACTGCCGTTGTAATTGATAGTATCGGGTGGCCATCCCTCTGCCGGGATTGTGGCCGCCTAGGTCCCACCCACCCGCCCGGGGTCGCGCCTAGCGAGTGGGGTGTCTGCTTGCGTTTCGCCTCCCGAGTAGGAGGTTGGTATGAAAGGGCTTCCTGGATGCCGGTCCCTCAATTAAGGGGGTCAATCGGTAAATTGAGGTGCAACACTGGGTGCTGTCAGCACAATCGGCCACTGGTGCATCTTAAACATGGGCGGGGGCGTCGGGATGTGTTGGGTATGTGGAGGCGACGTACGGTCGTTGGCTTCGGCTTTCATTATCTGCGGTAACGCATCACGGCAGCCAGAGCAAGAAATGGTTTATTACGTTAGCGTGTCTGGTGTTTAAGCCTGCTACAGACAGGGTGCCCTAACCAACGTGGGTTCAGCTTTGCATACCGGTATGTTTCACCGTTATTTGTTTGCCCCGCACCGCAGGCCTTCGGCAAGCTGGACGTCCCCGGTGCCGTGGTGTGGCTGGGCTACAGCTGGCGCGATGGCCCCCGTCAAGAGTGGGGTGCGCTGCTGAAGAAGCTCATCCACGACTTTGCCCAAGGTGAGTGGCTGCACGTCCCCCGGTGCCATAACATTGACTGAGCACACGGCAGGAATGGAGACTCAGGGACGTAATGCTGAGTTGTCATGGACCAAGGCTTGTCAACCCCAGGCCTGCCCGTCTCTATTTTAGGCATGGAAGCTTATAGTATACGCCTTCCGGTCCCGTTCTACTTCTGTACAATTGTATGTCATTTGGGAATCCACCTCTCACCAGTCGTCACCTGTTCAGCCTGGCTCCCCCTTGCTTGCCTCGCAGGTCGTTACTTTGCAACCCCCCACACCAGCCACACCTTCAGCACTGGCGTCGATGACGACTCAGCCTCCATCGGCGATGTGCTTGCAGCAGATCACGAGGATGCAGCTTCTGTGGATACCTTGCTTGAAGCAGTGCCGGCGGTATCAGAAGACACGGAGAAAGCAGTGCCGGTGGTATCTGAACACACGGAGAAAGCAGTGCCGGTGGTATCTGAACACACGGAGAAAGCGATTGCAAACGACACGGAAGAAACAATAATGTCAGCGACATCAGAACACACGGAAGCGCGTGCGAAGGCTGCTGTTTACATGCGCAACGGCGCAGACGTACTAGACTTGCAATGGGATCTGGCACCAAAGCAGTTAGTACGGCAACTGAAACTGCATGGCGTTAATCCTGTGCAAATCGAGGATAGCAACCTTGCCGAAAGTGACAAAGCAGCTACACTCGTGGAGGACGTCCTGCAGACGTTGCCGCACGGGAGCACGTATGTCATCCCAGCCCAACACGGACTGCAGTTTTACAGCGAGGCTGAGAACATGGAGGCAGTTTCTTCGTTTCTCAAGGCGGGGGGCTTGGTTATTCTCTTGGATGCGAACGATGCAGACGGCGAGGCGGCCCGGCAGTTCATCACTAATGCTCTAGAGTATCAAGGTATGATGTGGAAACCTCACGGCATCACGAGTAACATCGTGTATACGTAGTTGATGTCACCAATTGACTAATGTGGTTTTACAACATAAAACGTGGTGCATGCAAATGGAAGTCGTTATACGGCGCGGGCTCATTGTTGTGCATGCAAACAGTGGAACCCGAGCAGGTGTACCCGAGCAGGGTGCAAGCTGGAATCCCTGGAAGCCTTGGCCAACGGGCCGCTCAGCAACATACTCAAATACCGCTGCCACGACATAAACGAGCGTTTACGTACACACTTGCACGGGTCACCGCTACCTCGTTTGCTGTTGCCTGAGCCGGTTACACAGATGCCGTACAACGTCACACTGAATGAATGAATGACCGCAAACACGAAACAACACTGCATCTTTACCTCCTTTGCATTCATTGTCTTCTTGCCAGGTGGCTGGACTACATGCGGACGTACAGGCGATAACGGCCACAGCAGCCTGGGGGTTCCAAAGGCGGTCATGCCTTACGCGCACTCCTTCCTCCCCTCCGCCGGCTCCGACTCCACGGGCTCTGCTGCCTGGCCGACCCAACTGGAGGACGCGCGCTTGTTGCGAGTGAACAGCTGGTGCCACTCGGCGGACAAGCGGGCGCTCACCTGGCCGCTGTACACCACCGGGGACATGAAGCACGTGGCGGTGCAGGTGCGGAGGACAGTCTGGGGGTGCGCGGGTAGGGATGGCGGCTCCAACGAGCGGCTTAATAGGAACGGCTGCGTGTTATTTACCCGTATGCTTAGAAAACTAGCCGTATTTATGTCCGGCGCCGGCATGTAAGCCTGCCCCTGTGCCCATCCCTTGTAGCTTATTTGTTAGCACCATATGCCCCGCACCGCAGGCCTTCGGCAAGCTGGACGTCCCCGGTGCCGTGGTGTGGCTGGGCTACAGCTGGCGCGATGGCCCCCGTCAAGAGTGGGGTGCGCTGCTGAAGAAGCTCATCCACGACTTTGCCCAAGGTAAGGAGGGATGGCTGCAGGTTCCATGGCCCTCAATAAGCAGATGCATGCCGGGAACGGAGGCCAGGGAACTGGCAAGCAAGTTTGGATAGTTCGCGCTAGTCTTTGGGCGGTCACGCGTGCTGCTGCGGCCTACCGCTGATTATCCTGCTTTCGTTCCAGAGTAGTACATATACGGCGTCACGGGTTTCGCTTCTATGCATGGGTATTCTTGCGTAAATCCCTGCCAACAAATGCCCATCCGGCCGCCATTCCATTGGGTATTTTTCCCTCGCAGGTCGTTACTTTGCAACCCCACACACCAGCCACACCTTCAGCACCGGCATTGACGATGATTCGGCGTCCATAGCAGATGCGTTTGCGGATGACGACGATGCCTCCATGGACACTTTGCTTGAAGAAGTGCCAGGGATCTCGGAAGGCACGGAGGACATTGTACGTCGCTTCCTGGAGGTCACTCCAGCTACTTACCCGCCGCCACCAACTCCCGCGGCCACCTCTCCTTGCACCACCTGCCAAACCTGCCTTTCCGCTATGGCTCCAGTTGCCTCTATCGCACTTGGCAGCACCAACGCCTCCGTCCGCGCCTCTACCTTCCTCGCCTCATGCCTTGCCGCGTCCTACTCCGCCGCCTCCTGCAACTCCATCGCCGCCTCCATTCTGTCTGGCACCACCAACCTCGCCGCCCGCGCCGGCCTGCTGTGCTCCTCCCTCGGCGCCTGCTCCACCGCCTCATCCTGTACCGCCCTTACTGCTACGCGGCTTACGGCTGGCTCCTCCACCACCCTCACCGGATCTTTGGACCTATGCGCTGCTGAGGGCGTCAGTGGAGGCACGGGTACGACATTACCCAGTACGGCAGTAATGACGGCAGGAAGCTGTCGTGCAACCTCGGATTGCGCCGTTAATGCCACCGGTTACGTGTGTGAGTTTGCGGCTAATGCAACTTCTAAGCAGACGTGCGAGTGCACCAACGGTCGCGACGTGTGCCGGAACGTGGGCACCTGCAATGCCTACTGCTCCCTCAACTCCACACTCGCCACTATTGCCAACCTCAATGCCGGTTCCACCACCTGCGATCCCGCGGCTTCGACCGCTCAGTGCGGCGCACTTGAGACCTGCATGGCTGTGCGGACTTGCCAGCGCTGGGTATGTGATGCAACCGCGCAGCAGTTAAAGCAGCAAGCGTGCTCAGGGTTGTGCCAGCCGTTGGCCCTGACACCTGTGTCAGCCCAAGTTGCCAACGATGGGCAGTCAGTTGCCATTACCCTCGGCGCAAGTGCGGCATCGTTCGGCCTTGTGGCATGCAGCGGTGTCTTTGACGATGCCAGTACGGCAGCGTTGGGCGGATCAGGCGCGCTGTGCAGCGTGAGTGGCATGACACTGACGGCGCGGCTGACGTCCTCGGCAACCCTGCTGGTGAGTGACTAGTGGGCTGCTAGCATTGCCGTGAAAACCCAGTTATTGTGTGTTTTTCTGTATTAACTTTGCACCGCTGATAACGCGCATCACCTCCTTTGCTGCTGCGGTTCTCAGTTACACGTCTTCCAACCTGCCCGGCTAAATGCTACTGTCTTGTTCGAACACACTGCAGGCTGGTCAACAGCTGTCCCTGCGGAACTCTGGCTCTCTCGTTTCGGCAATCAACTCCACTCGCGCCTTCAACGGCTCCGTCTCAGTGGCAGCATGCAAGTCCTGTGTCGTGCCGCTGCCCGTACTCACCGGCCCCACCGCCATCAGCACGCAGCCCTGCACCGCAGTCAGCTCACTGGTCTCAGCGGGGTCACAGGCGCCCGTGTTTGATGCGTCGCTGTCGGCCGACCCCTCCGGCCGCACCACTTGGGCCCATGTGCAGTGGATACTGCCAGCTGGGTATGGCAGCCCGGCCAGCCGTGCCGTACTGCAAGGTGCTGTTGACCGAACTAACGCGCTTCAGTCAACGAGGTGAGTGTAGTTATGGGGCTTTCAAGTGACGACGGATTTAGGCCTGTAGCCACCGCCTGCAACTGCCGAGCAGCCATGCTAGGATGCACCTACGCTTCATCTGAAGCAGCACAGCAGCACTATGGGCGGTGCCTTCAGGCGTCACAGCAAACCGTCAATCAGAATCTGCTTTCCAGTGCCCGTTGTTGAGGCTCAAGTGGTCCTTCTAGCTTAAAGCAAACGTGTTAGTACTGTTCGTACATTCCCGCATGATGGGCAACCGCGACCTTTCCCCGCCGTCACCTTGCGTGTGCATGTCTCAATCCTCACATTACACCTTTCTCCCACGACCTATGCGCGCAGAGATCGGCTACGCCTGTCGCTGACATCCTCCGAGGTGTCATCGCTGGGGGCCCCCGCGGAGTACCGCCTGCAGGTGCGGCAGCATGGATCCTGGGTTGCGAGTTGTGGGCGAAAAGGGTCAGAGGCTACTGCCGCCATTCGTATCTGTTCCTACCCGTGTCCTGTCTCGTGTGCCGCCGCCAGGCGCTTTCGTTGCCTTTAGCTGTGTTTACCGGGCTGTGTCCCGTACATCATGATGCATGACCCCGGTCGCCTTCCAAATAAACTCCGCAGGTGGTTCTGGAGTCCTGGCTGGGCACCTCCGCCAACGCCACCCTCGCCTTCACCACTGTCACCGTGGGCAGCAAGCCCGTGGTGCGGGTGGTGGGACCCACCTCGCAGACCTTCCGGATAGGCAGCGGCCTGCGGGCGGGCGCTGAGGCTGACTCGCCATGCACAGGTGCGTGGCATGGCACGTGGCCGCACACGTCTTCGATCTTCCTGCACTCCTGTATGTGATGTATAATTCGAAATCCTATAGCCTATAGCCGCTGCTGGTGCCACTGCTGCAGCGCATAGCCGTACGGCAACGGTGCCTTCTGAAGCCTCCTTTTCATTCCGCCCATGACGGATCCTTACTGCAGGTCAATCGCTGCAGTGGCGTTGGACATCGCCCTCCGGCTGGGCTGGGCTGCCGGCTGCTGGCGTGCCAGCGCAGCAGCTGTATGTGGCAGCTCCCGTGCCGGCAGTGCATGGTCAGACTATTGGCATGCGGATCACGGCCAACTACGGAGGCGGTGAGCACCGTGTTTTGGTTGCTTGTTGAAAGGACAGACTTGATTGGTGCTAGAACCTGCTTTTGGCCTGTTTCACAGCCTTAGCAGGAGTCCTGCGTTTGAATCCTGCCTAAATGTGTTTTCCCAACCCTGATACGCAGACAACACCACGTCTTCCACTGCGGACGTGATCTTCACAGCTATTGGCTCAGAACCGATTGCCACGTTGAGCGGGCCCTCCTCCGATATTCCAAACAACATCTCCTTCGTCCTCAACGCCACCGGCTCCTACGACCCAGACACCACCACCACGCTGCAGCGCCTGACCTTCACCTGGTCATGCGTGCGCGAGGACTACCCTTCCCCCTGCTTCTCAAGCTCGGCGCAGGGGGATGCAGACAGCGTCCCCGGCGTGTGGAGCATCCCTCCAGGGCTGCTGACAACCAACGTTTGGCATACATTCACCGTGACGGTGTCAAAGGAGGTGGCCGCTGGCGCTTCAGCTCTACAGTCATCAGCCACCGTGAAGATTCGGCCACGCTTCTCCGCTGACCAGTACCCGCGCGGTGTCCTGTATCGGGAATGTGCCGGCGGCGTTTGCACCGGCCCACACGGCACCGATTCCGCTTTGACGATGATGTTGGTGATTGCCAATGGCTTCTACGACGCCAGCGTGGAGTGGTACATTGAGGAAATTCCTACCGTGGCTGCAATCGCGGCGGCGGGCGGCAAGAACAACTCCGGCAGCAGCGGCACCTACTTCCTTACCATTCCCTCCTCACAGCTGCCAAACAATCGCGCCACTGCAACCATCACAGCCACCATGACCACCCCGGAAGGCCTCACGGGTCTGGCCACTCGCACTGTGCCCCTCAATTCCGCCCCGTACTGCAGCCTTGCTGAAAGTAGTGCCATCAATAGCACCGCTGCTGCCGCCTGCCTAAGCATAGAGACGTTGGACGACACCTTCCCGACGGCAACGTTTGTCATTCGGGGTCAAGGCTGGGTTGACGGTCAGGATTCCCAGCTACGTTACGAATTTGGGATCCGTGACATTCGCAGCGACGGCCGGATCGTGGATGCTGTCCGCCAAATCAGCACCGGATTGTCGGCAACAATAACTGGTCTTTTGCAGGGCGATGCCACATTGTACGGATGCGCGCTTGACAGCTGGGGATCCCGTTCCTGTGGTGTCATTACCGTGACGGTCAAGCCGCCAGCAGCTGACTTTGACTTGGTGGCAGCGGCAACAGCAATCGACGTAGACCTTGTCGTGCAATGGAACAGTGAGGGAGCATTGCTGCAAGCCGGTCATAAGCTCGCTAGCCTGCTGCAATCAGCAACCAGCAACAGCTCAAGCGGCAGCGACACCACAAACACCGGCAGCATAACTACAACCGCTGACACGGTTGCCATCCTTGCTTCACTCGCTCAAGTCGCGGACACTCAAGGTGTGGCGCTCATCAGTGCAATCCTCAACACAACCATCATGGAGGATCATGACCAGGCGCTAACTGCCACCACCTTCATTTCTGTCATCGCGAGCAGTACCTCCACAACGCTGTCGGATAGCTCCCGGGATATTATCATGGAGGCAGCAAAGGTCGCTGCCGCCACCCTCTCCAACGCCACCACCACCGCCACCACCAGCACCCAATTCCTGTCGCATATCTGCCAGCTGCTCGGGATCTCCCTAACCACTTCCAGCACAAACAGCACCACGGCGGCCTCCTCCACCGTCAGCAGTAGCCGCCACCGTGCATTGCTGCAGGATGCCTCTAACGGAGGAGCTTGGAGCGATACCGTCAGCCGTGCCATATCCCGACTTCGGGACTACCGTACGGTAGTGGAGCACTTGAGTGATACACTTGGCGACCAAGCGGTCCCGGGAGCCAGTTATATGGCTGCCGGTGATGCTGGTGTGTACGTGTCTGCCATTGCGCTGCCGGAGCCCGCTGACAAGGACTACCCGATGACTTGGGCTCGCGTCCTCGCCGGTCCGGAAGCCCTAGCCGCTGGTACAAGCAGCAGCAGCAGCGCGACTAGGCGTCAGGCCATGGGAACGACCCGCACCGTCACCCCAGTGTCCCATCGCAGGAGCCTAAGGGACACCGCATCAGCCTCCACGACCTCGAACAGCGCTGAGGCAGAAGTGGTGTTGTATAACGAGGCTGCCAACAATGCGCCAGGGTACGGCATTAACCTGCACTATGCCCCCATCTCGTCGACCATGGTAGCGACAGCGCTATCGGCCTCACTGCCCGCCTCCATGGTCGTCCTGCCTACCGGAATTACAACCGTTACTTGGAATGCTGCACCCACCGTAAACGCGTCGGCCGTCCCTCAGCTTAATGGCTACTTTCTCATCCGCATTCCCGCGTCTGGCTATGACGCCTCCAAGACAACAGCGTGTATGTTGTACGATGAGACTAATAACACGGCCGTTGACAACGGCGCTACCTTTGTGTCGTACGATGAGAGCACGGGCCTGGTTACGTGTCGTTTGTCGGGCATGGGGAGCTACATCCTTACCCAAGCGCAGTCTCAGCTAGCTCAGGAGCCAGTAAAAGCCAACACTACCTACTCAAACGTCCCCAGCAGCGCTGGCAGCGGCAACTCAACAATCGGCTCACAGTCCTCTACAAAGGGGTCCAGCATGCTGCCCATCTTGCTGATCACCATCGCCTGCGGCTCATTCCTCACGGTCACCGCAACATGCTGCCTGATCATTGTTGTTGCGGCGCGTCGTCGGCGGCGGCAGGTTTCCCCTGAATCGTCTCAGAACTTCAAGACGTACAACAATCCTGCTTCTGCAGACGGATCTACTGACGACACATCCCTGACGCCTGAACGCCTTACAGCCACCGGCGATGGGGCGCCTCAAGCATTCAGTGCCGAAGGGTTGCCTGTGCCCCCGCTGCGGCCGGTCACACCCCAGCCCGAGCGGCCTGCCACACCGCCACCGCCTTCCATGGCGACGCCACTGGATGCTGCGGCGTTAGCAGCGGCCGCGGCGGCAGCAGATAGACCATCGTCTTCAAGACGACTGGAGGCACGCACCTCAAGTCCGAACGCACCCGCTGAGACCATTGTGCCGCCGCCACGGCAGCCGTTTGTGTCGCATAAGGAGTCAACGGTGGTGCACCTGCCCCCTATCAGGAACCCAGCGCTTCGGAGAGAGGACGAGGAGGGCCCCATTGGCATGGAGGCAGAGGAGCCAACGGCGGTACACCTGCCCCCCATCATGAACCCAGCGCTTCGGAGGGAGGACGAGGAGGGCCCCATTGGCTTGGAGGCAGAGGAGCATGGGGCGATTAACTGGTCCGAGCTGCCGCACCGAATCGGATCGGAGTTGGGCGGACCATCGCACACAGCGAACCGGCGTGAGAATGCGCGTGGCTGGGCTCGGCCCCCGCCGCAGGCTTAAGGTTATGATTGGTTAGGAGTTTAATAGCAAGGTGAAGGTCTGAGGGGTGTGGGAGGCATCGCCCCCCGAAGCCGCTTCGCGGCGGCGGGGGCTCCGCCCCAAAAGAGCCAGCAGCATATGCAGGTTGGACTTGGGACTTGGGACTTGGGGGTACTTGGATGATGGCCTTGAGGGCTGAAGGAAGGAAGGTTTCGCGGGGTGTGCGAGTTAGGTGGTGATGGGTAGTTAATGACCTTATATGCTGTTGCATTGTTGCGTACTTGGGACATGGTCGCCGGGTCGGATCTTACGTTTGCTCGTTCACGTGCCTGCTCAACAATCCGCCTAAATCTACCGGGGTGCGTCAACGTTTGCGTCCCCAATTCCTATCATCGTCACGGTTTTGGGTTCTACCTACAAATGATGATCGTGCTTTCAGCTGTTTCTCATTATTGTGCAAGGTGTTCATGCATCGTCCAACCAGGACTTGCAAGTCATTCAAGTGGGCTATAAGTGCGCCTGCTCGTGTCCTCAAAAACCGCACTAAAACCGCATTTGCGGATATGTTCCGCGCCGCCTCAACGCCTTGCTTCAGCACTGGTTTTGATTTCGTTTATATGCACTCAAGGGATTTCGTGTGGATGGGACTGACGAGGACAGAAACAGTGACAAGCCGTCCACTGCTCAAGCAGCCACGTGTGACTGGGGTTTGCCGGAGTCTTGGACTGATCTGGATTGGTTGAATGAATGACCGTTACAAAGGGGCGCTAAAAGGGAAACGAACACGGGTGATTGGTTGTGGACGTTTGAAAGCAGCTGGGAGCCCGCTGATGACATGTAGTACGGCGCTGCAGTGACGCCATGACACGGAGGGTGTGCATTGCCAGACGGAACCACTTAACGCCCGTTTGCTTGGAGCATATGCTATACGTGTTTTCCGATGCATTCGGCGGACCAGATATTCATTTGTTGGTGAATGGCTGACGTTTCGTTTGTGAAGACCTGCTGTGTGTGCTGGGGTCGTGCTAGGATGTTGCAGTGGTTCGTTCTTTTCCTGGAACGGGAACGTGGAAGACCACGTGCATGCTAGCTGAACAAGCTGTGTGACCATGGTCTGTGCTGGATTGCTGCTGTGTATTGGGCATATGTACATGTGAATAGCTTTCATACAGTTAGAGCACAACCTAAAGTGCTTCATGCATGACGTGTTGCACGGGCTGTATGCCGTTGAAATTTGGCTGCTCGCAGGGATGGTTGCTTTGGCTGGAGTTTCCAAGCAAGACGGATCGTCGGTGTGTGGCAGAACGATGCGAGTAAACGCATGCCGCGCTCTTTGTTTATTATGCCCACATAGGCTGTGCGTGTGTGCTTGCTTTGCTTTTGGCTCGCTGCACGACTTACTTGGGTGCCACCGCTGCCTCCTCGTACATACAGAGGACTTGACGTACCGTGTTCGTTTTAACCTATGCATATTCATGTATTGTTGTGCATTCGTAGATGTGACTTATATAGGGCTGCTGTGTAATCCTGGAATGCTACATGCTTTCATGCTGCAGTTCTTTCTGCTACTTGTGTGTGTGTGCTACATACCGCCGTGCGTTAAAGTGACCGCCTGTGCGTCAGAAGCCACAGAACTGCTCCCTGCTGCGGCTCACCGTATTTGTGGGGCCAATCAAGGGCTGTTATCGCGTTGGTTCATTTGTTACTGTAAGCAGTTGTAAGGAGATAATAAAGCATTACATAGATGGCGCTTCAGCACTTCAGCTGCTATTTGTCAGGGGTTGCCTGGGGACTGCTACGTAAGATAACGTAACCCATCCTCCCACCCAATACAGTGCAGCTACGGCCTTGTGCCCTTGTCTAGGCGGCGGCTACGTGTCCTACCATGATTACTTGGACCGTCCGCTCCAACCCTCTTTGACTTGGTGAATGCATGAACGAATGGCCGTTACAATGGTTTCCTAAAACCTATGATACTTTACCTGACAGCCATAGCTGCAGCGTGTCTCTGTATCACCGTATCAGCGTAGCTCAGCATCACAGCAAACTACGATGACGACAAATATTCACAACTATGCTCCCAAGCGACCGTCATAATCCGACCACGTAATGCATTCGTGAATTGGGAACTCAGCAAGGACGGATGGCACGGGGCGTGCTCGAGCCTGTTGCCGTGCGCACCTTTCCATGCCCCGCTATTCAGCACACGATTTGGCACTGCACTGCACGTCACGTCATGGACCCAAAAGTTATATGCTATTTCATTCCAGTAGTTCACGCCATCGCAATAAGCGACCCTCATGCAGCGGTGCATGCATGCAACCCTCATGCGCTCCCCGTTAGCGGCCTACCCACAACCCACAACAGCAACCTCATTCGCCTACCCCTGCTGCAGTCGCTGCATCTTCAATCGCAACCGGACATGCACACCTGAAGCCATTCCGCCGCTACCGCCGCCGCTGGGTTCAGCGGCGCCTCCGCCAACGCCGCGGCCCGCAGCACGCCCCTGTGCTTCCGGTCCCCTACCGCCTCGCGTTCCCGCCTGTCCGCGGGGAATATCCCCTTCTTCATCCGTTCCTCGCCCTGCTCCGCCTCGACCGCCAGCTGTTTGGGGGCATTCCGATGAAGGCTCTTCCTTGACTGCCGGCGGCCGTACACCCGTACAGCAGCCGTCAGCGCTAGCCGTACGGCTGCTGCCGCCCCCTGCTGCGCCCGCGCCTGCTGCTGCAGTTCCTCCCTCTCCTTCAGCGTTCCTTTCGTTGCAGTCCTCGTCGTCGTCGGCTGCAGCGGTGACCTGAGGCGTACGGTTCGGTTGATGTTTCGCTTCTGGACGCCGTGAGCTCATCCTAGCTCCTCTGTTGTGGCCAGCACCGGCGCCATCACTGCCGTGTACACCGTTACCTCCACTGCCACCGCCGCCGCCACCGTCGTTGCCTTTATCCATGTCACCGCCCTTGTCGTACCCCTCAGGGTGGGGCTGAGAGCCGCCGGATACCTTCCCACGTTCATCGCCGCTCCCATCGTCGTCAGGAGCGGCGCGCTTGCGGCCACGTGCGGATGCCGCACCGTACTGCTGCGCTGCCGCTGTACCAAGGTCGCCGCCGCCGCTGCCGCCGCTGCCACCGCCGCTGTCTCCAGCACCACTGCCATCCTTACCAGCCATCTTCATCTTCATGACGCAACCGGCATCATTCCTGGATTGCTGCTGGGAGGGACCCCGCAAGCCGCCGCAGCCGTTTGCACTAGTCATGGTGGCAGTACGGGTCACCTGCAGGGTATCGGCGGCGGCGGCAGCCGCCGCCGCCGCTGCGTCAGCACCAGTGTCAGCACCGCCGTGGCTGAGCCCGCCGCCACCGTCCAGGCGTGTCGCCGCAACGGAGCCGTCCTCCTCAGCGCCATTGACGGCCGCGAGGAAAAGGCCGCCGGCGCCGGCGCCGCCGCCACCGTTGCCGCCGCCACCGTTGCCGGGGGTCTGATGTGACGCTGCTGCTGTTGCCGCAGCCGCAAGCATGGCGGCATGGGTCGCTTTGGTGAGCGGCGTGAATTCGTTACAGCCCAAATGCTCCATGTCACCGGCCATGCCGCCGCCGCCGCCGCTACCGGCTCCGTCACCGCTGTGAACCAAGCGCATGCCGGGGCTGGTTGGCCCGCCGGACTTGGGAAGATGCTGCTTTTGCGGGTTGCCGCCGTTGCTGCCGCCGACGCCGCTAGGGACAGTGTCGTAGCGGGATGTGGCAGGCGTTGCCGGATCGACTTGAGGATTTTGCCGGCCTATCCATAACTGCTGCTGCAGCTGCTGCTGGTGTGGTGGGATGTGCGGGCTTCGAGGCTGCAGCAGCGGTTGTTGCTGCTGGTAGGAGTGCTGGTGCTGGCGTTGGTGAGGATAGTGGTACACCGGCTGACGCTGCTGCTGCTGCTGTGACAGCTGTTGCATTTGCAATTGGTTATTGTGTGGCTGTTGCTGCTGCTGCGGTTGCGCTTGCAGCAGTTGCTGGCGCTGCTGTTGTTGCTGCTGCTGTAGCCGCTGGTGGTTATCCAAAAGCTGTTGGAGATCGTGTTGGGCTGATGGTTGTTGCGGTGATGGCTGCGAAGGAGGCGGCGGCTGTTGAGCTTGCAACTGCTGCTGTGGGCGCTGGTGTGGGTAGTAGCGCTGTTGATGTTGTTGTTGTTGCTGCTGCTGTTGTGCCGGAGGAAGCGGGGTTGGTTGCAGTGGCCTTTGTGGCTGCTGCGGCGGTTGCTGCTGCTGCTGTTGCTGCTGCGGCGGCGGCGGCGGTTGCTGCGGTCCCGTGGGCAGTGAGAAGGCACTTGGTGAAGCCCCGACAGCCACTGCCAGCTGGGCCTGCGGGGCAAGGGCAGCGACCAACGCAGCGTCAATGACCAGCTGTGAGGTATGTTCATGTTTGTCGCATGACCACTATGATCTTCCAAATTGTTTCCTAGTCCGCATGCTTCACTACCGGACAAACAGCGAGGCAACTATCACCTTGCTATAAGATAATAGCAGGCTTGGCGAGAATACGTTCTCCTGGCGCCAAGGCCCAGTCCTTGCATTTTATACTTCCCATCGCCAACGAAAGCACTTTGTGCTGCTCAAGACACAACCTATGTCTCCTGGTTAAGCCCTAAGCTGAAGGCCTCCTCCCGCCAGTTCGACACTGTACCCACGCACGCACCTGAACTGCGATAGGAGCCGCCAATGTCATGACGTGACGCGCGTGAGTCGTACTCAGCCTTGCAAACTCCTGCAACTGGCAGAACATGCGGTGCAAGCAACCCAGCAGCCGTTGGTGCTCCGACGCGGCGGCGGCGGCCGCCGCCAGCGCCCCGTTCGCGCTGCCGGAAGCAGCAGTCGCCGCCGCGGCCGCCGCCACCGCGGCGGCTGCAGCGGCGGAGGCCGGGGTAACTGTTGTCGCCGCAGCGGAAGTACCACCGCCGCCAGTAGACGGCACCGGAGGGCTGCGCTGCGGCGGCAAAGACTCTGACGTCGGTCCGTTGCCGGCACCTCCGCCAGCAACGGCTGAGGCGGCTGCGGCTGAAGCAGCTTGTACGGCAGCCGCAGGCAGCAAAGGCGCATCGGAGGCGAACTGCTGAATGCAATCGAGAGGGACGCCACCGCCACCGCCGCCGTTGCGGCCACTACTGCCGTAATGTAGTTCTGGTAGTGCCGTTGTCGGCGGGAGCTGAGGTGCCGCCGCTGCATGATGACCCTTGGCCACAGCCGCTGTTGGAGGTAATGCGACTTGGGAAGTGCGCGAAAGCGGTACATCGGACGCAACGGCGGCGGCGGCGGCGGAAGGGCTGCTCCCAAACCCAGGAGACGCCACCTGGGACGGCGAATCCCAGGAACCAGCCAGCGTCGCCGTACCTGGGATAGGCAGCAGTTGGCGGCGACCATGCAACAGCGCACCATTTCCGACAGCCACCGACCGCGCGGCGAATGCCGCAGCCGAGCCTGGCGGCGGCTCATGTTGTGGCAGCAGCGGCGGAAGCTGCTGAAGCGGCGTCGGCGGCGGCGGCGCCTCCGCCAGCCGCATCTTTCCTGACGGCGCGGCGGTGCCGGCGGCGGCGGCGGCGGCGACCTCTGGCGGCGGCGAGCTTGAAGCCCGTCTTGATTGTCCCCAAGGACGTCCGCGGCGCCTGCCGCCGCCGCCGCCAGTGATACCTCCGTCGCCGCCGCCGCCGCCGCTGTATATTGCGCGACTAGTCAGCGCAGCAGCCGGCGGCGGCGGCACCGGCGCCGAAACCGCTGACGCCCGTAGTGAATCCTCATCCAGGTTAAGTCCCGGAATCGGAACGCCACCTGCTACGACGCTGTCAGCTACTTCTAGCGCCGCTAGTATGGCGGAGGCATTGGGGTCCTCGGGATCCATCCCGGCCATTAGACGCGCTATGCCGGGTCGACGTGCTGAAGTCGCCGCCGCCGCAGCTGCTGCCGTACCGCGACGGCCGCCGTAGCCCTCCTCCAGCGCTTCCGTTGCGCCGTACGACAGCATCGCTGCATCTTCTCCACCCGCCATGTCGCCATCCGCGTCCGTACTGGCATCGGCGTCCGCTAGGGCCTCTGCCTCCGCCGCATCCGCCAGTGCGGCCAAACGCGGCGGCGGCAACGCCGCGGCGGCCGTCATTCCTCCGTCCTGCATCGCGCCTGTCATGCCGCGACCCGGCGGGTCGGTCGCCGCCGCTGCCGTCGTCGCCGCCGTCGCAGTCGTCGGTGCGCACCAACCTGAACTACTTTGTCGCGCTGCTGCCGCTGCATTGGGCCTTCGCCCACCACCAAACGTCCTTCCGCCTCCGCCGCCGACGGCGCCGCCACCGCTTCTCCCGCCGCTGCCTGCGTCGTACGCCGTCGTAAGACTGCCATTGGGCTTCATGTTGGGCGCCGTCAGACCTTCCGCAGCAGTGGTTGGGGAAGCAGATGCATTCCCAAGGGCACCCTCTGGGGCCTTTCGCCAGCCTGATCCCGGCGGGGGTGTGGGTGTCATGGCTAGAGCTGTGCGAATCTAAATCAATGTGCGAGTATAGAATTACAGACGGACTGGACCGTGGTGTACTGTAACACAGAATCTCGTAGGTGTTGGCGAACAGTGCCCAAGCCCGATTCACGGCTAGTACGGCAGCAGGTAGTAACGCTGCTGGGTCAGGCGCGGGGTGGGTGCTGTGAGAGCCAACGTGGGGTGTTGCCACAATGCCCGACTCAAGGCCCAGCTCTGGTATACATGTTAATCCATTCTTCTATAGCTTGCCGACTAATGCAACGGCGCTCTGCGAAGTAAGGTTTGCTGTCCGCAAGCCGAATGCCGGTTAGTAGATTGAAGGTCGCCGAGGGCAGGAAGGAAAGGCGGCGGCCTAGCGTTTTAGCCGAAAGCGGTCGTAAACATGGAAAAGTCATGTAAACGGAATTTATCTTGACTAAGGTGCAGCACTTGTCTAGGAGGGTTCGACGAGTGGGTGGGTGGATCGTTGGGCTGCGGAAGCGGGATCCTTGGATGTCATCCTCCATTGAGCTGTCATTTTGTTTTGGCATACACGTCAGCGGCCGCTTTTTTGTCACGCCCAAGAATTCTATGACGCCCAAAGGTGAAGTGTTCTTTTATCCTCGGTTAGTTAAGAAAACAACGTGTTGCCTCAAGTTGTTACTTTGCTCATGCAAAACTGATCGCAACCAGGGGTGAACAGGTTGGTGCAAAAGCTGCAGCGCAACGTTTGTCTGGTTTGCCAAGCATACCTACAGGCGGCTAACATCCGGCATTGTATTCATTATTACTCCGGAATGCTTTGGAGCAATCGGCTGGTAAACCAAGGATATTTCGAATGGGAGCATTGTTAGCAAAACATGAAGCTATGCAAAACTCACGCTCTGCTGTGGCTGATATCAAAGCCGCAACGCGCTTCGTACCGCGAACGTAGGAGGGCCGCAGTATCTTCACAGCCTGCCTTGCAAGCACAAGTGACCCATGGGTCCGAACGCGAGGTATCAAGAGGCGCTCTTCGCACACATGTCCCTCATCACCTTCTTACCTTGGCCTTTAATAAGTATTTAAGCCCGCCCGACCGAAGAAAGCAGCCGTTTCCTGTGGACCACCCAAACCCGCAGCGCATGATTGCAAACCCAAACACCACTTGCACGCCACGGCCCCACCTGTCGACCAACCAGTCCGCAAGTTACAGCAGCCCAAGCCAATCCACTCCAGCCTGCAAGCCACAACCTGCGCTCACTCAGTCCATTTCATCCAGACATTCACTGAGCAGTCGCCGCCCAGGGGGCCCAACCCTCGCCACACCCGCACCCGCAACACCCGCACCCGACCCACTGCTCGCCCCTACACCTCCTCCAACCCTGCCCACTTCCCCCGGGTAAGTCCCAGCCGTTAACGCCGCCGCTGCTGACAGCGACGGCCCGCTACTCCCGCTGCTGGTTGTTACTCCAACCGGCGAGGTCCGTACCTCCGAGGCCGGTGCCGACGCCCCTACAGGAGGGACAATGGGACGCGCAACAATATCCCGCCCCTCAGCCCGCCCGCTGCCGTCCGGCGCCGCCCCAGCGCCGCTTTGCCCCCCTGCTCCGGTCACCAGGGGCAACCCATGGGCAGGCGCAGCTGTTGCACCTGCTGCCGCCGCTGCTGCCGGGGTTGTCTCCCCCGGGGCCGCTGCTGCTTCGGGAGCTGAAGCTGAAGAACACGGCTGTGACGGAGGTGACGCCAAGGGTGCATGTTGACGACATGCTGGCAGCTCCGGTTGCCGCCGCTGCTGCTGCTGCAGTTGCCCTGTTTGTAGTTCTGGTTGATGTTGTTGTTGTTGTTGTTGTTGTTGTTGTGGCTGCTGCTGCTGCTCCTGGCGAAGCTCCTGCTGCTGCTGCTCCGCCTGTTGTTCCTTCAGCTGCTGCTGCTGCTGCTCATCACGAAGCTCCTGCTCCAGCTGCTGCTGCTGCCGCCTCCACGCCTCAGCCAGCTGCGCGCACTCCCGCTTGTGGCCGTCACGCCAGTGGGTTGACTGCGAGGTGGGGCGAGGGAGCGTGCGGGAGATGGGAGAAGGGGGGGGGAATGGAGGCGAAAGGGAAGAGAGAGTCAGGGCAAGAACGGAAGCAAGAGGCGTGGGGTGGGCGACAAAAAGGACCAAACCACCTGGATTAGGGCGATACAATGGGAGAATGAGGCGGCAGGGTGCCACAAGACAAAGGATGGGTTGAATGCGTCACTACGGTTCCCTCGCATGGCAACTCTTCGCTAAACCCATCTCCGTTAAGACATCCTGGGGATACCGGTACAAACGGAACGCAACTTCGGACGGCGGCTTCCAGCCCCCCTAACACATGAGCGACCCATGGTTCATGTCCGTAAGCCCACCTCTGCTTACACAGGGCTGCTCAAGCAAGCAAATCAGTCATGGCTACCCGCTTTCCACTCCCCACACCACCGCACGCAGCTCAGTTCATCTACCCCCGCCCACCCGCCCTTCCCTTCATCACCTGACAATGCGTCGAGCAATACCACACGCTCTTGCACGCCCCACACCTCTTAAACCCGCCCCCTGCTGCTGCTCCCGCTCCTCCTCCTCCCGCTCCCCCTCCTCCAAGCTGCCTCTCCAGCACCCCCTCTCGCTGCAAGCACGAGGGGTTGTCGCACTTACGCCCCAACACCGCCGCGGAGGATCCCGCCAGCCGCACGGCCGCCCTGCTGCGAGCCACGCCGGGCCCCTCACCCATGGCTCGCAGCTGCGCGCGCTTCGCCTCCTCCTCCGCTGCTTGGGTTGTCGCCTCATCCGCAGCACTGCGTTGAGCGCCCTTGAGGGCCGCACGCGTGTTGAAGGAGGAGGCGGCGGCCCCGCTGCTGCTGCTGCCGCCGCCATTACTCTCCCCACTGCTGGCTGCTGCTGCTGCTCCTCCTCCGCTGCCGTCAGCCCCTTGCCCTTGCTGTTGTTGTTGTTGTTGTTGTTGTTGTTGTTGCAGATCCTCCAGCGTCACTTCCCGCAACGGCGGAACAAACGCAGCAAACGCCTCCGGGTGATCCTTCGCCCGGCCCGCCACTCCAAACCCGCTTCCTGCACCCCCGCCGCCTCCACCTCCACCCGCAGCAGCCCTCCCAGGCGCCCGAGTGTCAAAACAGTACTCGTAACGTGTCACCTCCGCTGCTGACGCCGGCGGCTTCCTCGCCTCCTCTCGCTCCTCCTCCGTCGGCCTTCGGGCCGCCACCGCAGCTCCCGGCCCCGCCCTTGCCGCCGCCTGCCTGCCCTCCTCACCCTCTTCGCCACCACGCGCCCCACCCTCATGCACGTCCCCATCACCACCGCCCTCCACGCCGCCTCCCTCGCCAGTAGCAGCAGTAGCAGCAGCAGCAGCCCCCTCCTCCGGCGGCAGCAGCACCAGCAGCTGCAGCTGCCCACCAGCGCCGCCCGCCACCAACGCCGCCTCGCACACCGACAACGCCGTCACCTGCCAGCCCAACCGTACGACAGACAGCAGCGCGCCGTCGGCCGCGGCCCAGAGCTTGACGGCGCCGTCAGCGGCGGCGGAGGCGACTTGGCGGCGCAGCGGCAGGCAGGCGACGGCGCCGACGGCCCCTCTGTGATACCCCCGCCAGTGACCGATTTCGGGCTGTTGTGATGGCTGCTGCTGCTGGGGCTGGGGCTGTTGTTGTGGGGGAGGTGGGGGGGAAGGGGGTGTCAGGAGGCCCCAAACCCACACGGTGCCGTCCTCGCAGCCCAGCACCACCATGTTGCCGTCGTAGTCGCATGCCAAGGGGCGAGCCAGGCCGGCCAGCAGGGGGCCCACTCCGGGCACCTCGCAGCCGGTGCGCTGAACCGGGTGGACCTGCGGGGGGGGAGGGGGGGAGGCAGGAGGGAGGGAGGGGGTCAGAGAGAAACCACTAACTCTCCCCTTTCATCCCGTCCTGCCCCCTGCCCCAGTCACGCACCCACTGCAGCAGCGGGTCCCGGCCCGGCAGCCAGGAGCAGGTGAGCAGCTGGCCGTCCAGAGCGAGCGCCGCGTGGGTCACGTTGGCGCTCAGCAGCGCAGCAGCAGCAGTGGAGGAGGAGGTGGAGGAGGAGGAGGTGGAGGGGGCACTGCGGGCCAGTGTGCCTATGAGCTTGGCATCGCTCTGCGGTGGGAGGGAAGAAGGATGTGAGGGAGGGTTATGAGGACACGGTGGGAAGGAAGATGGATGTGAGGGAGGGTTATGAGGACACGGTGGGAAGGAAGAAGGATGTGAGGGAGGGTTATGAGGACACGGTGGGAAGGAAGAAGGATGTGAGGGAGGGTTATGAGGACACGGTGGGGAGGAGTGACGAGGGCACAGTTCTCCTTCTTTCCCTCCGCGTTCAACACGGGGGATACCCTACATTGGCTACATACCAACAACCCGCAAGCGTAGCTTGGTTGCCGACACCCTGCCGCTTCCGAAAAGCACCTTGCCGCACCGAACCCTCCAGGCTCTCATAGCCCCTAAGCCTGAACCCCAAACCCCACTTCCCCTTCCCTCTCCTCCTCCTCGGGCCTCCCTCTCACCATCCTCCATGCGCTCACTCGCCCATTGCCCCGCGTGTGCACCACCATCACACAGTCTCCTCCCGCCGCTGCTCCTCCTGCTCCCGCCGCTCCTCCTCCTCCTCCCGCTCCCCATGCCGCCCCCGCCAGCGGCCCCAGCCGCACAGTGGTGACGGGCAGGCGATCCAGCTGCAGGCCGGGCTGGAAGGCGGCGACGAAGGAGGCGGGGTCGGAGGGCGACTGCCGCCGCCACACGCGCACGCAGCCGGCAGCAGTGCCCGCGGCGATGTAGGAGCGAGAGGCGGCCAGGCAGCTGACCGGGGCACCGGCCTGGGGGGTAAGGGGGGGGATAAAAAATAGAGAAAACCAAAGGGAACGAACGGTAAGGAGAGAGGGAAAGAATTGGATGGTTAAGCTGGTAGGGGAAGGGATGCATGGGTATAGAAGGGAGGAAGGGAGGGAGGGAGGGAGGGAGGGAGGGAGGGCAAGAGGAGGAGGTGAGAGGAAGGAAAGATGCGATTTGAGGAGGTCAGGGGAAAAGGGAGAGGAGGGAGTAGAGCTCGAGCTGGCCTCCCAGGCTGCGGTCGGATGTGGCTCCTTCCCTTCCTCTCCCTATCCACCCTACCGTGAGGGTTATCTGCCACCCCACCCTACCGTGAGGGTTATCTGCCGGGTCCAGGTGGCGGTGTCCCACACGCTGATGCGGCCGCTAGGGCTGGCGTCGGCAGCCACCAGGATGTCACCCTGAGGGCCAGGGAGGGAGGGAGGGAAGGAGGGAGGGAGTGGGACGAAAGCCATGTGGAGAGGTTCAGTGTCGCTTTGTTACCTGTTGTATAGTACACGTGGAAATTGTGTTCCGCAGGCAGGCTGCAGACGCACAGCACGCAGCACGCAGACAGGCTGCAAGTCTTACAAACCAGATGTGTGCGGAGACGTGCTCACGTCGGACAAGCGTACGGCGCAGGCAAGATACGATTCGTACGGCAGAGGGCACGATTGGCAGGTTGTATTGACAGGTTGTTATGCGGCAGGGCGACACAGCTACCCTGGGCTACCTTGATGGCAACCGCGACAAATCGCTCCCCGTCCATTTCCAGCAGCCGTTGCACCGACCGGAACTGAGGCGCATCCTGGAGAGGGCAGAGGGGTTAGGTATCAGAGGAAACGTTGTGGGCTGCGTGCAGTTGATGGAGGCCATGGATGTTGCACATGGCTCTGCAGCATATGAAGCCGTGAAGAGAGTCAAAGTTTGAGGAGTAAAAGTGCGACTCCTCAGTTGGATTGTTACTCCACTGGCAACTGCGCGAGGTCACAGTTGCAGAACTTTCGCAGCTTAAATTGTGCGCTACGACAGCTGACATGCTTACACGAGAGGTAGGCTCCCACGCCCTAATGCAAGGGGCATAGCCTGCATCGCATAAGTTCAAAGGTATGTAAGAATGTAGGCTGCGACGAAACTCGCATCGACTAGCAATTGCAGGCAAGCAAGGCGCACACGGCTTCAGAGGCATCCTGCCAGCCTTGATTACCTGTAACCGCGACGATGGGCGGCCAACTATACGTGCATGCAATGTTGGTAATAGACGCGTCGCAGGGCCAATACCTGCGCAATGGGCATCGCGAACTTTCGAACGACGCGTCCCATGCTCACATCATTGCAAAAGATATCAGTGAATGACGCGGCCCCCGATACACGAGCCATATAGTCATGACGTTTCTTACCTCAGGGGCGAGTCATCCGGGAAGAACGTTTCCATACTTGCGACAGTGAAAAAGACTTTCTCTTATCAACGTAGAGCTTTCAGTATAACCATCATCTCTGCGCATTAGAATGTTCATAAAATCCCACCCATGCTCTGATTCTCCATTGCTCATTGTACCGCGAACGTTGGTTCCTAGCACCTGTACGACACATGTAGCTCTGACTTCAACTGCAGGCTAGCCACTCGCTTGCTGCTCATGTTGTAATTGTACTTTGCAACATGCCAGGGCCAAAGCGCTCTTCAACTGGTCCAGAGCAAACTGCTGCTCGGCTGGCCAAAGCACTCGGCACCTGCGCAGCTCAAGCGGAGCTTTATGGATCCTGCGTTAAGAAGCTAGTACCTGCGGTCAGTAATCAACTTTACAATAGTTGTAAATATTGGTAGTCGTATTGTCTTGCCATCCGACAGTGGCCTTGCGTAATGCCGCCTTTCAGGTCGACGTCGGTGTGTGCAGCCGGGAGTTCCAGGAACTGAAAAAGTGCTTCACAGCTGCGGTAAGCTTCGGTATGAAGCTTGTCCCGCTGCTTGGTGCCGCTAGATACACCCTGGGGACCCGAGGGACGGCATCATGCGGCACATGGCAAGGAGAAGCCCACGTTCCTTTTATTCATCCCGGCGCATGCCGACCATCACCGCAACATTTTGGTGCGCTTACGCACTCTTTCTCACTCCTCTTGGTCAACTTACCCGCACCATGATAGCCGCAGTGAGCGGGATCAATCCTTCCAAATTCCCCATACCATCCCGCACACCATTCCCATTCCCGACACACAGATGCGTTCCAGTGGTGGCGGCCGCTCCTAGATGGGGCATCCGCTTAACAGCCTTACTACAACGACTTAAGCCCGTACGAACGGTATTCGCCACTTCAATTCCGTGCGGTCCTGAATCCCGTGCGACCTGGACCTCTGCTGGCCTATGACATTGCTGGCTGCAGCGGTGAAGGTTGAGGTGCGATGTGAGGACGCGGCATGCCCAGTGGCAAGGATTGGGATGGATGGCCACGCCGGCAATGCTGACATGAGACAGCGGGACTGGGGCAGCAAGTGCCAGGAGTGCGCCCGGGTCGGATTTCCCCGGCAGAGGAAGGCGGGCGCTCATGCGTGGGGGCCTGCGCCTGTTTCCTGCTTGGATGCCCAACATGTGCCTTGGAAGCTGCGCCTTTGTAAACCGCTAAACAGTTTCTGATGGTTTTACTGCCCTGCCACCTTAGCAAATTCCTGGCGGTTGTTAGGAGGGGCGAATGGCGACTTTGGGCGCGGGTCCGTGGGTCGGTCGGTGGGTTTCGGCAAACTGGGCCGCGAAAACTGGGTGTGATGGTCGGTGGATGGCTGGTAGGTTCGGCTTCTGGCCCCTGGCGAGGTGTGCAGGCTGCAAAGGTGACCAGGCAAGGCACCAGTAGTGCCGTCCGGCACATGCCTCGCGCGTGGCACAACATGTGAACGGTTTAAGAGGGAGGTATACCCGTTCAGGGCAGTCGTGTTGCGTGTGCCAGTGCCGCGCTGGGACATTGGACACAGAAGCTTGGAGCTTTGACCTTGTGGAAATCAGGTTGCTCCTTGTATTGCGCCTGAAAGGAGCACACACGTATACGTGCCGTGTGTTTGCTGTACAACGGAACGGACTTGGGATCTCTGTAACGGTCATTCATTCATTCATTCATTAAACGAACCCCGGTGTGATGGCTAAACGCGAGGAAGGTCCATGTCGGTGCTGTTATGTTTGTTTGCCATGGTCACGATCACATGACCGCACCTTGTCACCGGCACTCCCCAGCACCGCTAGTTCTCAACTTGTCAGCAATTAAGCAACGCAAACGATCAACTGCCGCAACTCCTTACAACGGAGAGCCGTACAGCCCTCTGTACGGCAAACGCGCAGTACGGCCCTAACCGCCTTACCGGTTGGTCCTCCAGTGTACCGTTATCCTCGCTTCATAACCGAAGCCTCCAAATGCATGACGCAACCAGGCATGCACGGTACGATGTGCCCCTCCATTCTCCACCTCTCCCCCCTTCCTTTCTCCTCTCTCTCGGCTAGTCCGCTTACTTCCCCTTCTTGCTTTTCTTACCCTTCTCTGATCTCTCCCTCCCCCTCCCCTCCCCTGCCCTGTCATACAGCTCCTCAGTTTCTTCCCTCTCCCTCCCCCTGCTCCTCCAGCCTCTCCTCACTCCCAAACAACTCAAACACACGCCCGTACGTGCACACCGCACGAGCAAAATAGCTCGCCCGGATGCGCTCATTCGTGCCGTGGATAAGGCCCAGCTCGCCCGCAGTCTTGTTCATGCCGTACGGCACGAATCGCAGTACGACACCTCCGTACGTCAGGTTGGCGTAGTGCTTGGAGTCGGTAGCTCCGGAGAGCATGAAGGGGACCACGGGCACGTCGGGCTGCAGTACGACACAGGGAGGTCAGGGGAGAAAGGGTGAGAGGGGGATTAGATACCGGTAAACTGGGCTGCGAGGAATATTGACCCTGACCGTGGTATACCGGAGGGGAGATGGTGAGCGGGGGAGGGCGTCGCGTCCGGTTATGACTTCAGGAAGAATGCAGAAGCCGTATGTAAAGGTTACCGGTAGATCAGCATGTACCACTAGCCGTGCATAAAGCATACAGGACGAGGCTGCCTAAGGAACAGTTTTTTCCCCTAAACCCTTTCACAGACCCAGGGGTCAGCGATTGGTAGCATGAAAAGGGCTGCAGAGGGCAGCCCTCCGCACCTCTCCCTCCTTGCGCCAGGTCTCCTGGATGGCTTGCCGCAGCAGTCGGAAGGGGCGGCCGCGGGGGCTGGTCACGCGGGACCCGGGCCACATGGCGCCCTGGGGGGGGGAGGGAGGGGGGAGGGAATGCATGCGGGGGTCAAAGACCATACCAAACCATAGGAGACCACAAGTTGGGGCGAGGGGGGAGGGGCGAGGGGAGGAAACGGGTGCGTGGGGAGAATAAAAACAGGTGGGGAGGAGAAACTGGCGAAGGAAAGGGGCATCTGTCCCCACACCTCTAATCTGTAGGATGGCCTCATCAGGGCCTCGTACCGTTAGTAGCCTTTTTCCTTCTCCCCCAGCGCCCCTCACCTCGTCCAGTCGCACCTCCGCCGCCACCCCCGCCCAGCCCGCCAGCCGCCTCACTCGCGCCGCCAGGCTGTGTGGTGAGCTGCCTGGCAGCAGGCGGCAGTTGAAGGCCAGGTGGGCCTCCTGAGGGGAGGCGGGGGGAGGCGGAGAGGCCGGGGGGGGGGGTGGGCGGTGTGGAGGCGGGGGGAAGGGGGTGAGGTGACGGAGTGGGGAAAAGCAAGGGGAAGGTGAGGCTTGAAAGTGCATAGGAGAAGGGGATACTGGTAGCTGGAGGGTTGGAGGGTTGGCATTATCACGTTTCCCTCCGCCTCCTCCTACCTCCTCTCTGTCACCTAGTTGGCCATTGTCAAAAAACACATGGGGTATTCTTTGTTTCTCCTCCCCCCTCTTCGTTTGTCTTTGACCACCCCCCCCACCCGGTATCGGACCCGGTATCGGTAGGGATTACTAACCAACACTTTGTCTTGTGGCGCCCTGCCAACTCCTACCCCCATTGCTTTGCCCTAACTTGTGGTCTCCTATGGTTTGGTATGGTCTTTGACTCCCCCCCCCCACCCCCCACCTGCGGCAACACGTTATCCGCCACCCCCGCCTGCAGTCGGGTGAGTGCCAGGGTGTCCGCAACCAGGGCGGCCGTCTCCCGACTTAGCAGCCGCCGGAAGACATGCGAGAGCAGCCAGTTGGCTAGCCTGGGGGAGGGGGCAGGGGGGGAGGTGGTGGGTAGAGGAGGGAGGTGGGCGTGTAAGGAAGAACCGGGGCGTGGCGAGGGACGACGTGTACGGTGAAAATGGTTGAGAAGCAGGAATCGGCGCAAACATCCGCGTATACCCTACACCACAATCCTGTCCTCTCTCTGCGTTTTAGGGGGGTGGGGACATCATCTTCCGACCATCACAGTACGTTCCCACTCGCGCGGCCATTTATCTTCACAGCACTTTACCACACTCCTAACAGTAACGCACCAGGAACGGCTGCGCTCACAGTTCGCCAGCAGCAGCCGCATCCAGGGCGGCGCGTACGGCGCCATGTGACGCAGCATGTCCGTAACGGGCGGCTGTAGCAGCGGCGGCGGCGGCAGGAGCTTCAGTGCCGTACTCAGACGCCAGATCTGGGAGTGTACGTCGGATCCGTCGGTGGGCGGCATGGAGGCGTGGCCGCCCGCTGAGCGCAGGGTGACGCGGAGGGTGGCGTAGCCCTGTGGGGAAGGGGGAAGGGGAAAGGGGGAGGGGGAGGAGATAAAACAAACACACACACAACAGCTACTACATACATATCAACTTACCACTACGGGCCTTACGTCCGGTCGTTTTACGAGAGTGCTTCTTACGTCCTACTTACTCTCAGCACCAGTACTGGACTTATATATGTACATACGCTACCATATTCCTCGGCTCCTGCGGCGGTTCTGTGGGGACTTCATCTTCCGACATCCCAGTACGTTCCTACTCGCCACTCGCGGCCAGTTTTTATAATACCACAACACACACGCTCTCCCCCACCCCACCCCTCCTGCCTCCCCACCTTCTCCGCCGTCCCCACCAGCGCCACTGGGCCCCCCAGGAAGGGCCGCATGCCATCCTCCAGCACCACCCCGCCCTCGTCCACCAGCGCCCCCAGCTGCACGCCGCGAGCCGCCAGCAGCTCCGCAGCTGCACCCGCACCCAGACGACCGCCGACCTGGGGGTATTACACAAAATAAATGAATAGTTTATGATTAAGAAGATAATAATAGGCAAGAAGAAAAGCTAATACAACCGTGTGTGAGACTGACATGGTGTGATTAGGGAGGACGGAGGGGTCAGAACTAACAGACACCCCCATCCATTCCAAGGGACACGCCGAGTGGTATGCCAGCGCAGCAAGGGAGGGGGCCGGGGGCCGTACCTCTTCGTCGTGCCCGAATGCGAACATGAGGGTGCGTGCGGGCTGGTATCCCGCCCCCAGCAGCTCGCTGGCCGCCTGCAGCAGCGCCGCCACTGAGAACTTGATGTCTGCAGCGCCGCGACCCCACACGTAGCTGGGGGCAGCGGTGGGGGGCGGGGAGGAGGAGGGAGAGGTGATGAGGGAGCGGTGAGGAGGAAGAAGGGGGGAAGGGGGAAAAGAAGAATACCCAATGTGGGAAGGAGGAGGGGGAGAAGGGGACAGCAGGCTGGGTGACAGGGCCCCTCTCCCCGTCCCCCTCCTCTCGTCATACAGTTCGTCAGTTTCCTTATCTTTGCCCCCCTCCCTCCTCTCACCCCTCCGCCAGCACTCCCCCAAAGGGCGGGTGCCGCCACTCCGCCTCGCTACCCGGGGTGACCGGCACCACGTCGTAGTGGCTCACGAACAGCACGGGGCGCAGGCCGGGGGAGGAGCCGCGCCACGTCAGCAGCAGGCTGAAGCCGCCCGCACCCACCTGCGGGTGAAGGGGGGGAGGGAGGGAGGGGAGGGGGGGCCCGGGGAATGCAAGAGGTGGGCGCAGTAGGTGTGGAGATAGGGTGTGACGTTACCCACCTCCTCCCACCCATCCCCCACCCCTACCTCCTCCATCCCCCCCAGCCCCACCTGCTCCACCCGCCCCCACCCCTACCTCCTCCCACCCCCCCCCCCAGCCCCACCTGCTCCACTGTCAGCCGGCTCCACACCAGCGGGTAGGACTCCCGCAGCGCCGCCAACATGCCCCGTAGGGCCTTGGGGGGGGGGTGGCAACGGAGAGGAAGGTGCGGAGGGGGGTGGCGGGTAGTTGCGGGGAGGAAGGTGCGGAGAGGGGCGGTAGGGGAAGAGACAGGCGATGCCGACGGACACGTCACAAGGGTGGCAAGGGTGGTCCGCAGTGGAAGAAGGGGAAGCCGAACGGGACGGCGCTCCGCCGTGTTTCTTCAGGCCTTTAACCCCCTTCCTGCAGGCCTCATCAGGCCTTCGTATTGCTGTCGCACAACCCCCCTGCCTTCCCCTTTCCCCTCCTCAGTCCCCAGTCCTCCCTCCTCCCTCCTGACCTGGGGGTCCCCCACGTGGTCGGGCGCGGAGGCGTTGCTGACGGTGGGGAAGGTGAGCAGTCGCTGGAAGCGGGCCAGAGCTGCGGGCTCGTCCAGAGGGGGACCTGAGGGTGGTGAGAGGTATGGGGGGGCAGCGGCGAGATGATGTGCGGTGAGGACTGTCAATAGCAGCTGAGGCCGCACTGAGACTTGGCAAGGGAGGGGTAAGGGCCACGGTGTCAGGTAGCGTTAGCTGGGCAGTTACGGCGGTCATGTCGGCAACTATAGGATATCGCACGCACGCGCTGAGTTCGATACATCAAATGTGCCAGGAAACCACCCGAAACTATATATAGAAGCATGTCAGAGCACGTCGTCGTATAAAGCTGACGGGCGCAAGCGGCAACATGCCTTAAAATCCCGCAACATACATACGGTACGCGAAACCGTTCTGAGATCCCTTTGGCATACATGTAATCGGCTTTGGCATTTTCTGTGGACGTAGATCTTCATCGTGTAGCGAGGTCCAGTATAGCAGCGCGATTTGCGCGGCTAGGGCGAGGCAAGCGCCCGTCACCGCAACACGCAGGAGCCTAGCCATCGCCTAGGGCTCGAGTCTACTGCATGCCACTTCAAGGTATATATATATTATATAGCAGTATATATATATTATAAATAGCTAGTTCGAGGTTTAATGTTGGTTGTGGGTGTAACTTGGCGATAAGTAGACGATGTAGACGTGATTAAGTTGTAAGCTTCCTCTTCAGGACAGTTGCTTTGCGACGTGAGGGGCGGAAAAGCTATCGAACTCCGTCGTGCCGACCTAACTAGCACAGCACAACATCACTTGGGCATAGGGCCCTCTGTTCCGACCCATGGTTCCCTCATGAGAACGACTCGATAGAGTGGCCTGAAGCTTACTGGTACCGGGGACCTGCCATGAATGACATTAATTACGTGTGTGGATGGCACGTTCTGCCTGATCTCAAATTAGAGCTCTGGTCGACCCATCCTTCCTCACCTTGCCGTTGCCCGTTACAGGTGGATACTCGGTTGCCTGCAGACCGCCGTACACACGTACATACACTCCTCATCAATCAGCTGTGCCAGGTAAGGCAGAGCCCTCCACCCCCAAGCGCGCACCGGCGCTAGCTCGTGTATCCCGCACTCGGCCTCACACGCACCAGCTCTGTAGGCCTAGAAAGTACACGCATCCTGCGCTGCTGAGCGCACGGTTTCACCCCAATTGCCGCCACACGCCGCGCACCGCACCAAGTTCCGCTTGCTGCCCCGCCTGAAGTCCCAGCACTACACGTACGTACGCTGCTACTCACTCTCCCAGCCGCATGACCTCACACATCGGAGCCCTGCTGCTGCTGCTGCAGCTTGCTTACATGCTGCAACCCGCAGCACGCGTTTCACAGCTCCAGACCAAGACCTAACCCTCACTATCATGTTTCCGTCGCGCCCTCCATTTATCCTATCCTAGTCTGGAGCCGTTACAAGGAATATACATACTCCGCTGTCAGCAGCACCCCAATGCCCCTCGAGGGGGGAGGGCCTCGTATACAGAAAGGTGCGGAACTCCTTCGCTCCGTGTCATGCAGAGCAGCCTCGATGGAGGGCAGCCGAGCTCCGCTGCAGCCTCTGATGCACAGCTGCGGCGACCGGCGCTTGCAGAGCCAGGCAGGCTGGAAACAGCCCAGCAGCAGCAGCAGTGGCGGCAGCCCCACGCTGCCCCGCTAGAGGTGAAACTTTAGCCGCTTGTCTTGCCGCATGCGCACGAATATGTCTAGTACCTGAAGCAGGCACGCAGGCAGGCGGGCAGGAAGGCAGGCAGGCAGGCGGGTAGGAAGGCAGGCAGGCAGGCGGGTAGGCAGGCAGATTGGTAGGATCACAGCAGGCAAGCAGCTCGAAGCCAAACTGCTGCTGAAGCTAGAGCACCCCACATACCCGTACCCTGGCCTCGCGCCCCCTCACCCCCACCCTCCAGGGTAGCACACTCCACCCATGCCAGTACGACACATACCCGCCACAAATTGCAACCCCCCTGCCTACCTGGTCCCTGTTCTGCACCACAACGGGTCCGACCCGCACCGAAATGTAGGCCCCGCCGCTGCTGGCGCGGACCTCCACCGGCGCTGGGCCGCCCACCACGCCCTCCACACACGCCACCATGGCAGCCCTGAACTCCTCTCCGCCAGAGCCCACCGCTGTGAACAGTCGCTCGCAGGGGTAGGTGTTCACCTGGGGATGGAAGGAAGCAAGTGTGAGGCGATAAATGGGGCACGGAGAAGGAAGGAAGGAAGGAAGGAGGGATGGGTGGATACTCGTCTGGCGAGGGCCAGTGGAGTTAATAAGAAGTGTGGTTCAATGGGAGTTATGGGGGAGCCTTGGCGGAAACGCCCGGGCTTATACCTTGGCGTCGATTTGCTTCCAGTCAGCCCACACGTCTCCGTCCGAGTCAGTTTTGCTCGCCAATTGGGCGTTGATTTCCCGCAGGACGTCTGCTTTATCGCGGCCTTTCATGACTGCGGCAAAGGTGCACATGATGCCATGGGCTACAACCTTGCACAGACCGGTTCGGCCCGATACAACGATAGCTCACTCTGAGAATTCGACAGCGTGTGTTGAGACTTCTTTTGCTTTGGCTGCGGCTTAAAGCCTTTTCGGAGCGCCCCAAATCCTTGTGGACGGCCCGAGCAAGACAGTTCTCGGCCACTGCTTGATGGCGCATCATCACTCAGAGCACGAAGTATAATTGGCAACGGCCGAGCGGTTTGCAGTGCCCTATATGGTAACCCCGTCGTCAGTCGGCAAGACAGCATATGTGCCATGTTTGCTTAGTGTAAATACCTATACACGTTTAAGAAGCTACTTTTGTAACTCCTACTTGCCCAATCCGTCGACAGACTAGTTGCTTACTTGCTCTAACCCAAATGTGGCTCCGAAACGCAGAAAAGGAGTGGTTGGTCCTGATTTGCTGTATAGTTGGTAAAGCACGAGCCTATGTGGACGTGTTCTGTTGCACGCTGCATAACAAATATGTGTTACCAGACTTCAGCTCGTTCGTCATGCGCTGCAAGGATAGGGTTGCCTCGGCGACGACCGAACACAGTAATAGCAAAAGCGCTCAACCTCGCGAATCCTCCATGTTTTATGGCTAAACAATCAACCCAGGAAACATTACTTGGCGGCAGAGCTCATGTTGCGTGCAGCCATGTGCCAGGGAACTCGAGACTGTCAACAGCGCTTGCCACACGGTGCGTCCCGTGCATGCCGGTGTTGCCCTTGATGGCACATAACAACCATGATGGGTAGTTTCCGGGATGCTCGCTTTAAGTAAGGGACTGCTGTTGTACCCATCAACCTCTACCCATACAAAGCAAGCAGGGATGTACACACGAACACGCCCGGTTGGTGTGCCTAGGTGCATATCGGTACCTTGGGTCATAGCCACCATTGCGACTTTTGCATCAGACAGCGGCCTGACGAGCTGGCCACTTTCAAGCAGCATTCCACGCTCCAGTTTCCAGGCCAGTGTCCTAAGCCCCGCACGCCCTACAAGCAATACCTTCCATCCTCCCCTTGGGGAGAACAGTTGAGTGTCTTACTTCCCTAATCGCTACTATCCATCACCCGCCCCTCAGCAGGCGCCTCTCCTTCACCTCTGGCGCGCTCAGCACCCCCGCCCTGTTAGCAGGCGTGCTGGCAGTAGGCGGAGTGGCGCTAGCAGCAGCCAGCATGGGAGGTACGAACGGCCCCAGCAGCAACCCCAACAGAAGCAGCGGTAGCAGCGACCCACGGGTCCTGACTCGCAGCGGCATGGACAAGTTCCGAGCGGGTGACGTGGAGGGATCGCTGGTAGACTTTGACGCCGTCATCCAGGTGGCCCCTCACATGCGGCCGTGAGTGTACGGCAGTACGGGAACTAAATGAGAAGTACTTGGTGCCGTACATTAGATGCGTGGTGCTGTTTACACCAAGCGTGGGAATGGATGCACGTTGTGCGTGTAGGTTTGAGAAGTGAGGTTGGCTATGGAGAAAGCGCCGCCAAGCGCTGCCAAGCGCCAACCGCTGCAACAGGGGCGGCTAATGAAAGGTTTAGGTTGGCGGCTGTTTACGGGCCGCCTGCCTCCAACCCAGCTCCTCAGTCCTTGCCCATCATCGACCCGTCTACCGGCTCCTCACCCAGAAACATGTATACAGGTACTGTCCCGACCCCCTAAACCCCGCTGCCCGCAGTTACATGTGGCAGCGCGGTCTGAGCCTCTACTACGCGGGTCGCTTCCAGGAGGCGGCGCAGCAGTTCCGAGAGGACGTGGCGGTCAACCCGAACGATACGGGTGGGGGATGGAAGTCAGCGGTGGGAGGGGGGGAGTACGGGTGCTGGGGGCACTGTAGTACGGTACGGCAGGCTAACTGGCAGCAGCTGGGCGCAGCGAGGGAGGGAGCTCCCGACGTTGCGAGTTTGCCTAGGATGCTCCTTTCCTGGTGCCCTGTGCACATTTTAGGACAGTTAACGGTCATTCATTCAGTTAACCGCTGCAGAAAGCCCTGTATATGTACATGCCCTACCTCCGCATAGCCTGCTGGACCCCAACGCATTTGCTGGGAGGCCTGGCACACTTCTCACTCCCCACTGCTTCCTGCCGGCTCAGCTGCACCCCACTCCATGCATTGCGGCCCCTGCTGCGCTGCGGTTACCCCGCCCCCAGAGGAATCCATTTGGGCTTTCCTTGCCGAGGCACAGCTGTGGGGCCCGGAGCGGGCGCGTGGGCAGATGCTGCAGGTGGGGTAAAGAGGAAACAACTAACTAACTGAGGGAGAAGGCGTCAACATGGGGGGCGGGGAAGGCAGGACGCATGGGACATGGGAAGCAAGTTGGAAGCAAGGAGGGTGGGCAGGAAGGATGCACGGGGGGAAGGCGGGGGTGGCAGATGTGCAATCGGATTGCTGCACTTCCCTCGGCCTGATGACGGGGTTACGGCATGACGTGCACTTGGGTGCCTGCGTGGAAAGCCCAAGTGAGGTGTGCTGAGGCAACTTGCGTGCTTTCAAGGACAGCTTGGTTAGCTAAAGTGGCTAGGGTACCTGGGGTGATGATTACTACTCGTGAGGTCATGACGGTCATGAGATGCGGGTTGCTTCATGTCGTACACGCAGGTGGGTCGAGATCCACGGCCGGTGATGCGAGCTGCGTACGACTGCTTCCAGAGCGGAGAGCAACCCGACAAGGTGGGTGGGTTGGGGAGAAGGATGAGGAGGAGGTAGGACGTTACAATGTGAATGGGCTGGAGGCAGGAAGGAGTATCGTGCAAATGGTTTGCGCGGGGAGGAGGGTTATGTGCAGGCAGTGCTTCAGTTCTGCTGGAAGTAAGCAGGCGAGAAACCGTAAATCAAAGGCATCCGTCCTGTCGGCACGATACGCGCAGATAATGGCCCAAGCAACTGACAACGGCGGCCACGCCACCTTTTACGGCCTCTTGGTGAGCCCCTCTTGACATCATCACCATTGCCAACTGTGTGGCCATGTTCCTGAACTGCGCCTGTCTTGCCCGCCCTGCTTCCTTTGTTCCTTTCCTAGTTTATCGAGCGACCGTTACAATGGTTCCCTAAATGCAAAGTTTCTTTCCCCAAGGCTGCCGTACGCATGCCTCATCCCTAAACCCCGCTTTCCCTGCCCTGCACCTCCTTATGCACGTCATGCAGTACGTGGGTCTATGGCACGAGTCGCACGGGAACGCGGAGGAGGCGAAAAGGGCCATAACCGCTGCCGTACAAACCCCGTACGCTCGGCTCTCCGGGGACTACATGGCCGGCCTGGCCAGGGTACATTGCGGGCGCCGGGGTTGGGCGGCGGAGTGAAGGGCTGCGGCTGGTGTTGAAACATGGGGGGTCAGAGATAGCCCAAAACCACAGGAGGGGGCTGCAGGATGGGGTTGCCAGTAAGGGCCAATTAAGGCCAAACGGAGAGGTGTTTTGCTCTTCGGCTGGACAGGGGTTGCCTGGCTCAAGGAATGAAGGCTATCGTCCTCAGTAGGACATTGAGACGCGCGAGCAGTGGGGCGAACGGTTAAGCGCTGGTTGTACGATATGTTTAAGTATAGACGTGTTGTGCTACGGCTGCTTACTGTCCCAGTAGGTGATGAAGACAATGACGCAACGGTTACGGTACGGCACTTGTTCCAGCCCGTATGCAGCTGCGGTCACAACTAACCCTCTGCTGCTGCGTGACAACGGGCCTAGAAACTACCTGGAGGCATGGGTTGACTGCCCTACTTGCACGTCTTTGTTCATTTCCAAACACCTCGAGTAAGGTCTAGCGTGAAAAGCAAGACTTGGTCAACGGTCTGGACCTGTCAGCGGAGTCTTATTACCTGACAAACTACTGCCTTGGGGTTTCCGCCGTCGATCACAAGAGCACGTGGGGTGCTTCGCGCACGTATTGCAGGGTTTACCGGGAGTGCACTGACGGACGTGGGGTGGGGCCTATGCCACCAACAATCATATCCGCAATGCGCAGGTTCGTAAGCGTTTGCGCATGCAAATCCGTAAGGCGCCTGGGCCTACCATTTCTCCCACTTCTGTTGCCGGAAGGGACATGCGAGCAGGGGTACCTGCCTTTCAAGTTTCAACAAGTTCGCGCCCTTATGACAGTTTTGCTTTTGGTTGCTATGAGACTGGGTTGTACACATAACACCGCAGAAAGAATACTTTTAGGGCTACTGAAACATATGCCTATGGCGGTATCGGTATTAAAACGTTGTCTGTCTATCCCTCGAGTAGCTTAGTTAGAATAGTTACTACCAGGCGCATTGTCCAAATGTAAGTATCGTTCCGTTTGTTGACGGACATGACGGTAAGTGTGGTGCAGACATGGGGCCCGCCCATAAGGCCCAGAGAAGCAAATCGCTACTAGATACGGGAAAATATCCTGATACGTACGGCCCCGAAATGAGAAAAGGAGGTAGAATTGAAAGCACGAGACTTGTATTGGAATCTTTTAACATATGGCTTTCGTCATGGTGCGCTACGCCTTTTGACAACTTCGTGTAACAATTTTCGGAAAGTGTGGCGCATTCCTTTCTGCTCAGCACGTTACAATACATCCACTTCAGCGAATATCAACATTGGACAGCTTTGTTTTATATATTGCTGTTGGTGTGACGGTTACAAAATCAGTTCTCCGGTAGAGTAGGTCTTGCCGTTCACGTACCGGTAGATTCACCGTAGATTTAGGTCCATATCAAGTCAAGAGTCAGTATACTTCTGCAGAGTACACTATATTACAGAGCTTTCAGCATACTCTGGGAATGCTACCAAGGCTTGCAGTCTGGTGAACCTGAGGTCCACCGCCAGCTCTAGGCACGAAGGGGTGGCTGTCTTTAGTTTGCTCCTCTTCTTCTATTAGCTAGTCTAGGGCGATTGTGTTGCTTACATTACTGCTACCGTAAACGGTGTTGCTCTTGGTTATAGCCTACGGAACCTAATTTCGCGCGGTTTTCTAGGTCTTCAACAAAGCAGAGGGCTGCTTAGCTCTCCATGACTTCGTATGAGTGTTCTTTCGGCACCAATATCCAGCAGACATCGAAAGCCGCGAATGCCGGACCAACAGCTGCGCCAGACCCAGGCTTTCTGGATCTTCCGGAGCCCATATTACAGCAAATACTGGTGTTGTCTGGCTCTGGGGGCCCCGCAGCCGCGTGCGCATGTTCCTACTTGCAGACGACTTTTGATGCCGCGCTTACCAGCCCAGAGCTCGCAGCACGCTTCCTGATTGTACGCTACGGCCCCAGCACTGCCCTGTTCCATGTCTACGGTCCAAACGGTGTGGCGCGCTTCCTGCTTCGTGGAGCATCTGGCGGTCTGTCGCATGATGATGCGACCAACAAGTTAATACGCGAGCTTCTGCGTCTTGGTGCCTCGCCGCATGCCCAGGTGAGCTAGTGCCTGGGCCACTATGGAATACACGCTGTTATCAGTGCTCAGAGGCTCCAGCAAGTATTGCCGTGTTCCGGACCACAGCCCGAATTCCAGTTGGCCTCCATGAGTAGCTAAGCCTATGTGTATGACACACCAGCGGCTTTCACGCCATTGCTATCCGTTATATACGCTGCCCAACAATCTGTGGTGGTGGGCTCCTACTGGTGGGCAGCTGACCCTAGACCTGGCCTGCAACAACACCACACTCGGGCAATAACCTGTGCCCCCTACAAACTGCACTGCCCTACACCTCTCTTTCGTGCTACCCTTCATTCCTTCCTCCATCCCCACCCCATCCAACCTCCTTCCTCCCCAGGCACGCTTTCTCCTGGCTGCTGCGGCTGGCGCCGGCGACACGCGCACCCTTCGCACTATCCTAAGCGCCGGAGGCTTGAGCCCTGGCGCCAGTGGTGGAGGCGGCCGGGCGCTGGTCGCAGCCGCCGCTGGGGGCCATCTTCCCGTCATGCAGCTGCTGCTGCGCGCCGGCGTCTCCGCCCGAGCTGAGAGCGGCATGCCGCTGCGCGCCGCATGCCGTGAAGGGCATCTAGCTGCCGTACGGCTGCTGCTCAGCCACGGCGCCGACCCGCGGGTCGCGGCGGGAGCCGCGCTGGCGGAAGCGGCCCGCGGCGGCCATTTGGAAGTGGTTTCGGAGCTACTGGCCACGGGCACCGTTGACTGCCGTACACCGGCTGCAGCAGCGGCCCTGTCCGCGGCAGCTGCGGCGGGGCGCGATGACGTTGTGGTTGCTCTGCTGGCGGCAGGTGTTCGTCCGCCAGCCACTGTTGCTCAGCCGCTCGGTCGTAGTAACGGTAACGGTACCGGCAGCATCATCAGCGGCGGAGGTGGAAAGGAGGCGGTTCCGCTAAGGGCGCCACGACGGGCTGTGGGTCGGCTGGGCGGGAATGAAATGGGGGCTGCATCGGTTGGCTTTGGAGGGGTTGGGGCAGGCGGTGGTGGCGCGTCGCTGCCCAACAGCGGCGGCGGCGGCGTGCATGCAGCGGTGCGGTCATCTGCGCAGCAACAACATCACAATCGCCAGCAGCAGCACCAGCAGCAGCTGGCTACCTGCTCGTCTCGCATCCGCCCATAGGTTGGTTTGTTGGTTGTTGTACGAGGGGTAAGACGTGGTCTTGAGTATTGTCATGTGGCGCCTGCTTGTCTGTTGGGGTTTGCCAAGTGGGGGTGCTTTCCTTGGATACGTGGTTCCATGGCGCATGTGCATGATTAGGCGCCGCTGGGTAGCGGTGCCTCGAGAGTGAGGCTTTCTCTTGGTATGCAGTGAACGGGCGAGGAAGCCTGTTAATGGCAAGATGATTTGGGGACAAGAATAAAGGTCAGAGGGACACATTAACCATGATTGCATGACGTTTGCAAGCGCAGAAGCACACCAAAAGTGCAGAAGCAAAGGCATTCGTGCATTCGGGCAGTTTGTTGGGCCATGAGACATGTGTGCCATCGGTACAATCCATGAGCAAAGCAAAAGATGTATACAGCTTAGGTAGCTCTTTAATTTTGTGAATTGGGCCTCCGCCAGTGATTGCAGGCGGCACAGGAGCACGTCTTTGGGTGCCGTTTGGTAGCGCAAGGTGCTTGGGAAACATCTGGTGTTGCTCGGGTCTCGCGAACCTCAAAAGCACTAAGCGGCACGTGTGGTTAAACTGATTGCCAGGTTTGGTCCACTCGTCATCATCCGGGTTTACTTGATGCCATGATAGCTTTACCATGTGTACTGTAGCTTAGGACGCATCATAACCGTTTGCCGTCGCAGTTAATGGGTATTTTCTGGCTGTTATACATGTTGTTTGGACTGGTTGTTTTCGGTTACGGGTATTAACGGTTTGTCACCTAGTGTCGGAGGTGATGTCTTGGCTATCACCGGTTTGTTTCTTTCGTTTGCTGTTGGTTAATGACTGCATACTGGTTGTTGGTAATCACGTGTTACCGCGTGGCTGGGTTGTTTGGTTTATTGCTGGTTGGTTTTGCTGTGTATATGGCTTGTTTGTTGTTGGTTGGCCTGTTGAGTGTGTTCGTAGTTTAGTTGTTTGGTGAAAACCGCTGTTTGCTGCATGGTTGCTTGCTGATGAACGTTTGGTTATTCAATCTTAAGTAGTTGACTGCTCTGGTCACTCATGTCGGTTAGTGTTGTATGACGGTTGGGTATCTTTGGCGATAGAACGGCGGAAGGGGGCCTTATAATGGTGCGTGGTTGGGGGTTGGGGGGACACCTGGGGGATCCAGGCGTTGACGTAGCGAATGAAGGTTGACACTTCGTGACGTCCCTGCTCAATCTTTAATGCTGGTCTGGTAAAGGGATTTAACACCCGGACGGTTTATGAGCTGTAAGCTGCTGATGAGAAGGTTGTTCACTACTACGAGTGGGTATTGGGTTATGTGCGCACGGTAGGCCCAGCGGCACATCTGGAAGGATCATCGTCATGTAAGGTTACAATATGTTTCAGGACCTAACATGACCAGACCACTGACTTATGCAGGAGTAGGCACAAATCCGACAGTATTCACACGCAGGAAAGAGGGATGTAAAAGCTAACCTACTATCTAAAATATGAGATTGAAGAGGACCCTCAAACAGAGCTGGCACGATGACATAATGCCTGCATGCAAGGATACCCAACAGCTGGACCTACAACCCACACCTCGACAGTGACCTGAAGAGGAAAACTACAGCTTGCTGCACTTCATCTGCTATGGTAACCCTTGGCGCCATAAAGACGCATGGCAGAGGCTCAAATGCTTGACCAACATCAAATTCGAAGGAGTCAAACTCACGCAGTTACCAGACGAGAACACGAGATCCGTCCGTGAGCGACGTATCCTAATCTACAAAATTTAAAAGAGAAACAGCAGATAGCTGCCCCAAAATGAAGCCAGAAAAGGATTCTGTGTTTGGTAGATCCCACTAATGGTATACAGCAATGAAACACCCTGTTTGGTGTTTGGCGTTATGCAACTGACCCATGGGACAGCCCGGACCCACTGCGCTCATGCGGTCTATAAACAAGACTCACTGCCCCAACGCCAGACTGTATGCTAAATCGCAACGAGCGGATACAATGCAGCCTCAGAGGCTACCAGCCGCTGCAACCCCACCCGGTGAGACGGCCTCCCACAGGACCCGAAAGCATGCACAGCTGCAACCCAAATCCGCTGCATCCCACAACCCACCGTCCTACAGCTGCACGCCCTCCAACTCCTCATCCTCAAACGCCTCCAACCCAGCAAAGTCCTCCTCCTCCCATTCCCGGAACAAGTCCTCCCCCGCGCCATTCCTGCCGCCCCTGCCCGACACCATGTCAGTATCCTCAGTCGCGTCGGCGGTGCTGGTGGCTGTAGCACGCCTGGCAGCAGCGGGCGGGGCCGTCAGGGGCACCTTCGCTACACCGGAGCCGCCGCGGGAGACAGCGCCGCGAGGTAGGCCAGCACGGTCTAGGGATGCCGTGGGAGGGTCGACGCAGCGGCCGGCGGGTGTGGGTGCGGGCTCGGCATCGGCTGCGGTAGCCGGCGGCGCAGACTGGGGCGCGACGGGTCTGGGGCCAGCTGGGCTTGTAAGGAGCTTGGAGGGGTGCGGGTTACCGCCAGTCTGTGGCCATGTACAAGATGGTGGTGGTGTGGTGTGGTGGGCTCAAGAGGGTAAGAGTAGAGGAAGAGTAGGTGCTCGGCGAGCATTCAGATGGCAATAGACGCCTCGGAAGAGGAAAATGAAGCACAGCGCAAGCCGGCCTTCAAGCCCATTCCCAACGACGCGACCCGTCATGTCGGCAATGCACGCAGCTCTTACCACGTGGTCGAATGCGCTCTCGAAGCAGCGCTTGCGCCTGCTGTCCGCGTGCATGGGCTCCAGGTAGCCGTCCAGAGAGCCCTGGTGATAGCAAGATGCGAGGTAAGGATAAGAATATTGACGAACTGTATGATGAGGCTTAAGGGGTAAAGGGCGTACATGCAATGCAACCCCTGTGGTCGCAGTGATCCCAGTGAGCGAGCCAAGTCAATCGTCGCTGCTAACATAATGAGCTGCTTACCCGGCTCCTGCCCGAGTTGGTTGGCGATGACGGCGCAGCGGCGGCAACGTCCTCCAGATTGCGATCAGCGAACTGCAACAAGGAGAAGGAAAGAGTTAACCGCAAACCGAATTGGATTACCACTTTGCAATCCAGTCAAGAATATGCAGCGGCAGGGCATAATTTTCTAAATTAGCAGGGACCATGAACCGGCGAGGACGCTCAACTCACCGCAATGGGTCGCACGTGTTGCTCATCCTCCTCAGGCTGCAAGTCGTACTTGTGGAGCGCCCGGCGCCATACCTTGATCTGAGGTACATAGCATGCAGCGTAGAGGGCATTAAGAGCCTTATTGGGCTGGATAGGCAAGCACACGGTGATGGAGCTTTAAATCCCTTGCCAGTTGGAATGGGTACAACAGCTGTGCAGGGGTTTAAGTCGTCCTTCTGGATTGTCTTCCATGCGCGGCCCAGCCCCCACCTGGCCGTCAAAGCAGCGCTTGCTGATGTTCTGGTTGATGTCGGGCGTCACTGGGTCCAGCCACTGGTCGCCCTTCTTCCGGCGCTTGTTCCTGCGAGCGACACGCCAAGAAGGGTCGAACAGCGTGACTTGGCCAGCGAGAAAGGCGTTGCAAAAGTGCATAAACGTGGAGGATCAGGGATAAGGGACTACAAATGTACCAAAACGCTTGCTGCCTAGTTAAAATAGCATGGTTGGAAGAAGCTGCATCTGGCCACAGCTACATAACATGACACGAGACCCGTTTGTCGTGAGCATTATGGACCCCACGCGGTGGAGGTGCCTTGTCCCGTACAGCTCTGCACTCACTTGGGGACTTGCTCCAAATAGCGCTGGTAACCTAACGTGTTCTTGCCGTAGTCAATTTGCTTCTGTCGCTGCGCCAGGCGGTGAGGGTCCAGGTCGGCAATGGGCTGCTTGGGGAGGGTGCCGCTAGTGGAGGATGGCGACCTGGGCTGCTTCGGCCATCTTGACAAGCCGGAACCAGCAGAGGTGCCTCGACTATACTCCCGGTCTCGGCCGCTGCGAGGAGCTGCAAAGAAGGGGGCAGGAAGGCGGTGATGACCGAAAGGTAGGGGAGTGCAGGGCGGTCAAAGGTCCCAGGGTGAATACACAACGTGCGTATTTCATACTCCAGTCCAGCATAGCCAAAAAGAATATAACAAAAAAGAAATAACTCTTACATGCTGGCACAAGTAAGCAGCGTTCAAGTCTAAGCGCGGCGCAGAAATGTGAGCGACCATTGCCCGTAACAGACATAGCAAACACGAGGAACCTTGCCAGGGACGGGATAGCTTTGAGGTATACAATTCGAAAGTCATGTGCAGAGACGCTGAAGAGCCTAGTAACGGTCCAACGGACTGCCATGAGGCGCGCTTACCTGGCACGTCCTCTACTTCGAAATCCGCGCTGTAGTCTGCAACTGGCCGGCTCTTCTGTCGTCCGGCCATATGTTTGTTTTAAAAAGAGTTTCAGGTCAAACTCCTAACAAGGGCCGTGAAGGGTTTGGAAACTGGAAGCAATGGCTTTCAACGTCTACCTCCTCTGCGCAACCAACAGAGTGGCTACTACGAAATAAAGCCTAGTTGCAAGCAGTAAGGTTTAATGTTGTTGAAAAAGCGTAGTCCGGGTGGGCAGGATTTGAACTTAAATACCCGATTGGTGTCACAGTCTATGTCAGGAGGGTCAGCAAAACAGTCAGCAATATGTGCAATTGTCGTGACATGTGAGCATTGTGCATGTAAGTAGCTGCTATGAAAGATATCTGAGGCGTACGGCAGACGTGTACGTCTTCCAACTCCAATCGTCGCGGGGCATCGCACAACACTGCGATCGCAAAACCAAATCATAGCTGGCAAGGACCTAACACACCTACGGCTGCATACTGAAAAGGCCCAGCGTTACTCAGAGAAAAAACCAACCACAACGAACAGGTGTGCCCGATATGGCAATTACCACATAAATCACACATGCAATAGGTTTCCTTCAATGTTATTGGAAGGTTCCAAACCGTAACGTCAGAGCAGCGGCTAGAAAATAGCTCGAGGCGCACGAAGATATTGCGAATATAGCACCGTGCAAGGTTACACCATTGGCGAAAAAACATGAGCAGTTGTGGAGGAGCTAATGCGCAAATGGATGGCGACTCCGTGGGTGCCGTGGCATCGCACAGCCCCGATTGCGACCTCCTCTTGGTAGGGCTCCACCTGTTACGCCACCTGAACCACTATCGCCTCATTGATACCCAAATCCATATCAAATACTTGCCTTACTCTAAACGCCCTCGCACAGCCCCGCACCTGTCACCTGCTTCCGCACTTCCTATACCACCCACCATTTCCCATCGCCCCCCTCCTCCTTACCTTCTCTCCTGCCGACCACCTGCCGCCATCCAAACGCCAACCCCCCTTCATCCTTCACCCCTTCAACCCCACCCCTCCTCCTACCCGTCTTCCTACCCCTTCCTCACTCTTCCTCCCTCTTTCTCCCCCTTCCCCCTCCCGCCAGGTCTGCCGCGACGGCCGCCTGCCCGCCAACAAGTGCGTGCTGCGCCGCGCCTCCTCCGTGCTGCGCCAGACGCTCAGCCTGCAGCTGCCCACCCCGGGGGAGCTGCAGCTGCCGGCGGACAGCGCGGGTGCGTGGCGGGTGCTGCTGGGGCTGCTCAGTCTGGAGACCTACCCGCTGCAGCTGGTGAAGCAGGTGCGGGAGGCAGGGGGCGGGGGAGGGCAGGGGCAGGGAGGGTAGGGGCAGGGAGGGTAGGGGCAGGGAGGGTAGGGGCAGGGCAGGGAGGCAGGGAGGAGATAGGAACGTTATCGGTAGCCGACCGGCGATGGCTAAAGAGGGGGAGAGTGCGAGGAAGAAGGGGGTTGGCCGGCGACAGCGCGCATCAGGGCGTTGCAGAGGCTGAGCGCTGTTCAGGAGCTGTCAGCCTCTAGCTCTCCTAACAGGACTGTTTCACCGGTACACCCTGGGCCCGCCCTTCACCCGCCCCTCACACCCTGCATGAGCCGGGATCACCCGCCAGCACCCACGTCAGGGCCGCCGGCCTCCCCAACACCGCCGAGAACTGAGCTAGCCCAGTTTTAGTCCAGTTTTCATCACCCATCCGACATGCAACCCCCCTCCCCAAACCCAACCACTCCTCCCAACCCTCCACCCTCCACCCCCACCTGCCCCTCGCCCCGCACACAGGACAACGTGTGCGAGCTGATGGTACTAGCAGACAAGTACGACATCCCTGTCGTACGCGGCGCCTGCGCGCACTTCCTGCACCTCCAGGCGCCCAACCTCAGCCTCTCCGCGCCGCTCTCCTCGCCCCTCAACGTCTTCACCGCCGCCTCCCTCGTCTCCAAGTACTGCTCCCCAAGCACCCAACCCTCCCTGGAGGGATTCTGCTCCTCCGTTCTGCAGCAACTGGACGCCAGGCTGGAGCCGCTGCGGCGGCAGCCGCCGGAGGCGGGCTCCGCAGCGGTGGCGGCGGTGGCAGCCGGGCAGGGCGGCGAGGGGTACGCGGCGGCTGCGCAGGAGATGACTGCCATCCTGAAGTGGCAGATGGAGGCTGCACATCTGGTGGGGCAGCTGGAGGATGTGGTGGCGGGGGAGGAGTACTTGGCGCAGGTGGCGCCCGAGGTGCAGGTGAGGGAGCTGAGGGGGGTAAGGGGGTAAGGGAGGTAAGCGGGGCAAAACTTATACTTAGTGAAGCAACGGAGTCCGGGGAGGGGGTTTGGGTTTCCTAGGGATTCCCTCCCCTGCCTCACCTGCTCCCCTGCCTCTCCCTCCTCCTGCCCTCCCCCCCAGTCCAAGGTGTCCAGCGCGCTGCTGGCCGCGCTGCGCCACCTGACGGGCCGCCCGCCGCCCCTCTGCCCGCACTGCAGCCTGCCGCTGGGCGCCACCGCGGCCGCCTTCCACCCCGACTGCGCCACCGCCCACTTCACGGAGCTGCACACCAAGGGCTGCCGGCTGTGCGGGGTGGCCATGAAACCCGCGCACGCGAGGTTTTGCAACACGTGCGCCTACAGGAAAAACAAGCCGTAGGGAGAGGGAGGTAGAGGTGGGCGAGGAGGAGGTGTCTAGAGGAGGAGGCGGTGTGGACTGTGTGCGTATGTCGTACTGAGGGGGGCAGCGGCTGGGCGGTGTACTGGGAAGTTGGTTAGTTGGGAAGGATGGGGTGGGGTGGGAAACGTTGGCAGGAGGTTGATGCGATGAAGGAAGGGGTGCAGAGGTGACGCGCGGTTGCAGGGGTAGTCGGGCAGGGATGGCCGACAGCAGGATGGTAGGATTGTCAGGTAAAACGCAGGGTGAGGCAGAGCAGGATGCATGTATTTATTGGTTCACGTGCTGTGATGTGCGAGGGTATGTATGGAGGTCAGGTCCAGAGCTTGTGTCGTGAGTGGTGGAGTGAAGCTGGCTGTAGTTACCGGTAGTTCCAGCTAGCCCTTGTTCGTGCATGCAGGGGGAGCGCTACATCACCGCATGCGGCGCACTGGCGTTAGGGTTAGGAAAAGGAAGTGAGACGCCTGGGGTAAACCCGCACGGCAGATTAGAGCCAGCCAGCAAGGCTAGTCTTAGGAGGGATCCTCTGCAACATATTGGAAACGAGGTATTCGCACCGCCACCGTTGACGGTGCATGTACGATGTGCGCCAGAGGTTGCTGCGGCGCGGATGTTTCCCCAGGCAGGCAGTGTAGTACAGCTTTAGGGGCACGCAGGTCCGTTAGTAGTAGCAGGTGTGGCAGTTCGGAAGCTGTGTCAAAGTCATTAATAGACAGGGTGCTGCTTGTGTACTGGCCTGGAGCTGTTGATACGCATGCACTAGAGACATCACATGCGGGTGGCGCCATGTCTTGTCACCGACTTTGTCGTGCAGTTCCATTTGCCGTACAAGTAGGCAGGGAGACGATGAGGTGTGCGCGCTGGTGTGCTGTAACCTACCGGTATTGTTGCGCGCAGTCTTCAGAGCCGCTGCTGAAGAAAGGGAGGTTATCTTGCATAAGAAGGTCTACCTTTTTGGATGTGCATGAGTAACTTGTGGGTGTGTGGTTGCATTGATGGCTGAGTTGCTTACACCCTCACACGCATCTGCGGCAAGTTCTCGGGTTTGCTTAATGTTGATGCGTGTTTAGAGGCGCGGGCGGAGGGCATCGTGCGTTTCACGCTCGCTGGCGCTTTTGCTGGTTCAGCCTTTTTCCAGCCGTCCTATGCGTGTGTTAAGAAAACTGGCCACGAGGCGGAACGTACTGTGATTGCTGGAAGGTATGCGTGTCGACGTTGGCTGCATCCCTGGCGCCGTACGCTGTTTGGTTGCGGCCGTATGCGTTGAGAGTCGTTAAGGCATTCGCCTTTCAGCCTGGAGTATACCCGTGCAGACCCGTGATTCAGGCAACCTTGGCCCGATGGAGTTGAAACGTGAGGGATGTTCGGGTATCACCGACGCCTGCGCATGCCCTTCTACTGGCTGCAACTCTTGAAGCCGAAGACCTTGTAAGTAATCGCGTCCTGTCCCACTCCCCAGAACTGAAGCAACAATAGCAATGTCGACTACTCAAGCAGCCAACGACGAGGGTAGCCTTCTGGACGCCAAGGGCTCTGCTGTGACTCGGGGGCCGATCCTCCTCACATCTGCATCACCTCTGCAGCTGTTGCTACGCGATGGCGTGCTGCTTGACAGCAACGCCTGCGTGCTGAGCCAGGCCTCCTCCGTGCTGCGGGAGACCCTGAGCCTGCCGCTCAGCCAGCCCGGGGTGCTGGAGCTGCGGGAGGATGACCCGCAGGCATGGAGCGCGGCGCTGCAGATGATTAGCCTGCAGGTGTATCCGCTTCAGCTAGTGACGCAGGTACCGTGGGAAGCGCTGTTGTGGTTAAAGTTGTGATGCCAATGTAGGGGAGGTGTAAGCGAGGACACGGCCTCCCTCTATTCCGGGGTCAGCAAAGACGGACGGGTGGTGCTGTGGGCTGCTGCTAGACGTCTGCAAGAGCGGAGAAGAGAATGCGTCATTGTCCATCAGGGCGTGTGGCTTACTGTTTTGTAGCAATAAGCAATAACCCCAGCCCATTCATAGCCCAACACCAGGAAGCATTTCACTGAAACCCTTTGAACCGCAGGAAGACGTGGCTGCCCTGCTGCTCTTGGCGGACAAGTACGACATCCCTGTCGTACGGGGGGCTTGCGCGCATTTCCTGCACCTCCAGGCGCCCAACCTCAGCCTCTCTGCGCCTCTCTCCTCGCCCCTCAACGTCTTCACCGCCGTCTCGCTTGTTTCCAAGTACTGCAGCCACTGCCCTGCTTTGGCGCCGCACTGTGATGCCGTACAGCAACGCTTAAATGCCGTACTACAGCCGTTGCTGCAGCAGCCGCAAGGCACTGCCGACATTTCTGCATGGGCTGCGGAGGTGGCTAAGCTGGTGCCGCAACTGCAGGGGCTGATGGGGAGCAAGGGTTACCAAGCGATGGTGGCGCCGGATGTGCAGGTGAGTGCGCTTCAACCCTTTTGAAAGAATGAGTGGCCGTTACAGTGATCCCTTCAACGTAGCTATGGAGTTACTAGATAGTACCAGCCACCGGCGGGGCACACACGTTGTGAGGGAGGAGGGCGGCTCCGTCTGCCCTTATAAGGCCGTTCAATCTGAGGCCTCCCGAAGGCCCTTACTGCAAATGCGGCCATCGCATGTTGAATGAAATGCTGTTACACGGCGTCGTCGCCTGTGGATCCTATGCTGCATTTAGGCCGTTGCTCATGAGCTAGCCTGGTCCATGGGCCTATTAACCCCCCTCCACTAATTGGGCTTGGCCAACCCAAAATCCGATTCCGACACTACTTGCACAGCGCTTAGCTAAGCCGCGCACGCCATGCTGCCTTTCCTTTCCAACCGGCGGTGCCCCCACCCTTTTCTCGCCCTGCCCCCACCCTTTCCTCGCCCTGCCCCCACCCCAACCCCCACCTTCAGGCCCAGGTGTCAAGTGCGCTGGCGATGGCCCTTGGCAACATGGCCGGTCGCATGCCCAAGCCACCCGTGTGCAGGCACTGCAGCCAGCCGGTGGACACCTTGACAGCAGGTGTTCACCCCAACTGCTCCGAGAGATACTACAAAGGTTACTATACCAAGGATTGCGGCAAGTGCGGGACCACCATGCCACCCTCGCACACGCGATTCTGCAACACGTGCGCCTACAAGCGCAACTAGGGGCCGTGTATGACAGTTGTCAGTGTCAACTTGACACTGGGCAAAAATGGTGGGAGCAGTTTCTTTTTTTTGTTTCCGATGTGGACTATGACGGTAGCACATCGCTCCTGGCATGCCGTACCGGTAACTAACCACATATCAGACATGTGGCATGCCTCGTTCTTCTCTCTAAACGTCCCTAAGCGATATTGCATTTTCAGGCTGCCACCCATGTTTCGTAGGAGCATGTAGGGGTCTTGCGGCTTCAGGAGCAATTTAAATGCGCGATGGCAAACAGCCATGAGCCCAAGACACTCGTTTTGGTGTCGCAAGTGTGGACCCCAGTGGCGTTAGGTGTGCAAGCCGGTGCGTGGGCGCGACATCGGTTTCAATGCCATGCAGCCGTTTGTTGTACTCTTGTATAAAGAACGGGTCCGTGCGGGTATGCAAACGCACGATGTGTCTACGTCTTTCCTTTTTGGGCGGAGCCCCCGCCGCGAAGCGGCTTCGGGGGGGCTCGCCCCCCAGGGTTGCCCCTGTCCGTGTGTCCGTGTGTCCGTGTGTCCGTAACGTCAAAACATATAAACTAGACAAAACTATTAATTGCACCTAATAGATATTCGTTATCTGTATTCAGTAAAAATAACTGGAAGCCAAAAAAACTTGATTTCGCAATAAACAATTTACCGGTATTGACCAGCCATCGAAAAGGACCACCTCGGCAACACCGATTAGCGCTCCTCTTTGGTGTGTCCTGGTACCGTAAACAGTATTTAGTGAATTGGTAACAGCGGCGTGCCGGCAAAGGGCTACTTGTGAAAGCCGGCGGGAGCATGCTCGCATCTACTGTGCTACTCAGAGCCCACACAATCCTTTGTGACGATGTTGCCAGCCTTTGCTATGGGTTTGTGCGTATGAACTGTAACGCAAACGGGTACGGGGTACCTCGCTTATAAGCTAACATGTCATGTGACGGCGCAATGGCTGAAGTCCTCCTGAGCACGATGCCGAGATTGCCGAGCCTGACCTCCTCATCATGTTAGTAATGTAGGTGAAACCCTAACGACCTGCGGGACCCTGAAAGCACTCCCATGTGGCAGTTACGCCGTCGATTTGGGTTCTGTAGCCTAATGCGTGGGTGTTATCAAGCATGATAAGACGTTACTAAGTACTCGATTGAACAGGCGTAACCTAACAATGTGTGCAGGCGTAACCTAACAATGTGTGCAATGAGTGAGGACACTATGTACGCCATGGGTGAACAAGGCGGCCGGCCTCGGCTGGACAAGGGGCTTTGAGCCCGTCTAGCCATGCAACGAGCACTAAACTACAGTAAACAAGGGGGTTCAGCGTCCGTGTAACAAGGTGTGTTAGAATGCGAAAGTGCCGTGGAGCCACAGGAGCGCATTCCAGGTCTATAAGGCCCATAGGGTTGTGCGTCGCACTTGAGTCGTTCCACTCCCTTGTAATAATCGCATTCATCCCAGTGGTAATAATACGTTCCCGTACTGAAGAGGAGGGGCTCCGCCCTTTTCCAGCTTTGAGGAAGCTGAACCCACTTGTCTTGGTCGTCCCTTCCGCTCACATGCCTAACAAGTTGGAAGGCCATGCAAGGCCGCCTCTTGACCCATGGGTCGCGACATGGACCCTGCCCCATGTTGGCGCCGCAAGAAGGGCCCAAACGGCCCGGCATGACACCGTTGGCAAGCCCCGCTATTTTGTTGCGGTTAGCGCTGAAACTATGCAACTGTAACAGACACAGGTGTAGTAATGAACATGCCCATCCGTCACACCACAGCACCTGCGTTCCCTTTTGGGAACCATTGCAATGGTAACCATTCACACCCGCCCGCATTCTACCAACTGGTACATGCTAATGGCAGTACAAGTGCTTGGCGGAGTCATACACCTGGATGCTTTGCTTTGTCCGGCAGGTTTGGTAATGCCAACGGCCGCCTCCGTTCCCAAACGAGCGCGCAAGGTCACGCAGGTGTACCTAGGCTGTGACACAGGGGTACCTTGCTTGGGTTAATGGGCATGCTCAGTAGCATAGTCAACGTCCATGGCAGGTATGCCATGGCGCTAATAACATGGGTACGCGCGTGGAGTTTAGACCGGTGGCGAGTTGTCTGGAGTTGCACAGGGCTTTACATGAACCCTTACTTTCCGACTTACTTAGACCCTCCTACTGTACCGACGTCGGCAAGCGTAGCGAGTAAAGCTCCACGGCAGCATGGCACTGGGGGGCTCACTGCTCAGCAGGTCGTTTCAATTCCTGGATGTCAGCATTATAAAGCCCTCCGCGCGCGTACATTACTACGCGTCCCACTATTGCAGTAGACTAGGGAACGGCGATCTTGATGCGGTGCATGCTGAGGCGGTTGCACAGTGTGACAGAGGGCTGCCCTTACTTGATTGTATTGCCGCATTGGCGCTGAGACTCCTAAAGCCTGAAGCAACTGACAAGCGTACAATTGAATCCTAGCATAGGCTGCACTCTTATCGGCACCTAGCATGCGGAAGACCGCAACCCGTGAACATCATACCCGTACCAACGCAGCGTGGGTCATCAATCAAAGGAAAGACTCGACCCGATAATCAAGTGGGCACTCCACCCTAAGCGACACATCTTCCACATTTATATAATTTACTGCATAAACCCAAAGAACCGTTGCGTCCTGGTGGTAAAACCTGCTGGCTTAGCTAGCTTCCAAATGATAGTAGGCAACCAGGGTCTTACTGGAACATCTCCGTGACTTGGTAGCCATGGACTGCTCCACCCTCACGCTTCTATGCAGTGAGGCCAGTGACGGTAGCGGAGGCACACGCAAGGTGACGGCACAGCGAAGCCTGCTGCGACAGGCCTCGCCTGTTCTGGCTGACACATTGGCCCAGCCGCTCGCCAAGCCGGGTGTGCTGGATATGCAGCCAGACGCCGCCGCCGACTGGGAGGTAGCACTGGAGATGATAAACCCGGGCAGGCATGCCGTGGCGCTGGTGACATGGGTACGTGTACATGTATTGTTTCATTGGCGGCAGGGAACAGTGTGACAAGGAGAGGAAAAGCACTAGAGCTTCCGCTCGCATAGACCTGCCCTTGACGGCTGCTGCCAACCCCACCCACACCTCCGTTCTGCAGGACAACGTCACTTCACTGCTGGTATTGGCCGACAGGTACGACATGCCTGCCGTACGGGGCGCCTGCTCGGAGTTTCTGGCACGTCATGCTTCGTACTTGGATCTGAACGAGCCGATCTCCACGCCCAAGAACCTGTTGCGGACAGCCAGCCTGATGCAGCGCTACTGCAGCGGCTATGCAGAGCTCAAGGAGGACTGCGACACCGTGGATGCAGCGCTGCGCAACACGTTCAGAGACTTACCTTATGGCCTCCGGCACACCGGGACATCAAACTCACTCCCGCTGCTGAGAAAGCTATGGCAGCAGCCCGATTTTGCTGGCTACGTAGAGCCCAAGACCCTGGTAAGGCACCCGGCGCATCCTAGAACGCCATGCTAGTTCGTCGTGTCTGTCCGGTCATCCTGCACCCTTGGCAGGGCTGCCCGCCATCCGCCTGACCAATGCCGCCGACCAGCAACGCTGCCTGCTGAGACCGCCTGTTGTGAACTCATTCCTTTGTGAACGCATTACTTAAAACGTCAAATAAACCCGAATTTTCTTTGTCCCTTTAACCAGGCCGCGGTACTGGATATCTTCATGGCGGCCGCCGGCTATCCGTAGAAAGCATCAATGGCGGCAAGCGGCATTAGGGCGGCACCGCTGGCCTGTCGCATGGCTCACGGGAGCGGCGCCACAAGGTTGATGAGGAGCATCGGTTGTCGTATTTGTTCATATGGACTCCGCCATGGCAACTTCGGTTGTACGGTTCTGGGGGCCCCGGGGTTGAGCAAGAAACATGCTTGGCGTTTTGGAAAGCGAGGGTTCACCAGATAGAGAAAGTGGCCGCTTGTTTGTTGCTCCTTACATCTTTGATGACACGGTTTCGGAAGCATGGCACGAAGACACGAGATGACACGAGCAGAGCAAGCGTCTGCTGATGCATTTCATAATGCGTCTGGGTATGCTTTACTGGGACCCCTTGTTCGTCAAATGTTTGAATGTTGCGCTTGTAGGACAGCTTGGTTCCATGGATCATGGATCAGCTGGTAGCCCAGCTGCAGGACCGGCTGGCTGGCAGCAGGGAATACTGAGCAACAAAAAGGCAGCCTATGGGCGCCTAGGGTGGATGTCACCGGGACACATGCATATTCTTTAACGGGTACTCGTGTCAGTAATGAGGGAAGTTGTGTTGGCGTCTATTGGACCGTGCCGTACCTACCTTGGGCTATAGATGTTTGCACTAGTTGATCCCCGCATGGTTGTTCCATTCAAGCGTTGGTATAGCGCTTCTGGCCACGGCTCTGGCTGCATGAGCAGCATGACCGGCACGTCCTATTCTTTTGCACGCGCGCTTCATGGCTTGCTGCTGCGCGCGCGGTTGTTCCTTCGTCGGGGTGGCTGGGCTTCACGCGGGCTTCGTACCTTGGCCCATGTCTGGCGCAGGGCTTCGTTGACATGGAAGCGCGCAAGCAAATACCTACCTGTACAACTGCAGCAGGTTTTCAAGTGGGCCGACAGCGAGGGCTGTGCTGAAGTGAGCGTATATGCAAAGCAAAGGCAGGTGCAGCCATGATCCGCCTCATCCGTAATGACCGTATCCCTTTCAGGCACGTGCATGAAGGCTGCTAGACGGACATTGTGATGCTCGCATACGGCAAGTCAGTCATTAGCATTCACCCAAGCACCCCGTTCCGGTCGCAATGGCATGATGCCGACCCATGGGTCGCTGCATGGACCCCACAGCCATCTGAACGTCAAGCTTGACGGTTGCCCATGTAAGCACAGCTACAGCTATTTGTGGGCCACACATCTCATAGTAGCACAGCGCCTGCCTGTCCTCCACTTAAGACATACTGCGAAGTTAAAAGAGTACTGTCCAACCCTCTATGTACGTGTGGCTGGACCATGCGGTTTGTGCAACTGCTCAGCGGGCTAGAGCATGGCAACCTTGTTGCGGTGCTAAGGCTGTAGTGCAGAGCGACAACGGGATGCCCTTAGCTGCCGCCCAGGCGCTCAGGTTGCCAACGACTGCTGAAGCACATAACAAAGCGTGAAAGTGAAGTCAAGCGGAGGCCGCATTGGACGCGAGCCATGCGATCTCATCGGCGTTAGGCACGGGCGACGACCGCTACCTGTGAAGACCAACCCGTGACTGCGCCCTCGCACCTTGGGTCAGTCCAATGCGATGGTCCTCCCGATGATGGCGCTTGGGCGCTCGAGTACAAAGCAGCTTCCGCTCATAGGGTAAAGTCGCACGCACATGCCAACGCATTCTTCTTTGCGTGCTGTTGGTACACATACAGTGGCTCAGCTTCCAAGCACCTACATAGGTCACCAAGGTGTTGCTGAGGCATCTTCGCAACGAAATAGCCATGGGCTGCACGCTGAAACTCATGTGCAGTGACGGCAAAGGCGGCACGCGCGAGCTACCGGCGCGCCGAGGCCTGCTGCGACAGGCCTCGCCTGTACTGGCTGACACATTGGCTCAGCCGCTCGCCAAGCCAGTCCTGGATATGCAGCCAGACGCCGCCGACGACTGGGAGATAGCGTTGGAGATGATAAACCCGGGCAGGCATGCCGTGGCGCTGGTGACATGGGTACGTGTGCTAAAACAACTGAACCGCGTAAGGTTTTGACCATAGCTGTCGAACATGGATGGGCAGAGGTGTGGGCGACAAGGGTATTTGTGTCTCGACGAAGGGGCAAGTTCAAAAGCTGCCCTATGCGAGCATCGCCATCGGGGGGCTATGGAAGTGATGGCACATCCCGCACATGCATACATGGCGAAACAGCACAGCTGATGCTGTTAAGCATATCGTACATGTTACATCAGGGTGGTCACAAAGGACAGCAGTTCGGAATGCCGGCGCATAGCAGGGAGTTGACACCCCGGCCGCACCTTGTAGAGGCCTGCCATCCCCATCCATACCTCCGTCCGTTTTGCAGGACAACGTCACTTCGCTGCTGGTATTGGCCGACAAGTACGACATGCCTGCCGTACGGGGCGCCTGCGCGGAGTTCCTGGCACGTCATGCTTCGTGCTTGAAGCTGGACGAGCCGATATCCACGCCCAAGAACCTGTTGCGGGCAGCCAGCCTGATGCAGCGCTACTGCAGCGGCTATGCAGAGCTCAAGGAGGACTGCGAAGCCGTGGATCCTGCACTGCACAACACGTTCAGTGATGTTACTTCCGTCCTTCGGGTCCAAAGCATGTATCTGCTGCCGTCAGCCCATTTGCTGAAGCAGCTAAGGGCGCAGCCCGATTTCCTGAACCTCGTGGAGCCCAAGATCCTGGTAAGGCACCTGGAGTACCTATCCCGGAAAGCTATGCTACCGTAGTTGTTACCCTATATTATGGTGCTCATAGGGCGGCTTCGTGTCCGTCGGGCCATCCTGCATCCTTAGCATGGCTAACCGCCTTATAACAGATGCCACGAGTTAGAAACCCCACCTATGCCGCCCGTTGTAAACTCAATCGTATGTTTCTGAAAGTCGTATCGGAACCTCCTGAATCCCGACAGGCTGCGGTGCTGGATCTCTTCATTGCGGGCGTCTGCAAGGAGTAAAAAAAGCAATTGGGATGACTGGCCTTAGGATGTTGACCATGCCACGAGGTAACCTCCTTAACGGTCAATCAAGGAGGTTAATTACCGGTATAAGGCCATGCCATGAGGTTGTCATGTTGAAAGGTTACCATGTTACCGTCTGTTGAACGGGTTTGAGAGTTTCGAGCGCGCAGTTACCAGTGTATCTGTTAGCTCCTGCAGCTTTAGTGCCCTTACATACAGTGCTGGATAATTCCAATATGGGACATGCTTGCACGATGCCTCTCAACTGCTGTATATTTGTTGGATCCAGCTCGATCCAGGCATCTGGTACGCCGTGGGCTTTGCCGAAAGCATTTCTGCTGTAATCCCTGGAAACCGCCACCAGATATGTCATGTACCATACAGCACGTAGGGCACTGAACACTTTGGCTCCAGGTGCGGTATCTGGCCTTGGCTTTGTCAATAAATGCGTAACAGCGTAAAGGACTACAGTCTTTTGCAGTAGATATTTTTAAAGAGACGCACAGCGCCTTGCCTGTCTTCGAAAGCTCATCTCCCTTTGGGCGTAGATATTGGCTTTTACAACCGTTACCATGAGCGAAGAACAAGATCGCAAGCGCCCCCGCCCCATTCCTGATGACGAGGAAAAGGCGCAGCAAGTCGGAAGTGGTGTAAACTTGGGTGGCACCAATCCCAGCGCGCAATTGCAAGGCGAAGGCCCTGTCACCACAGACATTCCCGCAACATCCACCCTTCTCACAGCTGCATCACCTCTGCAGCTGCTGCTGCGCGATGGCGTGCTGCTTGACAGCAACGCCTGCGTGCTGAGCCAGGCCTCCTCCGTGCTGCGGGAGACCCTGCGCCTGCCGCTCAGCCAGCCCGGGGTGCTGGAGCTGAGGGAGGATGACCCGCAGGCATGGAGCGCGGCGCTGCAGATGATCAGCCTGCAGGTGTATCCCATGGACGTCGTAAACTGGGTGAGCTGTGTGGCAGTACTGGGAATGCTGCGCTCGCACAGTAGTTTTACACTCTTTAACTTAGCAGCCATAGCCACGCTCCTGCAAGCTGTCGGGTATACAGTCCTACGTACCCTACCTCAACATGCGCGCATCATATACGGCACGATTGTACCATCAGGTACGAACTCCCCACTGCATTGCCCAACTTACGGCATATGTACCCCACCTGCCCTCCTATTCCGTCTCCCTCTACAGGACAACGTGGAGCGCTTGCTTGTGCTTGCTGACAAGTACGACATGACACTTGTACGGCACACATGCGCCGACTTCCTGGCCCGGAAGAGCTCCGTCGGAGAGCTCAGCATGAACCAGCCGCTCACCTCCCCTCGCAACCCGCTCAGGGCCGTGTCCCTGGTGGATTCATACTGTTCCGGCATCGCTTCCCTCCAGACACTTCACACTGCCGTGCATAAGGCCCTTGATACGGCTCTTGCACCGCTGACCGTACCGCTGCTAAAGTCCAAGCAGACGTGTGCGGATGTCGTACGTCTGCTGGGCGAGCTCGAAACCGGGCTGACGAGTACCGGGGGGGACAGCTGCTTCGCCGGCATCAGCCCCAGTGTGCAGGTAAGATACGGCCATGGAGGTGATGGATTTCTAACGTTCCAGGACTTCCCAGTTGTATCGCACCGTTTGTGTGCTCCGATGGTGTGCTGCCGCTTTTGCCTGTAATTGCAGGATGCAGCTTGTGTTGTACCTGAAAATGGGCTCGTGGTCCTACCCATGTAATTTTGTCGTGCATGTCGTACCCCCATTGCCATGCTGGGCCCTTTTACCTGGCAGGCTGCGGTCATGCGGGGCCTCATCACGAGCCTGCGAGGAGTGGCTGCAGCAGCGCCCATCTGCCACGTATGCAACAGTGCGGTCGGTCGGTGTGAGCCACTAGTGCATCGCTCCTGCCTGAATCTATCTGTCTCTGCTGGTATACCCATCCGGCGGTAGGGGGAGGGCATTAGGTCGCAGGGGCAGATGGCGGCCGTTGGGCACCACGCTGCGTGGAGGTTGTGGCCGGCGTGGAGGTTGGGGCTGGGTTGGTTGGCTTGGTAAGCCGTACGCGGACTTAGGCATGACGTCAAGGAAATGGCAGGATTATCATAGATGGCAGGAGGGCATAACTGATTCTTTAGGAGCGGCCTGGTAGCACTTGGTAGGAGCTTGGGCTTGTATGCAGGTGCTTTCCTATTAACATGACCCCTGGATCCGCAACGGAGCAGAGGCACTTGTGCAGGTACAACAAAGCAGCATTAGGTAATAAGGTAAGGTTCTAACGCTTTGGGGCTAAGTTGCAGGTTGTATGTCTGTAGCGTGATCCCACTTGGGGATGCCGTCGTGTTATGCTGATAGCTGCCCTTTGCATGCGGGGGATGTGGGTTTATGACTTGGTTGCGGTCAGCAATGGCAGGAGTTGCACAAAGTGGCCGGCGCGGTTAGAGCGCGTGCGTGCGTGCGGGGAGCGACAGGCTAGTAGCAGGTTTGCAGATGTGAGTGGCGCATGGGCGTGTAGCAGGTTGCCGACTGCGGACTTTAGCCGACTGATGTTGATTTCCAAAGCTGCGGAAATTCACGTACAGCTGTCACCACCACCCAAAGACAGACCGTCGTAGGGGTCCTAGCTCGAATAGTGCCGCGGGCATTGGTGGTCGACGCAAGAAAGCCGCCAAACCAGGAGGCCATGCAAGCCCCACGATCACGGTCACCCACTCGCCACCTGCCAACCCAGGTTCATGGAAACAGAGATTATGTTTCATGTACCACACACGCCTCCTGCGAGCAAGACATAGGGACATGAATGCCCCTACCAGCATGCGTAACAATCTCACGTCGAGGGAATCACGCAACCTGCATTTCATGCGCGCACATTAAGATCACCAATCATGTCTGTCGGGGCCCCTCTTTCCTGGGCATGCATGCTAGCCGCCTCTTCCTGCCTCGACCACCACTTCACCGTACATCGCGCCTGACTATCCACCATATTAACTGGCAGCACTAGCAGCTGCCTGCCGCCCGACTGCCCAGCCCGACAGGCTGCTGCTTCTGTGTCCAATCGTGCAGGGGTGCTCAGCTCCCGGCTCCGCACCACCACCACCGCCAGCAGCAGCTTCCCCACCCCACCCCCCCTCACCCCGCGGCCACGGGGTTGACGGTGAGCGGCATGCACTCCATACCCAGCTCGGAGGTCAGGACAGCGCACACCTGGGGGTTAAGAGGGAGAGAGGGGGTCATTGGGGAAGGGAGGGGTGGTAGGAGAAACGGGAATAACGTGAACCGAGGGCGTCAGGGTGAGACATGGGGTCATGGGGCCGGGGTAGCGACAGCACTTGTTAGGGGGCGAGTGGCTAGGGAATGGCCCCATGCTTTGAATTCAAGCAACACTGTCCCCATGAGGCGAAATCACCAGACCCGGCCCCATCCTCACCCCCCCCCCCCAAGCCCCACCACTCCCCCGGCCCTGCCCACCTTTGCCTGCTCCTCCGGGCCCCTGCACAGCAGCTGCGCGGTGCCGTCCCCCTGCGAGCCCACCCCCTTGCCACCCCAGATCAGATCCTGGATGCCGGCGTACGACAACACCTGTGGCGCAGTGGAGTTTGCAGACGCGGGGAAGGATGATGGCCGGGTGGGGTGCTACCGTATGCAAGGAAGCATGAACACAGGGAGCGGAAGCGGCGAATCAAGACCGAGCGCATTCGGAAAGTCGCATGAGAGAGGTTGGTATCGGTATGTCGATCCCATTAGCCACCTATCTGGACCCTGCTACCATTCCCTCTCCCTCCAGTCTCCTGCCCCCACCCCACTACATACCTTGTGCAGCACAGGCGCGGTAAGTTGTTCGGGGCACAGCGGACCCGCCAGCTCGTCAAACAGGCGCTGAGCCTCAAGCATTAGCTCACTGGGGGAAAGGGATGGGAGCAGGGAAGAGCGGTTACAGTTACAGCAGGGAGGGTTCTAAGGCGGGAGAGTTGTGTTGGGTCGGTGTATGGGGTTGGAAGTAGAAGGATGCTGCAAGGCAGATGATCTTTGAAGGCAGGACACGCGGCAAGGGTCCACCAGCTGGTCAGTTTTCCCGGCAATATGCCCCAGCACCTATGCGATACTGCAAGGCGCTCATCCACTTCAAAACCCGCCGCTCATTCAGCTGCCTCCCAAACCCAGGCACACTCCTACGTATCCCCCCTTCCCGCCCTCCACTCTCCTCCAACGGACTCGCCCCCCACCGTCTCGCCCACCCCCCCCCGTTCCCCCCTCACCCCAGCCTCCTCGTGTCCCCCGCTGCCATGGCCTGCAGCGCCTGCCCCGTGATGCGGTGGTTGAGGGGGCCCAGCAGCCGGTGCAGGCCCTCCTGGTGGGGCTGAGGGAGGTTGGAGGGAGAAGGGGTGGAGGAGAGGAAGGAAACCACCGTGTGGAGGGAAGGAGAGGGAGGGGCCGAGGGGATGAGGAGGTGGCCAGGAAGGGCACCTATCAGCTCGCGACTCAGTTGGGTTGAAGAAACATGCCCGGGTAAGGGGGCTCTTCTATTACCGGCCGCATCCTCATTCATCCCATGTACCCAGGCCCCCACCCGAACCCACCGTCTCCGGCTTTGGGTACGCCCTCTGCAGGCTGCGCAGGATGGTGGTGGTGTCCTTGGTCGCCCCCAGGTCCACCAGCACCAGGTGCAGCGGGGCTGGGGGGTCAAAGTCCATACCATACCATAGGGAACCACAGGTTGGAGCAAAGCAATGGGGATGGGAGGCGGCAGGGTGCCGCAGTACAGAGAGTTGGTTAGTATTGGGGCTGAGGGGGGGAAAAATTAAATAAGTGAAACAACGAGTCCCAATCCCATATCCCGACTCATGCAGTGAGCGCATTCGAGGGGGCTGAGGGGGGGGAGAGGAGAGGAGAGGAAGAGGGGAGGAATGGGCTGTGGGGAAGGGAGGAAACAGGGCTAGGCCACCAAACCCCCCGCTTCCACCACCACAGTCCCCACAACCAGCTGCACCCACGACCACCCACCCACCCACCCGCCAGCTGCACTCGCTGCACCGTGAGGATGTCCGCGTCAAAGGTCATCAGCACCGGCACACTGCCGTACGCACACGCCTGGTCCATGCGGCCTGACAGGTTCACAGGGAGGAGCCGAGGAGGGAGCAGGAGAGAACGGCGAGTGAGAGAACAAGTACCGTAAGGGAGTTCAAGGGAAGCAAAAGGGTGCCGTCCTACATCCACACCGTCGTGATGGTTTTTAACCCCTCCGAGTACACCTTTCAACTGCCAGGCCTCCCAGTCCTCCACATGCTGCTGTGCTGCTGCCACTACGGTACGGCAAACAGTATGTCCTATCCTATACCAGTAGTGTTCCCTTCCTGTCCTCCTGCGCTCCTCACCGCACTTGGACGGTGTGGCCACCTCCCCCAGGTAGGCCAGCTCCATCTCGCCCCGGGTGGTCAGCCGCAGGTCGAACACGCGGTTGAAGGCGCGAGCCACCTGCAGGACGGGGGGGGTCAAAGACCATACCATAGGAGACCACAAGTTGCAGGGAGGGGCGGGGCGGGTAAAGAGGAAGAAACCAACTAATCATACGGTAAGACGTATGCCTGTAGGGGGTTAGGGGGCATGAAACATGCAGGCGGCGGTGACATGCGTGATGGAAGGCCTAGCAACGAGGTGTAACCCTTCCACATCATCCCCAAGTAACACCTAGACATCCTCCTCCTCCGCCTCCTCCCTTCCTTTCTTTCCCACAATGACAACCATTGAATGGCGTGTGTCGTACCCATCTGTCGTACCATGACGCAGATTGCCGCTGAGGAGGAAAGGCCCTTGGACATGTGCAGCGTGGTGGTGTGGTTGTCCAGCTGCAGGCCGCCGGGCACCTCGTGAGACACAAGCAGCCGGTAGCAGGTGCCCGCAACATAGCTCAGGAAGCCGCCGGCGCGGGCAACTGGTGGGGGGTGTTGAAGTTTTGGGGATGCCGGGTCGAAGGAAGGAGAAGAAGGATGGGTAGGGAGGAGGAGGGTGAAGGGGCGAGGACAAGAATGGATGAGAGGAAACGAGTGGAGGGTAGGGAGCTGGGAGACGGTATGAGGGAAATGCCGGAAAGGAGGATGGAAAGGGTGGTTGCGAGATTGAGAATGGCCGAGTGTGTGGCCGGGGGGAAGAATCCAGCTTGGAAACTGGTATCGGGGGTCCCATGTCTCTTACCAGCCAATAACGCTGCGGGCTCCAGGATGAGCTCCTCCGGTCCGGTTTTGTTCCCATGGTTGTCTGTTGTTGTTATCCGAAGCACCTTCGATGCAATTGGGGAATTCTTGGCCGCAGAAAGAAGGCGAGGGATGCAAGCATAGCGCACATCCCACAAGTACCTTTTCTTCAAGGCGCTTTGCGGCTGCATAGATGCCCTCCTGAGTGCCCACCACAATTGTCTTGCCCTCTAAGATTGACTCATTCCGTCCTTTGTGCTCTCCCGCCCAGTCGGTGTGTTCTCCGAAGAGACAGAGTCGTCCGCTAACAAATAGCTCAATACCACTTTCATCAATAGTCATTTTTGATGGACGGAAGGCGGGTTGAGCCCAACACCTATTTTCTTGCTTTTCCCGTTAGTTAAGAAGTCGTGACTATGGCGCTAACTTTACGCAGCGTTTCACTAACTGCTACACTAATCTACATAGCCTGCATGGTATGGGCAAAGCGCTACAAGCTCACCGTGGTGGTTTTGCGTGTTAACTTGCACGTTGACTGCGCCGTATCTGAATTGATGGTTTGGTAAGCTTGGTCCTGCTTTCTTTTTTTATATGGTTATCCTAAGCCTCAGTGAACCTGGTTTCTCTTACGCTTGTTACTGAAAGGGTTACAGTAAAATGACATGGGAACATGTGTGAGGAGACGGTGCACGCAGTTTTCCTTTAGTTCACTACCAGGGCTCCCGTGTACAGCTAAAAGGAAGTGAGGCACATTACGCCTGTTATGTCGCAGTTGCGTTTCCGTTCAGATTACAAATGGACGTCTTACTTTAATGCTGACCACCGCGACGCCACTTTTGGCGTCAGCTTTGCGCCTAAAAATGGGTTTCCGCCTAGGCTGTAGGTCTTGCAAACCGCGCGTTTTAGTAGAACCGGTATCAGATTGCGTCGGAATCCGATCCGTCACTGCTGCTGCCTTGCTACACCCGTCGTGCGGCATTAGGAGCGTTTTGACGTTGTTCCAAGCTCATCTATATTATATTGCGCAATCCTCTAAGAAACAATACTTTGTCACGCAGCTGGCTCACGCATGAAGTACGGCAAGGGCTTGGCATGGATCTCACGCCTATTCGCATGAATGGTGTGCATAGAAACAGTAGGTGTCCTTACAGGCGTTGGCCCCAGCCAAAAGAAATTCGAAATGAGGTTCCTTCGCACAGCAAGTTGCTGTGCGTGGACGGCAACAAAACACCTGCTTACCATTTAAACTGTCAAACACGCCTTTCCATGTTCCTTCATGACACACCCACTCCAATATTACTTCGGCGGTTTGCAACACACAAACACTCGAGAATCAAGCCCACATGTTTTCCCACCTTTACTCCTCAAATTCACATTCCACATGTACGCCCATACCAGCGGCTGTGAGGGCACATGCATTTGTAGCAAGAGCGCTCACAGCCGCCCCCCATGCTCCAACCAGCTTTCATCACCTGTTCGTCTCTTCCACTGTCAAAAGCGCACTCAAAGTCCAAGGTAACCAACATGGGCACAACTGTTGACCTGTCACAACAAGCCCGCACACTCCGGTGGTCCGAAAGAAGCTGCGGATAGTTCGTTCGGACCACATCCGCGCAAACTCCCACCAACACCTGCACAGCCACCAACTCAGAACGTGCATCACTAACATCACACCAACATAACCACCCACATACACCAGCACACACCAACATAACCCCCATTGTGGCATACCGGTGCCCGCCATTGCACGCCAGGACACATGCACACATATCCCCCAGGTCCAAGCGTCCGCCTGCCCCGCAGCTACCCCCTCCTGCAAAACCTACCGCGCACCACCGTCCTTCAAACCTTCAAGCCAGCAACGTTCGTTCCAGCCCCACCAAGGCAACATGGAGACCTTGGAAAGGCCCACCAAACCATAAAGAGACGCAACCCCAACGAACGGTCCTCATGTAAGATGCCACCAGTCAAACCCACGCGCCAGGATAGGACATCCGAGGAAATCACGCAAGTGGAGTGCACGACTCTCTGAGGAGTCGGAGTTATTGGGCCATCAAGGGCCCTTGACAGCATCTTGCCAGGGGTGCAAGTAGTTATGGGTTATGGAGCTATGCCATGCGTGTTACCATCGGTCATTGCGGTCCAACCGGGTCCCAACATGGTCACAACGTGCTACCACCACCACCACAGTTTTGTAAAGAGGAGGCTCGCTCAGACGCAACATTCGCTGGAGTTGAATGCCGCGCGTGTAGAAGTTATAAAACGTATCGACGTATGACAGGCAGGCAGGCGCGACGGAAAAGCCGTGTCAAAAAACACACGTTTGCAGGTGGGCCGGTAAGCAGGCCGCCGAGGCAGGCTGCTTGCCAGTACACAGTACCGTTATTGGTTAATCATCGTACGGCAGTTGCCTTCATCGCAAATACTAGCGGATAGGAACTGCAGCCAAAGCCTAGAACGTTGACGGAGATAAATAACATCCCAGCACCAAGCGCCAGTGGCCATCGACGTGTCAAACCGCCGCCAACTGTGGTGGGGTGCTCTTCATGGCGCCACTTAGTCACAAAGTCACAACCCGTAGTCTCGCCACCCTGCGTACGCTCGCCGCCAATGACCACTTTTAGTGCATATTAGGAAGATCCATGAAGTGTGCGAACAACGTATTAGAACACGGCAGGCCCCCAACGAACAATTACGACGACCAACAACACCACGTAAGATTCGTACTGTGGGAAACAGCAGGATTAGGAGGCTCCACTGCCTGCTCTAACAGCACCCAAACCAGTTAGTACTGACAGTTCGGCAAGCTGGGAGGTACTGGCAGGCAGGCAGGCGGGCAGTTAGATAGGCAGCAAGCGGGCCACTCGGCACCAACGTTGCACTTCCACGGGTAACGGGTCTTCAGCGGGATCGGCATGTGGAAACCCCTTACAATGACTCAGCCTCCCTTATCAATTCCTAGTTGCACCAAATTGCAACGTATCCTTTGCAATTTTCATTGTACGTAATTTTGTAAACACGGCCCCAGGTTCACATACTGAATGGCCTCCCTATTTTAAGTACCCCTCAGGTCGCACGGGACCCATCAACCAAGCGGCACTCCTACACCCATCGGCGGTTAACCCCAGGAACACATGTGAGGCCTCGCACGGGGGTTCTTGCAATCTCTTCATAATCTCTCCGTGCAAAAGGGATGACACCTGCATTTTTAGGTGTCCGCCGGACACATTGGCACGACAACCAGTATACCAGGCTGCTGCCTACGAAGCGCTGGGTACGACCAACGGTGCTGCCCTCGACCGCGAATACCAGTAATCGGAATGAAGCCACCGGGCAACCTGCACAGCAGCAGCTGTCCTTATAAAGCTATCCGGTATCCAGTACGGCAGCTGTCCCAGGCTGTCCCCAGAGGAATCACTGTTTGGGTTGCAGCCAGGAGGAGATACCTAGCAGTGAACCCCACGGTTTGCTGTCCAGGGTTCGCTCAATGGTGACAGCCAGGGTATCATCACCTCATCACGCCCAGAAAACCAGTTCGTCGCCCTCCACCTGCGCAGCAGTGCGTGGGTAGGATAGTGTGCCATTGAACATCATGCAGGGAGACGGCAGCGTCATTTGTAGAGGGATTCGCGGCGATTGGCTGCTAAACCAGGAGACCAGGTGGAACCAAGCTTAATGGATCCCTCCGCTTCTCCACCTAGAGGATTCCAAGCCCAACCGCCCCCTACCGTTACGTACCTGCAACATAACTGGGGCTGTGCGAGTTGCTGATGCTGCTAGCCCCGGCGCGATTGAGGAGGAGGATGACGACGATGCGCACAGCAGCATGCTGTCGCTGCCACGGTGGGGTCGGTCTCCGGACTGACCCCTGGGTCGGCGCACGGCTCCAAACAGCCTTAGCGGGTTGACCGCTTGCAGGGTGTGCACTACCGGGTTGCGGCTGCGGCGGCTGCCACCACTGCCCACCTCACCGCCACCGCTACCGGAAGAGGAGTCGCGTTGCTGGGGTGATTGCTGATCGTCTTGGTGCTGGTGTTGTTGTGGCGGTGGTAGCTGGTGGTGTTGCCCTTGCAGCACCTCCTGCTGCATGATTGAGCTAGCAGGATTGAGGTGGGGATGCAAGCCTGTCTGAGGTAACGCGGCAGGCAGGGGGCTGGCAGGACTCCACCACTCTCCGCCACCGCTGCTGCCACCGTCGGCGCCTTCGCCGCCCAGATCAGCAGCAGCAGTGCCAGGGCTCTTGTTGCCTTTTGGAGCCGGGGCGGCCATGGCTGTCGACACGGTTTCAGGTGCCGGTGCAGGTGCAGGTGCGATTACATGCATGGCGGGTGGTTCCGGAGCCGCCGCTGGAAGGGGGTTGGAGTTGTTGGAGGGCGCTCCTGCTGGCGGCTGCTGTGGCTGATGTAGCAGCTGCGGCGGAGGCTCCGGAGGTGGAGAGCGGAGCTGGTCGCTGTGGTAGTTGTGGTGGATTGCAGGTGGTTGGTTTTGGAGGTGGTCGGGCTGGTGGTGATGGTGATGGTGGTGGTGGTGGTGATGAGAGTGGTGGGCGCCGGCGTCATCTTGGCTCGGCAGCTGGGGTAGGATTGGGAGCCACGTACGGCGGCGAGGCATTGTAAGTAAGCAGAAGCAGGACCCGAGGACGCCAGGAAAGACTGCTGAATTTAATTGGACTGAATTGCCTTGGCATGGGGTAAGGGCAGGCTGAAACACCTGAACCGCTACACACACCCCTCTGCAGCTCATCCACCCCCAGGATGCCAGCATGCCAGCCATCCAAGAACAGCTGCGCACACGAACCCCATAACACACCTCCTCACCGACCCCGCGCTACTGGCTCATTCAACTGGTACTGCTGTATACATCTCCTGACATCCCTTGACCTCCCAATCGGCCCAACAACGCCATACCATGCACCCCCCCTCTCCCCTCTAGAATACCGCACCTGCAGCACCGCTATGTAGTCTTCCACATCGTCCTCCACATCTGAGAAGTCGCTGGCGTCCAGCCGCTGCGCCAGCTGCGGAGAGGAACGGGAAAGGAGAAGGCGAAGGAGCCGAGCCGAGCAGATTGCAGGGCAAGACAGAGGGCAGGTCAGAGCAGGGGCGTAACCTTCAGCCTCTTGTGGAGGTAAATGTGCGTGGCTGCGGGTGGCAAGTGCGCGCAGAAACTTCCGCGCTCGGCCCCTAACAGCGGCGTGGCAGGGCCGCAACCCATATAGCGGCCACAGTGCTGCCCACCTCAAGCCACGAACAGCCTGTCAGACCGGTGCCTCAGCACACGCCACACCCAACCCCTCTTCACAGCCTTCCAGCAGCCTGCACCCACCTGCTTCAAACTGGCCCGCCGCAGTGACTTGTAGCTGGATTCCATCCGCCAAAACTCCTCTTGCAACGCACCACCACCACCGCCCGCGGAACCCGCTGCCCCTGCCGCTGACGGCCTTGCCGACTTGCCCACCTGACAGCAGCTACCCGGCTGCCCACATCCCGCCCCCCCGGCCCCAGCGGCCCCACAGTCGCTGCGTCGCTGCCCCCCCGGCCCCAGACATGCAGGCAGGCCATCCGTGCTGGCTCGACGGCAGCCTCCTGCAGGGCCGTGACCTCCGGCCGAGCCAGCAGCAGCACTGGTGGTGATTGCAGCAGCAGCAGGAGCAGGTGAAGCAGCCGAAGCAGGGGCAGTGTATGGGGCTTGCTGGGGGTGGTGTTGTTGCTGCTGGCGTGTCATGCTACTGCTTGCACGCCGCCACGCGCCGTCTGGTGCGGATTGGTTCTGAGGGAGGTGCTGTTCCTGAAGCTGCTGGTTTGGGTTCTGGTGGTTGTGATGGTCTGGGAGGTGGTGGTTGTGATGTTGTTGATGAAGGTGGTTGTTATGGTGGTTGTGGTGATGCGGCCAGGCGGGGGCGGCCAGGGCATGCTCCGCCTCGTTGTGTGCGAGCCGCATGGCGGTGTCCGGGTCCTCGCCCAACTGACGCAGCAGCACGCGGATGTTGCTGGCCCGTGGGTCGTTGTCGGGCAGCAGCTGCAGCTGCGTGCCTAGCGCGATCACGGTGTTGGTGGTGCTGAGGGGAGGGAGGGGGAGAGGAAGGGACGGGAGGGACACGGGTCAGGAGACGGGAAAAGGAGGGAGGGGGGTTGTCGGAGCTCTGGCTGTGGTTCAAATGATGCACACACATCAACTTCGCGCATTAAGGCACACACATGTTTCTTGACACAGGCGTCACACCAAGACACAAGCTCTATCTGACTATCCCCCACCAGCACATCCTCTCCCCTCCCCAGCCACGCACCCCCGCACCCCCCGCACCGTATATCCCTCAGCGAGGGCGGATCATTCACGATCAGGTCCCCCAGCGCATTCACCACCGGCCGGCAGCACGCCAGCCCGTGCGGCCCCCGCAGCGTGTTGGCGAGCGCCGGGATGCCTGCCGCCATGCGCAGCGCCTGGGCGGAGGCGGGCCAGCGACACGCCACAGCGATGGCGGAGGCGACGGTGGCGGGTACCAGCGCCGCTGTAGCCCACCTGCGCGGCGGGCGGGGAGGTAAGGGCGTAAGAAGTAGGGGGAGGAGGATTGTGGTTTTGGTGTTGATAGCAGTAGTGGGGTAGGAGAAGGACGAGGAGAAGGAGGGGGAGGAGGAGGAGGAGAAGAAGAGCTGAAGCGTCGATTGTTGAAAAGGGACGATGGCACGAAGCACCGAAGCAACCCCTCCCTCCCCCGCCCCGCTGCCCCCTGGTGAAGCCTCTCGTCATCAACTCGTCAGTGCCTTCCTTCCCCTCCCCCCTTCCGCCCCCCTTGCTTACTTTTCATTTATTCCCCCCCCCCCTCCGCCCACCCACCCCTCACCCCCTCTGACCCTGCTTTGCCCTAACCTGTGTTTTCCTTTGGCTTGGTATGGTCTTTGACCCCACCTGGGGTGCATCAGCTCCCCCCCCCGCGCCCCCACCTGGGATGCATCAGCTCCACCAGCTGCTCCACCCCGCCCGAGTTCACCAGGTCCACCAGCCCGCCCGGACAGCTGTCGCCCAGCAGGCACAGCGTGGCGCAGCACAGCACCACCCCCTCCACGTCGCAGCTGCGGGCGCACACAGACAGCCACTGGGCGGGGGGGAGGGGAGTAGGGTAAAAATAAGGAAAACTGACGAACTGAAAGACGGGGCTAGGGTGGGGTGGGGTGCAGCCAGGGGAGGGAGGAGGGAGGCGGGAAGATGTGAATGAAGAGTGGAGCCTCGGAGCCCCAGTGAAGACGGGTGGGGGGGAGGGGGGAGAGGTGAACGAGTGCGTTATACCCCTAGCACCTACAGCAAGCAGCGCACCCCCCCCCCAAATAACCTCCACCCCGGGATCCCCACCCCCCATCCCTCCGCCCTCCCCCCCACCCCACCTCGCACACCGCCTTGACTGCCCCCTCCGCCACCGCCGCCCGCGCCAGGGACTTGTGCGCTGCCAGGTTCTGCAGCAGGAGCCCCAGCAGGTGGGCCACCTCGGTGTCGCGACGGGAGGGGCCGCAGCAGCTGGTGGCGGGGGAGGAGCAGGAGCAGGCGGAGGAGGAGGCGGTGCTGCTGGCGGTGCGGTGGAGCACCAGGAGCGCGGCACTCGGGTGCTGTTGGTGAGGGTGCTGTTGGTGAGGGTGCTGTTGGTGAGGGTGCTGTTGGTGAGGGTGCTGTTGGCTCTTGTCCACAAGTGGTTGGGTGCTGCTGTTGTTGTTGCAGTTGTTGCCATTTGTGGCGTTGTTATTGTTGTTATTGCTGTTGCTGTTCCCCTCACTGCTGCTGTTGGCTTGGTTGTGGTGGTTGTGGTTGTGGTGGTTGGAGTGGTTGTGGTGGTTGGGGTTGGGATTGCCGTCCTTGTGCGCGCGCGCCAGCCCCCGCAGCGCCGCCACCACGGGCGGCAGCACCCCCTCCGCCACCAGGTCGGCCGCGCAGCCGCTGTCGGCAGCAAGCGCGCAGAGACCCTGTGGCGGGGTGCGTGGGGTGCGTGGGGTGCATGGGGTGCATGGGGGGCATGGGGGGCATGGCAGACACTAGAGGGTGGTGGTGGTGGTGACGAAACATGGGAGGACGGGGACAGGGTGATGGGGTTAGAAGGGGGGGCAGCGCACGAAAGGGCCCACCCCACCTGCAACCATAGGAACCTGTGGCTTCCTATGGTTCGGTATCGTCTTTGATCCCCCGGAACACCGCACCCCGCACCGCATCCCCCTTCTGCTGGCCCCCCCCCCCCCCACACACACACCTGCAGCGCCCACCATCCCGGCTTGTCCGCCAGCCCCGCCGCCAGCAGCACCGCCAGCAGCGCCTCATGGGTGCGGGCGGCGCGGAGGTCGGGGTGCGCGGGGGCGGCCAGGGCCAGGCGGGCCAGAACGCGTAGGCAGGCGTCCAGCTGGCGTTGAGGTAGGGGAGGCGGACCGGAGGAGGAGGTGGTGGAGGAGGAGGATGGAGGTGGTGGTGGTGGCGGCGGTAGCCGGGAGGAGGCGGAGGAGGAGGAGGAAGAAGGGGAGGCGTCGGGTGGCTGTGAGGGAAAGGGAGAGCGAGAGGGGTGGAGGGTGGGGTGTTAAGGGAAGAAGAGAAGCGCGGGAGGAAAGGTGTGCACGATAGTGGTTGGGAGGGAAGGCCCGCGGTGTTAAACCTCCTCACGACAGCCCCACCGGTAGCCCTCCAAACCCAGCCTCACTCCTGCATTCCCGCCCCACCGTCCCGAATGTACTGTCCAAGCCACGTTGGCGCGTTTCCCCACAACCCCCTAGTCCTCATGTTCTTTTTTCTCCTCTTCCTCTTCCTCCCGCCTCATATGCCATTTTCCAGCCCTTTGCATGATATCCTCCTCCTCCCGCTCCTCCCCCCCCCCCGAGTAACCAAAAAACTGCGAATGGCTCATTAAGCCAGTTATAGTCCATTTGACAATACAGTGTGGGCGAGGTTTCCATAGTAAGCATAAAGCTGCGAATGGCTCATTAAGTCAGTTGTAGTTCAGTTAAAAATACAGTGTGGGCAGGGTGTCGGCAAGGGGTCCCCACCATTGTCGCCAGCAGCCGCTGCAGCAGCACCAGGTGCCCCTGCGCCGCCAGCACCCGCAGCGCCTCATGCGTGTCGCGAACCAGGTCGGCTAGCGCCTGTTAGATAGGCGCGGGGGCGGGGGTGGGGGCGGGGGCGACGGGGGGGCACGAAAGGCAGGCAGCAGCCGCAAGCGGGTGGGTCGGGTAGGCGGGCGGGGCAGTAGGGTGGGCGGCAGGGTGGATGGGTGGGTGGGTGTGGAGGTGCATCACGTGTTCACACTCACGTCCCTAGCGCCCCCACATATGCCGCAAGAGGCACGTGCGGTGTGCAGCAAGGGGGGTTGTGTGGTCGCAAAGGAACACCTACCCTTCCTTCCCTCCTCCCTCACAGGCCGCGTCCCTCCCTGCATCACCCACACCGCTGCCCCACACCCATCCTATTTCCACCACCACACCCACACCCACACCCACTCCCACACCTACCTCAGTGGCCTCGACCACCGCCAGACCGTACGGCCAGGCGGACGCCCCCGCCACCTGGCCCGCCACCGCCGCGGCACCTGCTGCTGCCGCCACGGTGCAGGCTGCATCACCACCGTTAGCAGCAGCAGCAGCAGCAGCAGCTGGAGCAGCGGCATCCGCTTGTCCTTTCCCGGACGGTACGGCAATGACGTCCAAAAGCAACTGCAGAGCCGTACCGCTGCCGCCGCTGCCGCCGCTGCCGCCGCTGCCGCCGCTGCCGCCGCTGCCGCCGCCGCCACTGCTGCCGTCGCCGCCGCCAACACTGCTGTTGCGAATGCTGCCGGCGCCGCCGCCGCTGCTATTGCACCGCGACTCGTCAGTCGCCGCTGACGTACTAGACTTCCCACACCAGCCGCCGCTGCTGCCGCCGCCGCCGCCGCCGCCTCCGAAACCGTCAAGCACCCCTCCATTGCTCTCAATCGCGCTCAGACAGCGCACCAACGCCAGCAACGCCAGCTCCATGGACTCTGGAGACAGCGACGTCGGCATCATCGTTGAGGGCGCTGCTGCCGCCGACACCGCCGATGTGGCGGCGGCGGATATCGGCGGCGGCGGCACAGGGCCCCCGGCTCGCCGTACGAGCGCAAACAGTACCTCCAAGGTCCCCGCTGCGACCATGCCGGGCCGCAGCGGGGGGTGTGCGGCCATGTGAGCGAGTGCGCGTAGGGCTAGAGTGGGGGTGGTGAAGGGAGGGCTTGAGGAGGAGGCGGAGGAGGAGGCAGCGGTGGGAGTGGTGGTGGTGGAAGGAGAGGCGGTGGGATGGTGAGGAGCGGAGGTAGGCAGGGGCCGCAGGAAGGAGAGGAGCGCCTGGAAAGGGAGGAGGATGAGGGGTGCGGGCGGTCAGCGAAAAGCGAGCATGGAAAGCGCAGGAAGGAGAGAGGGGATGTTGGGATGTTTGGTATGTTGCAGCAAGTTCTGAGGTTCGTGTCCTGACAGCCCCTGCTGACGGCGCCAATGCCTAACCCGTTGCTGCTGCACCCTACACCCAACCACCCACCCACCCCAGCAATGCCTCCTCCAGCCCCCCAGACCCCCCCCCACCTGGAGCGCTGGCCGCCCCTGCAGCTTCAACCGCAGCACCTCCCGACCCGTTGCCTGTCGGGAAAAGACGAGGGAAACACAAGCCGCTTTGCTGTGTCGGGCGGGAAACCAAACCTGGTGCAACGTGCTGTACACAAACACACAGTACATTCCAACTCGCGGCAAGTTTTCTTTCTTAACACACATACCGGTACATGCATTGCAAGGCTGCAAGCCTAACTCCCCATCCCGCATACGCTGCATGCATGCATGCACACACGACATCCAGAAACCACCAACACCCGCACCCAAGCTCTCCCTTACGCACAGCCCCTTTGCCTTTCGGCAAGCCCGCTCCCCCCGTATCCCGAGACCCACCTCCAGGCTGCACATGTGGCTAAGCGCCCGCACCGCCTCCTCCCGCAGCTGCAGCCGCAGCTGCAGACCGCTGCCCACACCGCCCCCTGGCTGCAGGTGCTGCGGCAGGTGCTGCTGCGGGTGCGGTGGCGGCAGTGGCGCCAGGCAGCAGCGCAGCAGCTCCCGCACCGCCCCCTCTGCCAGCAGCTCCTCCTTGACCACCTGAGGTGGCAGCAGAGGAGGTGGAGGCAAGCGTGAGAGGGGGTGTGTGGCGTGGCATTCCGCACAACCGGTGCTGGGGGAAACCAGGCAGCAGCCCCAATAGGCAATAAATACAACACGACAGCAGGAGGAGCACGTGTGCAATCCGTCAGGTGCCACGAAGCAGCAACAACTGCAGCAACAACTGCATCCAAGGTGAAGCAGCACCGAGAGTGCGCAAAGCTGGTGCGGAAACAGCAGCGGCAGTGCGGCGCCCGTTACCTCTCCCTGCTCCGCATCCTCTCTCCCCCTTAATTGAAGCCCCTTAGCTGCTCAAAGAAATCACACACCCACATCCACACCATGCACAAGCGCCCCCGCCCCCGGGGCCCCCGGGACCCGGCGCTGCCCCTGTCCCCGTCCCCGTCACCCCGCATGCGACCCACATCGCACTCCGCTAGCAGTGCCAGCGTCTGTGCCGCCAGCACCGCCCTCCGCATGACGCTGTCGCCGCTGCTGCCGTAGCAGCCGCCCACCCCAACCCCACCACCAGCCCCCCCACCGCTGCCGCTGCTCAGGGCTGCGGCCGCCCCCGCCAGCAGCCGAAGCAGCGCAGGCAGGACGCCGCGCTCCCTGTGGACGCAGGGGGTGAGGATTGTAAGATTGTAAGATTGTGAATACCAGTCTGGTAACGAACTAACGATAGTGGCAGAGCCCGTGTTGAAAGCCCGGGCGGACGTGGGGAGGGGGGGCATCACAGATAAGAGGGTGTGACTGGGCACTGGCGGCCTCTGGCTGAGCCCAGCGGAGCAGCACTTGGCCGAGGAGGTGGCGGCGGTAGGTAGGGAGAGGCAAGTGTGGCAAGACGCAGGAGTAACACAGGATGCTGGCTGAGGGCCGGGGTGCCCCCAGCGCCACCACCACCGCCACCACCACAACAATGGCACATGGTGGCCCATCCGCCTCCCCTTCCGCCCACCACCACCGCGACCAGCCCCACCGTCCGAGCTGCACCCCCGCCGCACCGGTCTCCAGATGCCTTCCAGCGCCTCCCTACCCCTGACCTGCACCTATTTTCCCTGACCTGTCCCTCTTCCTGCCCCACCACTGACTACCATTCAACGCATGGTTCTTCTCCTTCCTTGCACCACCCACCCACCCACCCACAAACACCGTACCCACCTGCGTGCCACCCCCTGTGCCAGCAGCTCCCAGGTGCCCGCCCCGCCCGCCCGCTTCACCCGCCCCAGCAGCTCGAGCAGGGACTCCAGGGAGGGCTCCTCGCAGCTAGCAGCACCACCGCCGCTGCTAACGCTGCTACCGCCAACGCTGCTGCTGCCGCTGCCGCCACGGCTGTAGTCGCCGGAAGCAGCCCCCGCTGTTGCGGTGGCAGCAGCGATGGTGGTGCTCGCGCCGGGAAGCAGGCTGGGTGAGATGGCTACTGCTGGAGCTGGGGAGCGGGAAGAAGAAAGGATGAAGGAAAGGGAAAGGATTGAGAGAAGAAGAAAGGGAAAGACGGGTTTGGAGGAGAGGGTACGGGACGGATTGTGGAGTTGTCGGGTAAGCTCCGAGGGGATGGTAGGGCGGGATAGGTCTTGAGCGGAACAATCACCCGTCGTGTTCGGGCTGCCGGAATGTTAACGCATGCATGTGGTTCCAGGACAGGCATCATCCACACCCCCTTCCTCACTTGCGCAGTTCCGCCTAGCCAGCAGCCGCTGCAAGCCAGCTGCTTGCAGCAGGATGTAGGTGGCATCGCCGGCGTTCTTGCAGTTCTTGTGCAGCTCTGCCAGAGCCATAAGCTGCACGTCTACTCGCCCACCTGCATAATGTTGATGTAAAAAGGGCGGTTGGATCCGCGTCTCAGAAGTATCAGCATGCATGAAGCATGGGCATGGGACGCTTTCTGACGCATCTTGGATAAGCAAGCGTGGAGTGCATTCCTAGGCTTCAAGTCAAGTACAACTTACTCCTTTGTCAATACCTTATCGGCAGCGGCGTACCTAGTAACAGCAGGCACCAACAGACTCCGTCAAGTCGCTGCTCCAAAAAGTCGCTAAGCTCGCGGGCATCTTCGAAGACTCCAGGGCTCAAGTCGTGTAGTCGCTTTGCAAGTTGTGCGGTGTCCCGCGCCATCCAACAGCGGCGAAGCGACTCGTCATGCTGGAGCAAGTCGTGCAGCAAAAACGGTATTTCGCTATCCTGTATCATCATTGCACTAGAGCACTGCAAGCCTAATTCAGCGACTGCCAAGTTTCAGGTGTTCCGTAAACGGGAGGGGAGCATGGTCCAGGTACCATGTCGTTCTAGAGTCGCTCTGTTTATTACCCCTCTTAAGGGGTTACAGAGTTAGCGTAAGAGCGAGGCTTTCAAGTAACGCATACAGGTTAATGCGACGGACTGCCGTCCCCGTCAGCAAAGTAGAGGGGCGCGTCAGGCGGGGGTTCGATTAAACGTTCCAGGGTTAAGTGCGTGTGCATTAGGTAGGAAGCTCAATTAGCTTTGGACAGACGGGGCGCTTCTCAGGTTACTACAGCAATAACTGATTGGACGAAGCAACACTTTCAACAACCCCGCCACAAAGGCTTTTTCGTGAAATTTTGGTATGTTTTTGAGGCCTACCATATATTATGACCGTATCCAAGTTAGAACCGGCGGGACCTGGTGCATCCTTGGAAAGAACGCTCCCTACAGTACAGAGGCAAGGCTTCACGGTAGCCCTGCGGAGGTCCTATTCATACCGCTTACCATGCGGAGTAGAGAGCAACATGAAGCACCGTTGGTATGGGGACTTCTTATTTTGCAGCATGTTGGGCATACCGTATACGGCAGGTATACCCATGACCCATGGGGACACGATAGTAGTAGTATTTGCATAAGAAGACAGCATGCCTAGTGAAAGCCTAGAGCAGACGCCTGACGTTCCTAGGCAACACTACAGTTAGGCAACGTGCTTGGGAGTTACTTAGGGCCCAACCATTGCTGAAGCCATTGTTTGACCTGCCTGTTGCGTGCTCTTCCCGGAAAACACGTGCGGGAAACAGAGGAAGAAGGGAGTGGAAGGGCTGGCTGCTGCGGAGCCTTTACGTGACGGTGGACGCCGTTACGCAGTGGGTTTGGGCATGGGTGCCTACGGACATAAGCTCGGCCCAAAGGACTGAGTACGGATTTGTCATCTATGCCGAAGAAACCTCTTTTCCTCTTTCTATGTGCGGTAAAGTATTAGCATTTTACTCGCGTAGCTACGCCTCGGTCGCTATCGTAGGCCTAGCGTAGTCAGGACATTGGAATCATTAGTACAGTTAGCCGCACCCTATATTGAGAATTTGTCGCTGTTGTCCGCATAGGCTATCTGTACAGTATGACGGTCCGCTCTATCGTAGTTTCTTGGCTGAGGGGCGCAAGCAAGGGGGCCGGCCAGCAGCAGAACCTTTCCAAGGAGGCTGTCGTGGACCTAATACAGCAAGCAGCGACAAGCCAGAAAGGCGCACGAAAAGGCTGGCAAGTCAAAGCGGCCACTTGGGTAAAGAAGGTGCACATCGATCGTGGCGACATCAAGGTCGGCCGTATGGTCCAAGGCCGGTTTGAGGTTCTTCCGCACCTACGGCCGCGCTATTTTATTCCAGCCGACTTGGATAAATTCGACTTGAAGGCTTACGTGGAGGTGGAGGGCCCACCTAAGAAGGCTGCAGATGCAGCCAAGCCTTGAGGGCTCCCAGCCTACCTCCTTGCGGCCCGCTAAGGGCGGATGACATGGTGTCTGCTAGGTTGACGGAACAACGCTGATGGGCGTTGCCAGCGCCGGGAGAGGTATGGCGACTGACACCCCGAAGCAGTTGCTCTAGCCTGGGGTGCATACCTGGAGCAGCTGCAGAGCCCCCTATCGCCTCGTGGGCTAGGCAACGGACACGTACGACGTGCTTGGACGACTGTGTATCTGCCGTACACCCGTCAGGAGGAAAGAGCGGAATGGCATTAGAGAACTGCATGGGATTTGGGAGGCGAAAGGCATAGCACATGATTGGCAGGGCGGTTCGTCGGTGGGGGCAAACTGTGAGTAGCTAGGTTTGCGGCGCGGAGAGACATGGGCATTCTGTGGAAGACAAGAGCAAGTGGTTCAGCGGGAGGGAAGAAGGGGTGTTTGGTATGATAGTGCACCATGACGTCACCACAAACAACGTTGCAAGGCAAGGACGCTTGGGAAGCTGTACGGCTTCGGAATTGCTAGGTGAGCCTGGCATACTTCCAGCGCACAGCTCCTTGGCTGTCTGCTTTCCATCCAGGCAGGTAGCCGCAAGGTGCCAGAACGGAAGCTGCAAGAGCACATGCCTCCTTTATCCGACGGGGCTGAAGGGTGGTGCGGCTCGCTTGCTTTGGTGCTGGCAAGCCATTTTCCTAGGAGCGAGGGACTGCTATCATCCACCAACGAGTACACCGTTAAAGGTGCTCACGCCGCTCACGAGCGCTGTGTTGGCTCGCGTATGCTTGACGCTTGATGGTTGTGGCGTTGCTGGCTGGATGGTGTCGTGGTGAAGCAGTCGGAGGAACGTTGCCGCCGAGCGCTGTGGCGGGTACAGAAGGCGGGAGAGAGGTGCTCGGCTGGGGCATCACGCATTGTGGCCGTCAGGAGGTTAGCAGCATAGGGCTGCGTCCTGTAGCCGTCAGCCTGTGAACGTGGAAGCTGTTCAGGTGCGCGTGCGCGACTCATAACTGGCAAGCGTGTTGTGGTTTGCAGGGAGGCGTTGGATCGGAGGTGCTATGGGACGATGGGAGGGAGGATTGTATGCCGGCCGGTACTTAGCCTCTCGTCTTTGCGGATGGGTGGAGCGGACGTATGGTCATTCGGCGAGGGAAAGGTGGCGAGCAGTGTGATGCTGCTGTAGATACTCCGAGCTGCAGTCGTAGCCGTGGCATCCATCCCAACGCATTAATATTGCACAGTGTATGGCTTCTGCTGACGTTGGGGCCGCTGACATCTACAGCGCATGTGCTGTCTAATGTGTGAAGAACAGTAGGGGTGAAGCGTAAGCTTCAGATGCCTGCATTGTTAAATAGGCTACTAAGAACGTCAGGGGACTGCTGTCGGTGCCACGCCGCTGAGCCGTACATGTGCGCCCTTTGAGACACGGTAGCACGACAGGCAGCATGCGCACGACATGGCTGTCAGCTGGTGCATGTTTACAAGCGCATTAGTCAGCATATGATAACTATGTTGGACTCTCGTAGTAGTCAGGTAGGAGCAGTAGCCCTAGTCATCCTCACTAGATATTACTTACTTGGATAGCGCTACCGCTATTATGAAAACGAAAACAACTGGCAAAGCAACCTCGAGACACTGCAGAGGACGTACAGCTGGAGCACAAGACACACGTTCACCGGTCCATGCGCCATGGGAAGCAGGGTAACGTGTCAAATGGCCCCTTGCGGTCCTGCCCGCTGCGCCTTCACTAGGGAAGCACGTATGCACGCAAGAACGACGAACGACGCACGCAAGAAGAGCGTGCAACGCAGGCTGGAATGTGGCGCCGCGTCTTCACCTTCCGGTCGACACGCTTCAACGCTAAATACTACCCCTGCTGGGCTCACCACTGCATTCCCCAGTGGGGAGGTGGGGACACGTCCTTTCAGCAACTTCATACATATAGCTTCATTAAACCCATGTCAGCAAATATCCGGGAAAACGTAGAACCCTGCCACGTATTTAACCCCTTCGTGGAAGCCTAGCACAGGTACCTGAGTGACGCCGGTTACTACCACGTCGTCTGCATGTCTCGTGCATGCAGACCCGCCCGAAGGAGTCTTCCTGTCTGCCCATGGATAATGATAACAATCTTCGGGTCCGGGCTAGTCGCCTTTGCATGCCTAGTTTGGAGACAGGACGGCAAGCCGGAACATGCACGCTGCCGACCCATCAACCACCAGAGGTTTCACTTCCACCACATTACGACGCGACGTGAAATAACCCGCGCTTGGTGACGCAACTGTTACGTCTCATGTTCCTACAGCGCCAGTTAACGCATTAGATACATGCTTCAGGAAGCGCCGGGAAACCCAGCACCAGAGGGGCTGCACACTAGTTGAGCAGCAAAGCCACAAACCTCCCAACCCCTTTCAGCGATTCGCAGCGTTCGATATTAAGTAATCCAGCCATAACAAGTCACAGGCCGCGCTGCAGACGGCGGTTGTCTTCTGGATACCGGCTCACACACACCTCCCACGCAACTCTTAACGCTCGACCGAAAAGAACCGGCCCACCTGAAGTAAGCGTCTCCCGGCCCAGCAAATGACATGCCATCAAACTGGGAGGATAGCCACCAACACGCCCCCTTCCTCGTCTTCCTTGTGCGGGACACAAGTAAGTGTTTGCCGAGGGAACCGATGCGGTGGAGGTGCCATTGGGCAGCATGCAAAAGCCAACGACGCGACTGCTCATGAGCTGATGATTTGAACCCGCCGATTCCAACGGGCGATGCAGCGCTAGCCCGAAATAATGCACAAGTAACTACTGTCACTGTATATGTGGTGTAAACAAATCACGTCATCAGCGCTTGCCCAACCAAGATCGGAGATGTACTCCAGGTACCGAGAGGCGCCTCCCTGGGCCACCCCCTTCACACGATCCTAGGTGCATATAAGGGATAAGGCCCCAACACATCGCAGAATCCCGAGCCGAAGGAAGCAATAAGGAGCGCATTTGAAGGGATAGAGGGACGCTCCCGCTCAGCGAACGCCCCAGAACAACCCAGGAATAGAGCTGCCCGACCCATGGGTCATCCGTACCACCCACCCCAACACCAGAGCCAGCACTAACTGCCAGTGAGCTAGACAAGGCACACGATATCACGCCTGCCTACAACAAGTAAATTTCGAGGATCACCAGTAGTTCCCAACTTACAACCGTCACGAATTTGTCCTGTACGCTCCCTCTATTAGCTCCACATTCTCGGCTCCAGAGCTCTTACAACCCAACCCAGACACACAATAATAAGCTTTTCAAGTTTGCCGTACTTCATTATGACGTATCGCGGGGCGACCCCAGTCAATACCGCCGCAACATAGCGCCTGCCGACCTTCATAACAAAACGGCAAACCCATGCCGCCATGACCCACGGGTCAACACCAAAGTACTTTCGACAGGCAGGATCCAAATGGAACTGTGCCAAAGCCCCAAAAGCCTTTCCAGAACGACAGACCCGATCACCACCACTCATAGCCTGACGTAACACATATCGCACCATTCAACTAAACTCCCCTTCTCTTCAACGTCCACAGACAGCACTTCTCCTCTTCGGCCACAGACGTCCATCCAACGCCTTTCCTCTCCATGAATAATCCCCAAGGCAAACCGCTGCTGCAGTGGCATACACCACACACCGATGCGCACGCCAGGCAGACGCCCCCCGCCTTCCGAAGGGCTGTCATTGCAAAGCAACTACCCCTGCCAACAGCCACCACACGACGATGTTGTTGACAGGGGCGACCACCCAAAAGCTGTTTTGGATGTCTCACGTCGTTAGCCGTTGTCGGTTGCCACATGTTCGGCGGCGCCATAAAAGTCATTAATGTAGGCAGCAAGTCAAATGCTGTCCGGTCAGTTTTGACTTGACTCGGCCAGGAGGGCGCTATAACGCGGACAAAAAATGAAACAAACCATGAGGAATGGGAATAAGATGTCACGCACGCAAAAGACATACGGCGCGCAAACTAGTCCAAGACACACAAACCATATCAGGGCAACGAAAAGGAGCTCTGCGCCCCTCCGTTTCCAAACAGGCATATGCAATTCCACGCGCGCGCGATACAGTGACACAGCAAACATGCCAATCGCGGTACGAGCAACAACAAACACCCATTCACGGCATCGAGCAACAGCACCACAAGCCATCCACCGGTCGTGCTTCAAGCTCACCCGTACCTCCTCCAGTGCAACACAGCTAGCACATACATTCATCTCATCAACTCCTCTTAACTCTTCGTCTTCAAGCACACGTAAGCCACCATACGGCGGCTTTTGCGGTTGCGCATTGTCGCTTTCACCCTTTCCACTTTTCAAATGCAGGCCTCCTCCAGCCCTCCGGGATCTTCCATAACCATAATCCATCCTACAACACAGCAAAGCTCCGGGCTCGCTCGCTCGGTTCCTCCTGCGGCAAAACACATCTCTGCTTTGGGCGCTTTTGCCTCAACCCCAACATTTCTGCTGCTGCTTTTGTGCACCCTCTCCGCCAGCTCACTCTTGCTGCTGACCTCCTCCTCCTCCTCGCCAAGCGCTCGGCTCGCCGTACTTTCACAACCCATGCACACACATGCACTTGGTGCTGCATTCGTGGCGCTGTATATCGCGCTGCACGCTGAAAACGTGTTCGCTGCTCGCATGAGAGGGGTTGGAGTCCTAGTTGCGCGGTTGGCGCATGTGCGCGCGCATCCAGGGGTGTTGCATGAGCTGCTGCACAGTGGGGCGCTCCGCGGGGTCCTTCTGAAGGCAGGACAGCACAAAGTCCCGAGCGCCCGAGGAGAGCTGCGGAGGGAGGGGGGCAGATAGGGAGGCAGGAGGGGCGGGAGCAGGAGGAGGAGGAGCAGAAGGAGGTGGACAGGAGGGTAAGGCGCGAGGGAAGGGTATGACATGCGGAGTTAAGTGGTACACCGGTAAACCGCAACATACCCGACTTCCTCATCAGGGCACAGTTAGCTATCGTCCTACCTGCTCTGATCCCCTCATCCCCTTCCTCCCAGCGCCTCCCACCACCCCACCCCACCCTCCCAGGCGGTATTCAGCACCCCCACCCGCCACCACCGTCCCTCCTTGGAACCCCAGTTGCTTCACTCTTCACTCATCCGTCCCTCCCCCCACCACCCTCCCTCCCCACCTGCGGCGCCACCTGCACCGCCGCCGTTGCGATGAGCTGCTCCGTCTCCTCCCGGTTAGCCCCCAGGAAGGGCGGGTAGCCGTGGAGCAGCTCGTACGCCAGCACGCCGGTGGCCCACACTGGGGTGGTGGGGAGGTAGGGAGGAGGGAGAGGAGGAGGGCGGGAGGCAAGAGGAAGAGAGCAGACGGTAAAAATAAACACCAAAAAAGGCGGCTTCAAGCTGGTATTGCCGTAGGAGAGGCCAGGTTAGACAGGCTGGGCAGGCTGGATAGGCTGATTAAGGCAAAGTTACGGCAAGCATAGCTGCGGAGCAGTGACCATTCCTGCCGCCCATGTCGTTCACCTCGCCCGATCCCCTTCCCCGCCTCTCTGCACACGGGGCGACGTCCCCCATTCCTCTCCCCTCACGCGCGGCCCCCGTCTCCTCACCGTCCACTCCCAGGCCGTAGTGCAGGTCGGTTCGGTCCTTGTTGTCCGAGGGGTGGCGCTTGAAGGGGCAGCGCAGCTGCTCGGGGGACATGTACTCGGTGGTGCCTGGGAGGTAGGGGGGAGGGGGGATAGTTGAATGGGAAGTGAAGCAACTAGTAAAGTAACTGGAGTCACAATCCCGTAGTTCCGACTCATGGGGAGGGGGAGCGTGGACGGGGGAGGGGGGAACGAGGAAAGGCGTGTGAAAGGCTGCGTGAGAGTGAGGCGGCATGCAGTGCTGTACAGCTGCGGTACAGCGTCAAGAGCAGGGCGGCACTGGGGGTGGCATGCGTGCGCGGCAGGAGGCATGGACATGGCAGGGTGATGGCGCAGATGAAAGGGGATGTCAGTCCCAAGAAATGGTACCAAAAAGAACCAACTCATCACGTTTTCCGACTGCCTCGGCGAATTAGTCATCCCATGCCTTCACAGGTCGTCCCATATCATCACGCGCGTCCTGACCAGCTCCCCCGGGCTGGCTCACATGTTGCAACCCATGTTGACGCCTTATCCCTCAGTCAGTTAGTTGGTTTCTCTTTACCCCCACCTGCGCGTGTGACCGCTCGCTCCTGCCGCAGCGACAGCGCGATGCCAAAGTCGGCCAGCAGCATGTGGGTGTGGTGGCGGTCGGAGAACTGAGGCAGGGAGACAGGGAGACGGGTCGGGACACACACGGGGGGGAAAGGCGGACATCAGTCGGGCGCACAGGCAGTGCTGGATAGTGAGGATGTGAGGAAAGGGTGGAAAGGTCAGCGCGTGGTGTTAACAGGAGTCGTGAGGGACAGTAGTGGTTAGTAGTCGAGAGAAAGGAAGGGAAAGAAAGGCTCCTGGAGGCTGCGTCCTGCACATATGCCTGCAGTGTGACACACACTGTTCACCCTGTTCATCCTTCTCCTCCTCTCTTCTGCTGCAATCAGCCGTCTAGCCTGCTAAGGACCCCCCGTCTGTGTGGTTCCGTGTGTTCACACCAGGATATTCTCCAGCTTGATGTCCCGGTGGCAAATGCCCTGCTCGTGCAGATAGCCCAGGGCGCGCAGCAGTGGCAGCAGCACGCCGATCACTGCGCGGTCCTCTTGCAGTCGGTGGCCGGGAACACCCTGGGAGGGGGGGATGGAGGCAGTTGGGGAGGGGTGGGGAAGGGAGGCAAGAAGGACAAGAGGAAAACGAAACCACAAGTGAGGGCATGATAGTAAGGAGAGGCAGAGGGGCAGGGAAGGGCAAAGGCAGGGGCAGGGGCCGGAAAGGGAGCGCGGCAGGTGGTGAAGAGAGGGCGGAGAGGAACAGACAAAGGTGAGGAGGGAGGAGGAGGAAAGTGAGCTCAATGAATCAGTGGAAACACTGCGTGTTTGCGTCAGTGCATGTGCGGATGCTTGGTCTGCCGGCCGAGGATCGCATGCGGCCACCGCATGCACAACACCCTCCCCCCACTTGGCTGCACCAGCACATGTGCCTGTATTCGTGTTTGGATGGGTGTGACGTTGCATGCAGGCGGGGTGCGAGCTACCTTGAGCACGTGGTAGAGGTCGCCGCCCTCCGCCACCTCCTCTATCAGCAGCACGTAGGGGCCCTGAGGGGGGAGGGGTGGCAGACCGAAAAGGGTTGGGGGAGAAGAGGATGTCAGGAACTTGGAGTTGGTATCAAGGCACTGGAGAGTCATGCTGGGCTGCTGCTGCTGCTGCCAGCGGAGGCTGAGCAGGGGAAGCGCCGCCGGGCAGCAGCACACCGGTACATGTCTGGTGCTGGGTGCATGTCACAGCTCTGGGGGCCTGTTTGTTGACAACTGCGGTCCGTGCACACAGTTACGCGGTGCATCCCAGCAGTTCACTCAGCCCCCCTCAGTTTACCATCATCACACGACACAATGGAATTTCTTTCCACCGCACCTGTTGGAAGACTGCGTAGAGGTTCAGGATGTTGTCGTGGTCCAACTGGGAGTGAAGGGCGGCCTCACGCCGTACGTGGTTCCTGAGGCGCCAGGCAGCAGCAGCAGCGGCGGCGGGAGCAGGACCAGGTCAGGTAAGGGAGACAGTAGCAGCAGGAGTGCAGCGGCATGGCATTGGCAGCAGCAGCAGCAGCAGCAGGAGCGCAGCGGCAGCCGAACGGAAGCGAAACTGCCCATGTCTGGGACTCCCGGGGGTGAAATTAAAGAGTTTTTTCCCGGGTCGGAAGGTTCATAGGTCGGTAGGTTCACTTAGGAGGCCCCGGTGTGGGTTCATAAGGGGTGCCCATGCACACTGTTCCCGTTGCTTATGAGCATAGCGCTCTTGAACTTTCCTTTGCTCGCCCAACGCCTTATAGTGAAAGGCGTTACGGAGAGCCCGGTAGGCTGCACTTGCAATACTTGTGGACGGCCTCTTTTCGATTAGTCTTGCTACCCAGCTGGTATGACCTTCCCTAACGTCATGTCTCCTTTTGTTGACATCAGTCCCACCGCCCTAGCACCAGCCGCTGACCCCCTGACTCCTTCCCTCATGCTTTGCCCCGCTCAGGCACTTCATTTTGCCTGAACATAACGGTTTAAAACATACAAACAAAAACAAATGCCTGTGCTGGGACATCAGCCTTGTCAGGGTACCCTCAGCACATCTGCCCCGTACACACCGCCTTAACAAAGCCCTACCCATCCACCTCGCCCTTTAGTCCTTCTCCTTAACGCCATCTTATAGGTCATGATATCCCTTATCATCGCCCGGCAGTACACCTCCGTAACCAATTGTAACGTTACATCACCGAAGCCAGCTGAACGGCTATCAAAGCCCCGCGCCCATCGCGCTAACGCCCGACAACGTCCATGAACCGGCTACATAAGTTATAACGCCTTCATACAGAAGCTCCCTCCATCAGACTCTAGCGTCGCGCTTTGACGCCCCTCGCCAAAGCCGTACCTGGCAGGTGATCCCTGCTCCTACCCCGCCTTCGCATCGCCTTCCTTCACCCTTAAAAGGTAAAGCTTTGCTGCTGACATGCGGCTACTTTTCACTGCTAACCTTATGGCTGCTCTCTCCTTAGCTTTTCGTGACGCTTTCTGTGCTTTCCGCGTCAGGCCAGGAGCTGCTTCGGCGAGTACTGGCGGCCACGCGGTCCCTCACCACGTTCCTCGTCAGGGCAGTGAAACTAGCTAATAACTTAACCCCATATGACAACAGTGCAGCAGTGCGAAGGATGACGGAATTGACGGTGAGTAAAGGTGCGCTGTGGGAAACGGGAGACAGCGGCGTCCCTTGTGCAGTGTAGGCTCTTCCTAGCACTCAACTAGCAACCGCACACACGCATGCGTTGACACACCTTGTGCCTTGACGAGGGAGGTATGTGTGGGATATTGTCAGGCGGCCCGCTCTTCGTTAGGATTTTGCTTGGCTTCAGCTATTGGCTTTAGTCCGCACGAAAAAAGGCAAAAAAACGTTCACCCTACCCCGCGTCATCGACATCCTGGTCGTACCAGTCCGGTACGACGACCCACAACCCGGCCACAACTGCCATAACATCCGGTCCTCTACGCTTCTTTCCCTTCTTTACCCATTTCGGTTCAGGTATCGTGTACAGGAGACAGAGCAGAGAGGAAGGGCAACAACACTCGTACGATGACACGATCACCGACCCCACACCACAATGCCCAAAACCGCCGTACCTTGCAAGTTCCGTCATGCGGGTCGTGTCGTACACCTGCACGTAGGAAGGAGCCGTACGTGGCAGAGGGAGGGCCGTTAGGCAGAGTGAGAGGCAGGAGTCAGCAGGAGCCATGCATGGTAAGCTGGGTCTCGAGATTGGGGGGGTGGGGGGTGCAAATGAACAAGCCCTCGTTTAAAGCAACCTTGTGCCCGGTGAGCTAGGCAGGGTGGGGCAGGGGCCATCATGTAAACTGAGCCGCGGAAACGGCGCATGGGTGAGACATGAGCAGTAAGAGTGAGGCCTCCTTCGTACGTGTGAACAGTTTTTCCACAGCCTTCCCAGCCTCTCAACCACTTCAACTGCATTTATGCGGTCCCAGCAGTCTCCCTCTCACCTCCCTTCTCACTTCCCTGCATCCAAACCGCCGCCCAACCTTCATCCTGACTGCCTTACACCCTTCCAAACCCATCAACCACAGAGCGGCCACACCACTACCACTGCCACCACCGCTACCACTATGAGCCGCACCGCCGCCGCCACTCCCAGTGCGCACCTTGACCACCACCAAGCGCATGGAGGTTCGGTCCAGGGCTTTATGCACGGCGCTGTAGTTGCCTGTACGGCAGGGAACGAGGCAACGTTCGTTTCCAGGGGAGAGAGGAAAGCCGGGCGAGGATGACGCGTCATGTGAAGTGAGGCCCAAGTCGCCACAAGGTTGCTTCAAGGTTAGTGACTTGTTGAAGCAGTGACCAGGGAGAACTCGGGATGCCGTCTGGATTGTTAGATACCAGATACCAGGATAGCTAGAACTAAGCAATGGCACCAAAACACCAAGACAATGCTGCTAGAAGAGCAGGGGCGCCAAGTGACAACGGCATACTACCACTGCACTGCACTGCACCCGCTCACACCCTATCCTGCCCCCAAACAAACAAACGCCCAAACTGTTCCGGTAGCACGCACGCACCCTTGTACAGCTTCTTGAGCAGTGTGAAGTCCTCCATGCGCCACTCCTTGCGCCGCATCTCGGCAGGCATCCCGGCGCCGATAGCCATAAGCGATCCCTTCGGGATGACAAAACGCCAGGTCGGGAGGAGTGGAATGTCGACATGTCTCAGTTAGTAAGGCAAAAGACAAGATGCACCGCAGAGCCACACATGCCACCCACAGCAGGGGTCTTTCTTCCTTGAAAGCTGTCAAGTTCTCATCCAGATGGCGAAACCCAACACTAGGCATTCCACACTGTGCATGTTGACGTCGGAAAAGCAAGAGTTGGACTCCACTCACCGCTGGAGAGCTAGGCGGGATCTCCGACTGAGCCCGAATGGCGGTGGCGTCAATGGTGCTGTGCGTCCGCCGTACAGACTGCGCCGTCGACGGAGGCGTCCCCGCCCCGCCCTGCTGCATGACAGCAGCGCCTCCGCCGCCGCCGCCTCCAGCATGGCCTCCAGCTTCGTGCTGCTGCGACTGCTGCTGCATTGCTGTACCTCCTCCGCCTGCGGCTCCTCCGCTGCCGCCGCCGCCACCTGCCCCGGTGCTCCATGCACTGCCCGGTGCACCGTGGCTGATGCGGCCGCCGCCGGCGGATACGAGGCTGAGGGCGGACATGCCTCTCGTAAGGGTGGGGTGCGAGGGGGGATGCGAGGGCGGCGCCTGGGCCATGCCCGACGTGGAAACCATGGGGCTGGAGCTGGGCGTGTGTGGCGAGGGCGCCACGGCAGGGGCAGCATGCGGATGAGAATGTGCGGCCAGGTGGTGTATGAACTGGGTGGGTTGGGTGGGCTGGAGCGGCAAGGAGATGGAGGGGGGCTGCGGGGGGTGGGGTTGCGTGGGCGGGGTGGGCTGATGGGGAACGCTGTGATAAGGCCCGCGGGGCGTTGCAGCTGGGGAGGAGAGGGAGGCGCGAGTGGCGGGGTCTAGCCGGAGTTGCCCAGAGGACAGGCTCATGAGACCGGCGGCGGCGGGGTTGGCGCTGCCGCCGCTGGCGCTGCCGCTGGCTCGGTTCCTAGGGATGAGGCCGCCGCGTGAAGGCGGCGGCGTTGCCGATGACTGCGGTTCCAGCAGCGCAGCATTGGCGGCGGCGGCGGCGCCGGCAAACGCGCCGTACGCTGACAAGTCCGATGGCCACGTGTTCATGGCGCAGGCGGCGGTGTTGCCGGCGCCGCCGCCGCCGTCGCTGAGGTGGCCTCCGGCGCCGCTGCCGATGCTCAAGTTCCCGCTGTTGCTGTTCCGTACCATGACTCGGCCCGAATCTGGGCCGCATGGCGCCGGCAAGGAGATCTGTCGTACAATGCCGCCTCCGCCGGGCGCCAGCACGTAGACGGTGCCGTCGACTGCCGACGTGGGCAAGGTGGTCTCTGTGTCGGCGCTGACGCTGTTGCGCAGGGCGTTGTCGACGTACTGTCCGCAGCGCCCAGCAGCATTGTTGGCGTTGCTCGGCAGGCTGTGCGCCCCGGGCTCACTGTTGGGCGTGTCCTGGAGGGGAGGAGGGATGGGCGAGGGGCAAGAGGCAAGAGACAAGGATAGGAGTGAGGGGCAAGGCGCAGTACGCGATGTTGGATGGAAGAGAAGGCTAGAAAAGGGAATTGCAAGGTAGCAAGGGAGGTGTACTGATACATGGCTTTTGATACCGGTAGCACAAGGGGATTTGTGGCGCTGTTACGGCTAATGCTGAAAACTCCTTAGACGTAAGACGAAGAGGGAAATGGGGTGTGGGGGTGTGGGCACGTGAATCCTGTGCTTTAACTGTGGAGACAGAACCGCACCGCTGGACGAAGAGCCTGTTGAGGTTTCAATTTCAACTAGGATGCGACATTCTTTTCCTGGCAAACAATTGCGTAAACGGGTATACACCGTTGCAAGGAGAACTTGGCATTGCCTTTATACAATTCCCTTCTTTGAAACCCCCGGACATGTACCCAGAGGTTTCGCATTGCATCATATGCCAAGCCTGGACGAGGAGACGCCCAGTGCCTAACAGTGTAACAGACACCTACACCGCCGATATATAGCATCTTTATTTAATGTCAGTTTTAATAAAGACTTTGCGAATGCCGTTAACAATTTCGGGTTTAGTGGAAACGGACGTCCAACGATATGTTGTTTTCCCCATAGCGACATGGCATCGGCATGCGGAAACCGAGCATTGTTTCATATGTAAATGAGGGCCAGCCCATATTCTCCTGAATAAACATTGTATCCACTTTTCATAATCGGCGAAGTGTCGACGCTCGGGAGGCATCCGCCGTGCCCTCACTTACCGATCCATCAGGAGCGATAGCTCAGCTCCGACGGTTTACCGGCACAAGTTCTTTTTTACTGAACCATAAAACGTAATAATGTACCGTGCCATAAGAGGTGATGGCAAAAAAGGTTGGCCGTACAAAAGGACAGGGGCGGACAGACTGATGTCGCGGCAGTTCTCAAAGAACCAATTCAGCAATTGATTGCAAAACCTTGTATCCTTATGAAAACACGTTGAAAAGGGAATAAGACAGCGTCTGCGACCTGTGACTGTGTTCCTTTCCTCCGAGAGGGCCTGAGAGGGCCTGACGGGCCTACAGCACCGCATACCGGTAATAAGCCCACATGCTCCATTGCATACAACTCGGCCTTAGTGTGCAGCAGGGGCGTTGGGTATTTGATCACCCGCGTGCACGCCTGGCACCCCCCCTCTGCTCCTTTGTTTAAGAATAATAAGTACCGGTAGGAAAGGGAGCGCAGCAGACGCGCAACGCTTAGGGCAACTATCATGCAGCAATCTAAAATGTTTGCACACCTAAAGCGCTTTGGGGCTGAGAAAATGAGACACGGATTTGCGCCTTTCCTTAATGGGCAAACCCCTCCGTTGCAAAGCGCTTAGTAAGGTACAATACCGGTAGCCCAGGGTAGTCGCTGACTTTCTCCATTCTACCCCTATGACACACTCAATCATCATTAGGCTAGATGATTGGGTGCAAAATAGCCTAATCAACTTCAGGCGATCACCGCCGAACACCCCAAACCACCCTTTCACGCCAGCCCCAACCACCTTGCTCTCATACCCAACCACACGTAGCCACCAAGCCGACACTCCCCACTCACTCACCTCGGGCAGCGCTTCGTCCTCCGGCACCATGACCATCCCTGACGTCCGTGTAGGGACCTGGAACGAGTGCGTAGCGGTGAAGCTGGCGCGTGGTGCCGCCGCCCGCTCCAACGCCACACCGCCGGGTCCGGGAATCATACCACTGCTGCTCAAGACCATGGGCCCGCCGGGGGGTTGCGGTGAGGTGGAGGTTGAGGAGTTGAGCGGCGGGAAGGTGGTGGTGGGGCTGAAGGACACGGCACGGCGCAGCGTTAGGCCTCGGACGCTGGCGGAGGCAGCTGCTGGGGACCCCGGTGGCGCCATGGCGGCGGTTGGCGGGGGTTGCAACGGTGGCGTGGGACCGGGGCGGGCTGTGGCCATGGGATTGAGGGGGGTGGAGGTGCCGGGTGGGGTGGTTGGCGGGGGATGTGGATAGGTGGGCGCGATGATGGCGCTAGCGAACCGCCCTCTGGGAACGCTGGATGTGGGGGTGTGAGGGCTTGGGCGGTGGGGGCTTGCAGTGCCGCTGTTGAGCTCCATAGAGGCTGTGCTGCGAAAGCTGCCGGATTTGCTTAGGCTGGGCGTGGGAGCTCCGCTCGGCCCGCTGACGCTCTGATTGAGCCCTTGGCCCTGCGCGCCCAGCAGGCGCCGCAGCTTGCTCCTAATCTTAGAGACGCCAGGGTCTTCTGCCGGACAGTTGCTGGCATCCGGTGGCGCCGGCACCATTGGCTTGTGTCGCGACGTTGGCGAGAGGACGCTAGGCGGCCTACTCGGCGGCCCTGTGTCGGGTGTAGAAGGGTCAATAAATGCAGGTTGTGAGGTTGAGCTGTCGTGGCCGACCAGCGGGCGCAGCTTGACGTGCGCCATGGCAAAAAGCGTAGGACCTCCGGCGCCCGTTTCTGCCTGCGCCAAGCGCGTATCTGCATTGCAAAAGGCAGCAGATATAAACTGAAAATGACCATCATAGCTTGGGCATGGTTTTTCCTATCTCAGCCTTTATGCCGACAAAGAGGATGTACCCTAGACCGCAATCGTTGTGAGCATGGACTTATCCTCAAGAGACCCTATGTTAATCGGAAGCTACGGATAGCCAACGATTTATCCGCAAACCTGCCTCGCTGGTAGATGCGAGGGTTCTTGGACTTGCAAGCCAAGCTCCTATCCTTGAGGGATGTTCCTCTGCATATACACTAATACGTTAGAACTCAATAGCCAGTCTCGAAGGCGTCCCCAGTCACCCAGGCCACTCACTGGGAGCCAGGTAACGTTCGCAGCCCCTCAAAGCATTAGGATGAATAACCCAAGGACATGCATAGCTTATTGTTTGTTTCTATTATCCTACACATGAGATTGGCTAGATTGGCTGGGTGCTCCCAAACTACTAAGCGGGCAGTACGAAGACAATACTGAAACGTGTTCTTAGATCAGAGCGCCTGGGGCACACATTCACTTTTTGTCTTTTTACAACATACCCTACTGACGTCCAGACCCTGACATCCAGTCGGTGCTTTTCCTTTGTTTCTTCCTGTATCGCGTCTAACTGAGCTAAGGGCAGCCTTTAACCCAAAATGAAGCAGTTCATTGGTACCTACCTGTCAAACCGCGGTCGATATCGCTTGGGGAATAGCTGGAATATTGCCGTACACGCTTTCTCAAGCTTTGCCTCTACCTGCTGCTCCTAGACATGTCAAAGTTATATATTATGTAAGTCTAGATTCCAAGCCCGCAAATGAAGGGTCGCGAGATCATTACTGGAAACGTGCCCGTACAAACTCTCCATATATCTGCATCATATATCTAGCTAGTTGATTAGGTCACATTCAGCATACCTCATAAGGTTTGTGTATGCATTGGTAGGACGTAAGGAGGTACATACCTCATACCCAGCCTACAGAGGTAGCCTAGGTAGCGTACCAACCCAGAGACACGCGGCTACTGCAAACACGATGCCCTGTGGTATCTTAGCGTAACTAAGGAGTGCGGCTCGGTTTGGCGAGTTCGCTGTTTGCTGGGCCCGATGACGACAGCTAGTAATCTCGACGCTGGAAAGAGCGTGCACCTCCTAACGAGAGCAGTGTTATGATTCTACTTTATTCATTCGGAACTATTGCAGTTGCCCAAACGCGTTCTGCCACCCCCCGCCCACCGCTGGCGTGCTGGCACCTTGGCTGGCACTTCTCTATGGTTTCCAAGGCCCGGCTCACACCCAGCTCTAGTTGTCCCCTTTACAAAGATATGACACGCTAATGTGCACACGTGCGGTTACCCTCAAGGCGTCAAAACGAATCCAGATTTTTTCCACTAGCCTTGCAGACCGCACATCAACGAAATACTTTCTTGCGCATGTTACACCGGAGAAGCTGACGGTGACGGCCTGACGGGGATCCGGAAGAACGGCGACGGGGATCCGTACAGTTAAGCCGTCCCGCTGGCTTGTAGGGGCGAGGCGGAGAACGCAGTCATACTTGCTTCGCCATCTGCCTGCCCGTACCTCCTTATGCCCCGTAAATCAGCGTTCATGCTTTCCTGATTCGCAGCATGCACTTCCACGCAGCTGCACTGCCGTCCACAAACCCATCACCACTGCCCCTACGATCCCCTCCACTCCCTCCCTGTCTTCATGCCCCGTCCTAGGCACCCATCCTCTCTACCGCCACTCTTCCGACGGCGACCATGCCCCTGCAGATCCCGACTGCCCTCTCCCCTCCTCGCCAGTCTCTCCTGGCGTCCTTGTTGTGTAGTCCTGCCACCCTTCCGCAGCGCCCGTTGCCGATGCAGCTTCCCCATCCACTCCCTCCACCGCTGGCTCCGTCGTCACATCGTACGTGTAGTACGAGGCTTCTTCCGCCGCCGCCGACTCGGCTCGCCGCTGACGCTCAACCGCCAAGCTAACCGACAAAAAAAGGTCTCGATTGAGGAAGGGGTAGTCACACAGCCACACGCCGGCTTGCGGCAGGTAGACCTCCCGTACAACCTGTGTGCCGTACAAGCCGTGCCGTAAAACGGATTCCAGATATATTCAAAAAGTGAGGTGATGAAACAGCTTGGCGCGTAACGAGTGCCGATTTTGTCTTGAATTGCGAGGATGATGGCGGCATGCATGCATGTGAGCCACTTTGCGCTATTGCTGAATCGGAGCCGGTTGTCAGGATAACTACAGCACCCCAACTCCAACGGAAAGGTGAGGATTGGAGTAGCCTTGTCCCATTTTGGGTGCTGCTGACGCACCTTGAAGGATACAAAACGGTCGTCTCGACACAGCACCAACAGCTCCGCGGCGTCACCCGGCTGGATGGTTTCGGCTCTGCCGTACAAGTGGCACGTACGACATGCACGGCGTGGGAGATTAGGAAATGGAATTGGTCAATCGGTTGGTTGGCCCCGGGATGTCAGTCTGGATTGTAACTGTTTATGGGTCTCATGATGGTGTATGGCATGGGAGGAGCCGAACGCCGAGTAATGGAAATGGCTACCTATGAGCTGTGACACGCTGGCAACTAGTGGGAGTAATGCCCAAGACAAACGCCTTCCCTGTCTTTCCCATCACTAACTATGCTTATAAATACATGTTAAGCATGCGTTTGTAAGCGCTTTATCATGTGTTGGTACCTGGGCTGGTACGGAAGCTCAAGCGTGGCTCTCGCCCCGTTGACCCATGGGTCGCCCACCAGCAGGGTTACGGAGGGCGGCTGCTGCTGCCCTATCAGCAACCCGCCCAGCCCAAAGCCGTTAACACGAACATCAAGCACCTGGGTAATTGAGAGGCAAAGGGTGTTGCATGCGTTATATGTAACAACCATCTTACCAGCGTGCAAGGACGCGGCTAACGTGCATACCCACGTGCTAATCGACAGGACCACAAGCGGCGGCGACACACAGACCCATACGGAATCGGAGGAACAAAATCACTGGTTTGCGGAGCAAGGCATCCAGGGGCAGCCAGCACACCTCCTCACCTCCTCAGCACCCAGCCGCCACACCCGCCTCACCTGCGCCCTCCACAGCCCCACGCATGCAAAGCTCTTGGAGTAAAGGTCCAGGTTGCGCAGTCCGGCGCGGATCCAGGGGCTCCAGATGGGGTACAGCAGCGCAGGTCCCGCCAGCACCGCTGCCTTGGACAGCACCAGCGAGGCAGTCAGCGCGCCCAGGTACTGCACGATGCGCCTGACGGGCGGTTAGTTTACAGAAAAAGTGGGTTGTTGCAGGGGGGGGGTAGGAAACGCGAGGACAGACCCCATGATTCAAAGTTAAAGAGCTTATTGAGAGCATTCCAAATCTGCTTTCAGAATTTTAATTGGGGTTGTACGGAAAAAGTTATCTGCGCCCAAAGGTGACTGTACGGCAGGGTGGGTGGGTGGGGTCTGGGGGTCCAGTGGTTTTTTTCCGAGGGCTTCCTAACTTTTTCCTGGCGTTGCCAAACTCACTATGAAGTACATTTATACGATAAACATACTGTAAGCAGTCTATAAACGCATTTTCGCCTCTTCCTGATATTGTTTGGGCATGGTATGATGACATTACCACGCATGGGTGGTCAGAGAGATACCAAAACACGTATGGGTCGGTGGGGGGCAGGCAGGGTGCGGGTCCGGGTGCCTCCACTTAGGGGGGAATCACCCGCAGGTGGTCTGCCCAGCCAAGCAGAAGGGGCCCGGGAAGTTAACCATGTGACACGGCTCCCCTACGTGCTGCATCTCTGGGGTGGGGTTGAGGGGAGTAGAACGGGGCAGGTCTCTCGGCAGCAGCTGCGTCACCTGTGCCAGCCGCTGCACGTTGTTTGAGCCCTGCTAATCCTTGCTGGTAATTGCTGGTCTTGACGCACTAGTGCGTGTGTATGAGGCTAGTGTACAACGGTGCACCCGTTGCTGTCTATAGGGTTGGATGGCGTGACCATGGCATGGTGCGACCATGGCATGACTTAGTAGGTGCAAAAGCTCAACAAGTTGTATATACAGAAAGAGAACACTGAAAGGAATCCATTGGTCTTTTTTGCGTCTTTTTTGGCGCACGGCTATATGAGAAAATAGCGTTCGAAGTTCTGTAGGGTGGGTGGGTGGGTCCGGGAGGGGTCGCCACCAAAAATTCATCATGGGGTTTACCAAAAAAAAATGTACCCCCCCCCTGGTTGTTGTTAAAGTTATTTAACCAGTGCACTGGACGGCTACGGAGGTCGGCGGAGGCCCGGGACAGTGGACGTGGTATGCGCTGCTACGGTAGTACAGGGCTGTGGTTTCCATACCACTACACACCACTAAAGCAGCAGCCGCAGCAGCAGGAGGGGGCGACGCAGCACCCGACGGCCACCCCAATGCCATACTGCCGTACACCGCGAACTGTCGTACACCGAAATGACCCGCTACTTACTCCTGCACGCTCCTAGGCTGGAAGAACTCCACCTGGCCCGAGGTGGGCGCCAGCGGCAGGATGCCCGACTGTGGGAGGGATGCGAGGAGGAAAAAGGTCGAGCCCGGGAGTCGAGGCCAGAGCAGGAAGAAGACTAAGCAAGGGAGGATAACATGCGCGCACTGTTTTGTGTGCTCATGACACACTCATGCCCGGGGATGCAGGACACAGCAGGTGCGAATACACTTTCAGCACTTCAGTGCCTGGCGGCAACACGACAGGAAGACATTGCGCAGGAGGATAAATCACCGGTACCGAACTACACCTGGCCAGCGTCAGGTTGCAACAGGTTGCAAGGTGACTCTCAACATGTGCCGTACGGCACATAGCTGCCGCACACCCAGGCCCCCTAATGCGCGCAGGGCTACACACTCACGACGTCGCGTCCGGATAGAAGCACCACATCCGAGGGCGGAACTTCAGTAGAGAAGCCAGAGCCCGGAGAATTAGACGAAGACGACCCAAACGCGCCCCCCCGCTGCTGCTGCTGCTGCTGCGGTCCGCGTCCTGAGCTGCTACTCGCTCCGCCGCCTGATCCCGCCCGCCTCCGTGCACCCTCGCCTCCTCTCCCGGACCCTCCCCCGCCGTCGTACTCAACGTCCTGTGCAAAGCGAGCATCTGCCCAACCGTCAGGTGGGCTGCCGTACGCCGACCAACCGTTGGGAACCCCCGTCCCGTCTGGCTCCTGCCCCGTCCCCCCAGCAGCAGCGCCTTCCGAGGGCCGAGGCCAGGCTTTGCTGGAGTCCGCAGCGCCGTTGTGGTGCCTTCCGCTACTGCTGCTGCTAGCAGGGTTGCTACCGGCGCTGCCGCTGCTTCCATCCCAGCCAGTGCTGCTGCCGAAGCCACCGCCGAGGGAATCCCGGGGAGCTGAGGAAGCATAGTACGCGCCGCTTTGTGGGTCGTACGAGGCGGAGGCTGCTGTAGCCGTGTCATCGTCCTCATCCCAGCCCGTGGATCCAGCTGCGGCAAAGCCGCCCCAATCTGTCAGTGGGTCGGGCTCACCCCAATCCGCATCCGTGTGCGGTGGCTTGGGATCCCCGCCTTGCTGTTCTGTCCGGTCCCGCTGCCCTCGCCGCTGCCGCAGGTGCTGCTGCTGCCTCCCAGTCACCGTAGCGGACACCGATGCAGCAGAGGCTGCTGCAGGTGAGGGCGACAGTGACGCCGGATATGACGGCGTCTGAGCACCGTTTGTAGCAGGCTGGCGGCCGGTGTTGCTGTCCGTGGGATAGTTGTTGCTCCCGTATTCCTCGTAGCCGCCGTAGCCTGAACTGGAATGAGGCGCAGTGGCACCCCGGGAGTCCTCTGCAGCTGATGGATGCTGATGCTGCCCTTGTGGGTCGGGCAGCCATGAGTATGGGTCATCATAAGGGCCCGTGGCGACGCCTGGAGACTGATTATCGGCATCCCATGACGAGGGCTGTGCGTCTGCAGGACTGCTTGCAGGGTTGTTGTACAACCCGGAGCCGTACTCATCAACGCCAGGCCCAGGACGCTGCAGCCCATTGCCAGGTATACCGTCGAGGTCAGTTGTATCGACGTTGTCGAGGAGTTCGCGGTTCACGCGCCGTCGCGGCGTAGCAGTGACAGTAGGCGACAGACGTCGTCGCGGCTGCAATCCTGCTGCAGACGATATGTGTGGACGCTGAGGAACAAGCAAGACATGCCGCCCAGCTGCTATTGGCGTGCTAGCGATATGCTGGCCATGTCCCAGAAGCAACATGGCTGCTTGCTTGCCAACTCAACGCCAACGGTCAATCATATTCTAAATACAACTAAAGGCAATTTGAGATTGCAAGTGGGCGTGAATTATGTTCCGTTGCTGGGGTTGGGGCAGTTAGAAAGCAAAATTGTTACATGAACGCATCTGGCCGGTCTGCAAGTCATATGTCAATAACCGGAGTATCTTGAAGTGTTGGACTGACAATCCTTTGGTGGGGGAAGTCTGCCGTGAATCCTGCGCACGGCAGAATCGTCTCAAGAAGCTTTCAAGCCTTAGCAAAAAAGCGTGCTTAACATCCTCTCGTGACTACCTTAATATGACGGCCTGCATCGTTGATTGATCATAGCCACCGCGTATTAAAGCGGTAGGTTTGAATATGGCGGCAATTGAACTGCTGCTTGCGCTGCTGTTCGAGGAGCAACTTGACAACGATAGCATACATGACTGTCTCACGGATGAGTCGGGAGAGCACTTGGCAAGTTACCTTGCTGGCAAGGGGCAGTTTGGCATCAATCGTCAACGGCAGACAGCAGCTGCGGAACTGTGGGCGGCAGCTGTATGTTTGGCAAAGCAAGGTTATTTAGAACACAGCAAGGTTATCAAGCAAAGCAAGGTCGGCACTTGGGCGAGACCCCAGTTGCAGGGTGTAAAACAGGTAGGTTCGCCAACCAACCTGATGGTGAGAAGAGTTGCGTGCCTTGGGAAGAGCCATACGCTAGCGCTGGTACCTGGGAGGTATTATACCCACTTCCTCCTCTACGACATGCTGTGTTTCGTCTTACTATTCGAACGATCTTGCGGTTTCCTTCGCCTGCCTGCATACGCGGGGCCGCCTTTTTAACGCAACTTGACTTACCTAGCACCCACGTTTGCCAAGCAAGCATTCACTGTACATTTTCTCCCCGTTTTAGGCTCTTTTCAGCCCACGTCACGTCGCTTGCTCGCCTATCCCACCTGTACCTCCTTTTACCGATGCAAAACCATCATCTTTATCTCCTATCTCCCTCCCTCTTGCAGCCTCAACCCACACCAGGTCCCGCCAGCGGCCCGCCCTGCAGCCCCTCCGCCTTCCCAGCTCTGCCCACCTCGGTACGCCAGCAGCCCGCGACCCCAACCGCCGCGACACCCACCGCAGCCACGCCTACAACCTCATGGGCTGCCGCCGCGGCCGGCCCCGGTTCCGGTGTCACCTCAATTCACGCGCCTTCCCCCGCCTTCGCCACGCCCAGCGCCGCACCCACCCCCAGCGGCGGCGGCGGCGGCAGCGCCCGCCTTAAAGGCGCCTGGGCACAAGGCCCCTTGGGGTCCATGAGCCAAAAGAAGCAGGCGGCCCTAGACGAAAGGATGCGAGGCAAGACGACGCCTCAATCAGTGCCGCCGCCGCTTGCGTCCGGGGTGTGGGCTGCTGGCAGCCCGGCAGCTTCTGTTGGCAGCGCCGGCAGCGCCATGACGGGTGGCGCTGGCGGCGATGGGAGGACGGGCGGACGTAACGGCGGGCGACAGCAGCAGCAGCAGGCGACGACGCCCACTTGGGGAGGTCCGGGACAGGGACAGGGGCAAGGGCACCAGCGGGATGGTGGTGGCGGCGGCAGCTCGGCATGGGGAAATGCACCAGGCCCGCATGCGTACGGAAAAGGAGGAGGCCCGCCGGGCGCATGGGGAGGGGGCAGCAGCGGCCTCTCCGGAGTTGTCTCGCCCGCCACTGGCAACGGAAACCATCAGCACTCGGCGAAGCAGCAGCAGCAGGGTCAGCAGCCGGCGCAGGCAAGCGGTGGCATTAAGCGCATTGTGCCGAAGCCCGTACAGCAGCAGCAGCAACCCGGCTCAGCTCCCGGTGCAACACCTGGTGGGGGTGTCGGGTCTAAGCACGGCCCGCCAGCTGTGGTTGAAGGCGGGTCAGCAGCTGCTGGTCCCAGCGGCAGCAGCCCTGCCATCAGCGGCGGCACCCCGAGCGCATGGGGGCTAACACTGCACACATCCAAGCAGCGGCAGCGCCAACAATACCACCAACAGCAGCAGCAACACCAGCAGCAACCTGTGCCCGGAATGGGCGTGGGCAAGGAGACGCCCTCAGCCCAGGGAGCCGCAGCTGCTGCTGAAGACGGCGGCGAGCCCTCGACGCCCTGCAGCGGGCCTGGCGGGTCCCAGGGCCTGCTCTTCGCCGCTTCGACACCCGCTTCCATAGCCCTTACACCTGCGACGCCGCGCCCGTCGCTGCCTGCACCCATAGCACCCCTCCCACTACCCATCGCTCCTGTAGCAGCACCCAAGCCGGTCCCGGGCGGCGGAGAGCCCGTCACCCCCGTGGAGCAAACCGTACCCGCCGTCAGCGGAAGCCTCAGTCGCCAGGGAAGCGCCGTGTTCGATTCCTCACACCGCATGCCCTTCACCAGCCCACCCTCAGTAACCTCCTACCCGAAAGGGCGACCGCCGACTGCGCCTCCGCCCCAGCCATCACAACCACATCCGCAGCCAGCTGTTGGTCATGCGGGGGCCCAAGGGTCAGCAAGGCCTAAGGAGGACATTGCGGCGGTCGGCGCGGTATCGGCTCGGGAAGACGCCGTGGCCATGTCGGGCAAGGATGCCGGTGCGGCGGGTGCGGGCGACGAGTCAGTCCCCGTGCAGGTCGCCGGAGGCTGCTTGGGCGCTGTTTGGGGAGCGCCGCATGAGCGACTTGCTCGGCTGCACGCATGGGTGCTGTGTGCCGGCCACGTCAGCTGCTTGCAGGTGGGGCCGACCGGGAGGGCTTGGGGAGATGTGCTTGGGAGGGGACCCTGAGAGGCACGGTAAGTGTGAAGGGTGTACGTGTACAGGTGGGGTTTTCCTGGTCCATGGACCTCATACCGTGGTTTTGTGGGCGGCCTTTGCGCGGGTCACCACCAACCGGTTTGCCTCTGCTTGCGGTACAGGATGAGGTCTCGGAGCTGCTATACCTCTTGGCTTGTCCGCCGGAGGCGTTGCTTACTGCAGCGGAGGTTGATGCCGGCGGCAACTGTGCCGGCGCCGCCGCTGCTGCTGCCTCGCGCGCTGCAACGGCCTCCGCTGTTGAGACAGCTGCCGACTCAACTGCGGCGGTATCTCCTGAATGGCCACTTCAGACCGCCGTACAGTACGCCTGTGCGGTGCTGTCCCGCTGCGGAGGGCTGCTATCGGGGCTGGGTCACCGGCTGCTGGCGGCGGTAGCAACGTGCGCCGCAGCCCGTCTGGCGGCGCCGTCGTTGGCGGCGGCAGCAGAGGCGGCGGCGCAACGCCGGGAGCGCAGCTTGGCGCGTACGAGAGCAGTGGACGCGCTTGGAGGTGTGTGGGGCGGATGGTATGGTGAACCAGTATCTATCATTCCTTATCCATTCCCCTTTCTCCTCCCATGTTGCCCTCCTCCATGCCCCCTCCCCATGTCCCTCCCCCCTGTCCCGCTCGCCCCCAGGCCAGCGTCTGCAGCTGGTAGGCCCCATGCTGCAGTCCGGCAACGACATGGCGTCCGGCAAGTCGCGCAGCCAGGAGCAGCAGCGGCGGGTGGGCAACCGGGAGCGATGCAGGGACATGTTCTTTGCGGTGGTGCGCCAGGTGGGTGGGTAAAGAGGAAACGACTAACGAACCGTGCGATAGGCGTCATCTTGGTTTGCAGCATGAGTGGATGGGTGGGCGGCTGGTGAGACCCTAAGGGAGGTTTGGCATATAATGGTATCCATATTGGCGTCCGTACGGGGTGGGGTGGGAGTACGGGCTGGTGAGCAGCCAGGTAGGGGCGGCAATGGTTTTACAGGATGCTGCTGGAGAACAGCTGAAGTGCACGAAGTGTCTGAACCGCATGAAACCAGTGCCCTGATTGCAAGCTAACAAACGTTACTACCATTCATGCGCCCGGCATGTGTCGGCAGGCGGCTCCCCTCATCAATATGAGCCTGGCAGAGGCCGCCGGCCCCTCCACGCCCTCTGCCGGCGGCAGCAGGGGTGGCGGCACGCCGCTTGCTGGCGCTTCCGGGCCCTTTGCGGCCGGCTCCGGGCCCCCAGACCTTCTGATGCCGCTGCGGAGCCAGTGCCTGGACGTGCTGCAGGCGCTGCACCCCGACAACCTGCCCTTCTTTGCGGAGCTGTTCACGGGCTGCGTGTTGCAGGTGTGTGACCCGTGGGTCGGTGGTCCACTGAACCAATTTACGACTAGTGACAGTAGTGAGCAAAGTATGTCAAGACGACGGTGGCAGCGGTCGATGGTGCCAAAGTGTCTTGCCTTGGATGGGATGCGATGCCCAATAGAGATCTATGATTTACAAGCCCTTCATTGTTATCATTCTGTCAAACTTCTGTCCTCCTGCGCAGGCTGCTGCCACGGGCGAGAGTCTCGTGGAGGGCGACCTGGCCAACCTGGCTTGCCGCAACCCCTCCAAGTTCCAGCGCCTCAACCAGCGGATGTCGCAGGTGGGCAGCACAGCGGCTCCCGAGCTGCGGGTACCGTAGCCCCTATCGCACTGTCGTTTCCCCGTCGCCCCATATCCGCACATGGGAGGAGCACCGTGCCGCATGTAGGGCCTCCACATGCGGACTCACTGCCCCAGCCTCGCCCTCTGACCCACCCCTTCACCTGTCAACCATTCACCTGCAGGCGCCGGGTCAGACACCCCAGCACCCGCAGCAGCACACACCGCCGCACCCGTCCCAGCAGCAACCCTTTGCGTCGGGGCGGCCCTCCCGCACCCCCATGGGCGGCTTTGGAGATGGCATGACGACGGGACCAGGAAGCGCTGGAGGCCGGCAGCAAGGTGGCATGGGGGGCACGCCGGGCCCGTACGGCAGCAGCAACCAGGGATTTGGGTCGCGAGGAGCGCTTGGCGGCGGGGTTGGGTACGGCAGTGGCTATGGGGGCTACGGAGGCGGAGGCAGCGGGTACGGTTGCGGAGGTGGTGGTGGTGGTTATGGGGCAGCTGGTGGCGGGGGAGGAAGTTACGGCAGTGGGGGTTATGGTGGAGGCGGTGGCGGGGGAGGGTATGGCCCAGCGCCCGAGGGCGGAAGCCAGCCGCAGCCACGAGACACGTTTGGAGTAGCGGCGCGCTGTGCTACGATGCTGCATCGTCTGTCGTACTTTCCAGCGCCCCAGCGGCCGTACATCTTCTTTTTGGAGGCCACCGACAGTCAATCGCTGCTGGCGGCCGTCTCACGTCACATGGCGGCTACACTCCAGGTAGGAAACGCTGCGACCTGTCGACCGGAGACGACAGCTTGACTTCGTTCTCCGCACTGCATTCTGTGCTGCCCACGCAGTGCATTCCCGCTAGCATATGCAATCCTTGAGCTTTAGTTCTTTGAATCTCAAGTAGTTTGCATCGCTCAGTCTCATCTCATTTTTCCACCTGTGCTCGCGAACTATTGCCCGCCCGCGAAATTGCACCCAACAGACGATGCTCTGTAAGGCATTGGGTGTACCGGCGACGTCAACAGCGAACAACGTGATGCACGTATCTCAACCGCCGGCATCAACTGCCAACGGTGGCGGTACGACAGGCGGGATCGGCCCCGCGTCCGCAGGGGCGCTAGGACCGCTTGGAGACCATGTGGTCGCTGCTGGGACGCTGGCGTCGTACTTGGCCTACCTAAGTGTCGTACATGGATCCGTACGGTACGGCGTCGCCTTGCCGCCATCTTTGGGGTCACGGAGCAGAGGCGACGGTTCGTCTCCCGGCGGAGGACGTGGTGGCGGCATGCTACACCCCTTCCCTACGCCTCAGCTGCAGCCCCCTCGACATCCACCCCTCGACGTTCTGCAGCTGCTGTGCGTTGCGGAAGAGCGCGGAGCGCTATTGCATGTGGTACCCTTTGTAACGCAGTACTTGTACTTTTTGACCATCGGCTCCCGGATTGCAATCGGACTGGGCCCAGATGACGGCTCCGCCGCCGATGGCTCCAGCGGCGTCGCCGACGCCTCGGCGCTACAGCTGCCATACATTTGCGCAGTCACGGCGCGGCTTCGACGGCTGCTGGCCGCCCGCGCGTTGCAACCGCACCAGCCGGCGTTTGGTACGGCAGCCCTGTGCCTTCGTAGCGCGACGGAGGAGGCGCTGTCGCATGCCGCCGCCGCGGCGGCGGAGGCGGCAGCGGGTACAGCAGACGCGGGTGCTGCCGCGGCGGCGATAGCCGCCGCCACTGACACGGCGGTATCCAAGGCCGCAACAGCCATGGAGGGCGGCAGATGTGGCTCCCCACCACCCCGCAGCAGCGGCTGGGACTCGGACGGCGTCCTCAGCAACAGCCCTTCTGGCCGGGCTGAGTGGGACACGCGGCTGGCTCGCAGCCTCCAAGACAGCGATGGTCTGGTGGATGGGAGGCTACTCGAGCTGTGTTGCCCGGCCATTGAGGAAGCGTCGCGAGTGCTACAACGAGCCGCTGCAGCCGCAGCGGCAGCGGAGCTACAGCTACAGCAGGCTGGTGGCGGCGGCGCGGCGGGGACACCCGGGGCCCCGGGCTCCAGGGGCGGCACCCCGGTGGCGGAGCCGCGGCCACTCATGCCGCGCAGGATGCCGCCAGCGGCGTTGAAGAGGCTGGGCGGAGGAGCTGGGGGCGGTGGCGGTGCGGGTATGGCGGTAGCCATCCCGGAGAGCGTGGCGGCGGTGAGAAGGGGGGAGGGTCATGAGTGCAGTTGGGAAGCGTCATGAATGGAAGCTTGTGGTGTTTGTTAACTGTGCTGCTGGCTGTATGCACTGTATGTTAGGTCGGTCGTTCATGTTTTGGGCGCGGCAAGCCGTGGTGTATAGTCCTTTCTCTCCAGCTGATTAGGTAGGATTTACCTGCGTGCACCTCACGGTATGGCTTTCCTAGCTCTGATCCAAGCGTTCCATACCTCAACCTTAACCCCGCTTCCCCCACGACGCCTCTTAACCCCGCTTCCCACTGCACGCGCCCAGGTTCTCTCGGCTCCCGGGCCCAGCCCGCTGCAGCAGGCACTGGCGCAGGCGCTGCTGGGGCAGTACAGTACGGGGGAGCACGCCGTACCCATGCGTGACGTGGTGTCGTACGTAACCGGTGTGCTTGCTGTCAATGGGGCGGCAGCAACGTTGGAGCTCATTGTGCCACAGGTGAGCCATTTGGTTGGGTCGTTTTGTGGGAGGGAGGGAGGGAAGGAGAGACCGCAAACATGTCCTGTTGCACTGTAGCTCGTTCCATAATAAAGCGGCATCGGTGGTCGTGGTGCAATCCTGCCGCCCCGCAGGTGGCTGCGGAGCACCTGGCCCGGCTGGCAGATTCGCTGCGGCCTGTGCTGCAGGAGCGCGTGCGGCGCTGGCAGGTGAGAGCAGCGCGTCGGTTCCTGCACTGTTGTCGGGTAGTGCTAAACATGTCGGTCACCTTGGCAGTTAGGATACCGATTGATGGTGTCTTGTAATTTGCAAAGTCGTGCAAGCAGCCTGTGCCCCGTTCAAGTTCCTGCTTTGCCATTCCAATGCCACAGGAGGATGCGGCCACGGCAGCTGCGGCGGCTAACGCCGCGTTGACAGCTGCCTGCGGGGACGGCGCCGACGGCGGCGGCGATAATAGCGTCCCGGTCGAGGCGCCGTCGCCGCATCCGCCGCAGGCTCCTCCACTGCTGCCTTTGTCGGAGGCCAAAGCGGCGGCGGCGACGCTGGCGGAAGGTGCCACGGCTGCCGCCACGGCTGCTAGCCTGGAGATGGCGCTTCCAGCGGTTCGGCGACAGCTGAGGGAGAATGCGCTGCGCTCCCTCCAGGTATGGTGGCTCACGTGGGACGGATATATTGACTCGCCAGGTGTCAGTGTAGGATGACTGGTCCTCGGGGGCTTTCCCCCATGTGCCCTTGCCGTGCCGTGCAACCCCTGAGCCTTACCATGTCCCGCCCTTTGGGCCGTGATTGTATGGCCTCGTGTGGCCAGACGGCACGGCACCGACAGGCATGTGGTTTTCCACAAGTAGTTAGCCTTGGCCACTGTTAGTCTGATGCAACCGTATGTTGCAACCGTGTTTACCCGTGGTCCAGGCACTGCTGCCGGGCACGGTCCCCGAGGAGGCTGTTGCAGCGGCCGCCGCCCTCGCCGCGCAATCCGCCGAGGTAGCATGCCTGCAGCGTCTGGTAGCGCACGTACCAACCGCCGTACGACACCACATGGACGAGCAAGTTAAACATGTCGTACGGGAGATCCTGCGAGACGTGGAGCGTCAGGCGGCGGAGGCACGAGAGCAGCTGGTTGCTGATGGCGGCGACGGTGCCGGCGGCGGCGAGGTGTCTGCTGGAGCGGACGATTCTTCCATGACACCCGCTGCTGCTGCTGCTGCTGCTGCTGTTACCTCGACGGCAGAGGTGGCAAGGCTAGCCGAAGAAGCGCAGCGCGTAGGAGGACGAAGCAGTGGCGCGGATGCTGAACCCAAGGGGAATGCAGGCGCCGAGCGGAGTACAGGGTCAGCTGGTGCGGACGTAGCAGCTGCGGCGCTGACGGCACCGACGGCGGAGGCTGTTGGCTGCTGTGGAGCTGCAGTGGACGGCGTTTTGGCTGCCGCTGCCGGGCCTGAAGCCGCCGAGGGTGGTTCCGGCACACTCTCTGAAGCGAATCCTACCTGCGCCAAGGGAGTTGCCGCGGCAGCGCTTGCTGCGGCGGAGGAGGCGGGCAGCTGCTTGGGTGCAGTCCTGGCGGGACTGGCTCAACAACCCGTCGAGCCATCCCTAGACGACGTTGTGCACAGCATTGCGCAGTGCCTCGGAGAATCCGTGACGCTATGTCTCCTGCCACAGACGGATGCCTCCGCCGCTGCAGCCGCCGCGGAGGCGGAGAGTGCGTCAAGCTCTGCCGCTTCCGCGGCCGCCGCCGCCGCCGCGGAGGCGGCGGCACGGCATCTGTACGACAACGTCCGCAGCGGCGATCTAGATTCCGTTGCGCTGGAGCGGTTGCTCGTACGCGGTCTCCGTGCGGCCCCCGCCGCCGCGGCGCAGGTGGCGGCGGCAACAGCGGCAGTGGCCAGTTCCTCAGTAGCAGTCTGGAGCGCTCGTTCTGCCGCGGTGACGGCGGCGTTGACGGAATCCGATGCCGCCGCCGCATTGGCATTCCTGGCGGAGGTGTCGCTGGCCGTCGTACTTTGCCATGCTGAAGATGCTCCCAACTGGACGGACGCGATCTGGATCCCGCCGCCATTGGTGGATGAACCAGAAGCAACGAACAACGGCGCTGACGCCGCCGCAGCTGCTGCTGCTCAGCCGCCATCCCTGCCGCCGCTGCCGCCGCTGCTTGCAAACCTGTACCACCAGTTGGCTGCGTACGCACGGGATATTGAGAGCTATCGGATGTTGCGGTCGCTGCGTTTGGCACTGCAGCGAGTCACGATGGGACACATGTTGGTGGCCCGGATGCCGGACAGCTGAGGAGGCGGGCGTGCTCTTTGCGGGTTGTTGGCTTGCGGCGGTTAGGTAGGTGGGTAGGCGGTAAGGTAGATGTAGATGTGATGGTGGATCCACTACAAATTTCCTTTTTGGGATTGGACTAGCTGGAAGATGTAACGTGGGTGATGATTGGCCTTGCTGAACAGTGGCGTTGGGTAATTGTTAAGTATTGACATGCGACACCGCGAGCCGGGATGGCAATAAGCGACCCGACTGCGAAACATTGGTAATGCAAGGCAATGTGCGGTGGAGTGTTGGCAAGGGTGCTGCTCTTCGTTCCATGCTCAGCGGTTCTGGTTTTGGAATTGGTCCTTCTCTTACTACAGTCACCTGTTTACATGCTCCCAGGCAGTTATAGGTTTAGTGAATCTTGTCTTTCTCTTCCCATTCATACGATGCAAGCCTAGGCTCCGCAAGGGTTGCACCTAGCCTACGATGTTTGCTGGACGATGAAGCCGGGGGTCAATGATCTCCCAAACGCGTTGCGTGGTTTTGACGTAGGTAGACGTGCTTGCACGAGCGCGGCATGCGGAGACACGCGCCCAGTGCCAGCAGTCAGGTGAGGTGCCAACGCTTGGTCTGCGTGGCACCCATTAGGCGTTTGGTTTGACTTGACTCCGACTTGACAGGTAAGGGTGGGGCGTTCAGCCGTAGGAACCAGTGGAAAGCCCCCTTGACAACCCGGAGTGTAACGAGGCCAGTGGACTTCGACATGAGGGCTTTTGTGGTTAGTTACCTGTACCTGTTACTCCGTAAGAGTTTCCTTGTCGTATTGTTCGAGTAGGACCTTCGTAGCTCTGCCAGGCTCTGCCGTAGGTTAGTCTGCTGTTAGGTTTTATTAGCGAACTTGGTAGGCTCTATAGGAGCGCATGCAGTATGCCGGATACGTCTCGTATCATACCGGTATGCCGGATGCCTCCTTGGCGTCAACGCAATGGGCTCTTGACTGGTACTACAGGCAGCCCTGCACTGCCCCAGCAAGCACTTGTTACGCATGGCTGACTGAGTGCTAAACATGGCTGACGATGCATGCAATGGAAGTGGAAGCCGTGACACCGTTAATGATGCACACACGGCCCCAGCAGCACAAGATTGTATTGCACTCTTTTGCTTTGCGTGTTGAAAGCCCTGCACCAGCCTCAGACCACAATCAAAGTGTCTTCTGGCCTTTCCGCCGCTATGATCCTCCCTTTTATCAGTATACCCCCCTCGTGCTTTTACGACAGTAACATGCTTTTACTAACGTGCATCATTCCTACAGACCCATGGCTGCCATCGCATCAGCCGTTCTGGACCCCAGAACGAGCATGTGCCCCTCCGACATGCGTGCCCCAAACGATCGCCGTACCTGTCAACCGTGCCGTGGGTTCTGCCACAATTGCCACCGCCCACATCGATGAAACCCGCCGTGCATAGGCACGCCATTGGCGTAGTTGCCAGCCTCCAGAGTTTCTAGCACCGCATACGTGGGATACGTCAGGCACATAGGACCCCGGCTATCCAGTTGCACACATTATCCGCGTACACCCGAGTAGGAAAGGGCCTTCCACAAACCTGCTATTTTGTTTGCGGGATAGCCTGCCATTAGGGTGCATAACACCTAGCCTTCCCCTACACTCAGCCACGAAAGGATCATTAATAACTGTAAAGCATGCCCCCTGCCCTCCACCACCACCTCCACCTTGCAAAGCTCAGGATTCGAGCACGTCTCCTCACGCGCCAGCTCGCCGCCCCTACCGAGGATATCGCCCTGAAGCTCGCCTTCTAGTGTCGGTGCATGCGGCTCCCAACAAGAGCAACCGCAACTGCAACCACTCCAACCGAACATGCATCAAAGCTGTTATGGTGTACACATCGCATATTCCTTCACTTCGGCTGTACGCACCCGCCTGGTAGGATCGAGGCGCTTACGGAAGCAGCACAGCAAGGAATACCTAACGCCACCAAATGCGCACAAGGCGCAACCCTATGTCTTGCGGCTTACACCCTCACGCCAGGTGCCTCGCCCAAGGACGGTGTCGCCTGTATAGCTGCTACTCCTCACCACCCACGAGGTCTCCAAATGGATCAGCAGCAGCCTCCGACACCGTCGCCGATGGACCGTCAGCAACGATGTCGCTTGCGCCGTCCTCTTGCAACCGCCTAGCCCCACTAGGTGCCGGCGACGGTGGGCTGGGCGGTGGGCTGGGTGGCGAGGGGGGATGGGGTGGTGACGGCGGCGACGGTGGCGACGGCGGCGCGGGAGGCGCGGGTGGCGGCGGCGGCGGTCGGGTGTCGTACTGCGACAGCCCGCCCTCAAAGTCCACGTACTGGCTCTGCGCGTCGCTGCTGACGGCACCCCAGCTGTCCGCGAGGTTTGCGTACACGTAGTTTTTCTAAGGGGGAGGAGGGAGGAGGTGTACGCGGTGATTAATGGTACTGCGCATATAACAGTTGTACGGCAAAAGTACGGCGGACGTCTTTCTTGGTTGTATGGCGACGAGCGGGAAGAACAGCACGTCTCCTCAGGTGTGTCCCTTCCTACCTCTTTCCCACCTCCCCTATCGATACAAACACAGTGCTTGCCTTCCCTTTCCTTTCCTCCCTCGCCTGCCATTCCAGCATTCCCTTCGGTCCCCCGCTTCCTCCCCCCCTCCGACCTCCCGACCTCCAGAACCCCCCCACCCTCCGTCCTACCAGCGTAATAAACTTGCTTCGCGCCGTGTTGAAGAGCGAGGTGATGGAGTAGGCGTTGAGTCGCTGCACCTGCGGCCCCGTGCGCATGACTGCTTGGTAGCGGTCGGTGCCCAACCAGGCCACATTGACAGCGGTGGAGCAGCTGATCGGAAGGAGGAGGGAGGGAGGGAGGGAGAGAGGGAGGAAGGGGGAAACAGTTGTGGGTTACCGGTACGCGCAATGCTCTCTGTGAATGTTCCCCAGCCTTGAAGCAGTAGCCGGCCCTCCTCCCCTTACCCAGGGCTTTCCGCTTGCCCCCCTGCTCCCTCCTACCCCTACCTCCCCGTTCCGTCCTTCTTCCCCCCTCCCTGCCCCCGCCCACCCCAGCGCCTGCTCACACGTCAAACTGGTCCGAGTCAAAGCTGCACGTGCCGTTGCTGCTGCTGACGGCGCTGCAGCTGCAGTTGGCCAGCGGGGTGGCGCAGGAGTTGACGCCCGCCTCCGTGCTCCACACGCATAGCTGGGAGCGCAGCCCGCCGCACTCGTTGCAGGTCTGGTCGTACCACTGGAGGTACTGCAGGTTGCCGTTCTCTGGGGAACGGAAAGATGGGAAAGGCCGGAAGCGGGAAGAGGGGGTGGGGAGGCCGGAAGGGTGTGTGGGAGGTGCCCGGGTTGGTATTCGTGCCTTAGTGGACGAGCACCCAACCCCCAACCCCAACCCCACGCCAGACACGCTGGTGCGCTGGCAGTGGCCGAAACCTTCCAGGGTCAACCGCTAGCTGCCGACCTCCTCAGTCGAGGAGATTTTTATAGAACTGTATGCAATTTTACAGGGTGTTTGTTTTTTCTACAGTACCCCCTCTGGCACGCTCCTGGCCCGAACCCACCCCCTCCTCGTGTCCTCACCCAGCCTCGGCAGCAGCGCCGCTGACACCACGAAACCCGCGCCGTAGGTTTCGGTTGCGTTTCCGCTCACGATGTAGATGGGAGGAGAGGACACATTGGCCCTGGGCGCGCGGGAAGGCGGGAGGCACGTGGGTGGGTGCGGGCAGGGGGCAGGGGGTTGTGGCTGGGTGTTTTGGGGTCCGTGTACATGGGAGGCTAGCATGCATTTGACGGGTTGACAAGGTGCTGCGTGTGCGGCGGAGGAGGTGACAGGGTTAAGCGGATAGGCGGTTGCTGGATGATGTGAGGAGTGATGTGTCCGGCGGGCGGCTAGGCGGCAAGACGCAGGAGGGCGGCAGAGGGTTTGAACGAGAACTGGAGACTGGAGGTGTCACGCAAGGGGTCCCACCTGAAGGCTACGAGCGCCATGGTGGGGGCGGACGCGTTAACCTGGGGCCGACAGGGGGTAAAAGGGAATGGCTGGGTCAGGACGTGGCATCAACCTAACAGGTAAGGGCGGTCAGCAGGCACGTTTCGATACCAACTGCCATCCATCCAAAGGGCATCCGGGCATCTTGTACCGCCAGTTGCACTTCTCCGCACGGACATTGGGTGTAAGGGTCTTACAGACTCCAAGAAGAGCCGCCCATGCCTTACCATGTTGAAAATAATGTCCGCGTAGGGCATCCTGAGCACTTGCAGACGGTCTACTCGGGTGTTGTAAATTGCAAGTTTTGCACTGTATTTCGAAGTCTGCAGAAATTGTTACAAAGCGTCATGTCCTCCGTTCAATCTAAGGTCGAGGGCGCAGCGTCCTTACCAAAAGCTGTTGAAAAGTAGAATTACACATCCCACCGTAAGTGGCCGTCAGGTTTGCCAATTTTGTGGCATTTATCCCAGGAAGGAGTGCAAGCCCTAACACGAACGGGTCACCCTGTGTAGCCAGCAAGTAACTGTTAGGCAGGTGGATATGACCGAAACTTCCCGAGCTGTCCTACCCTAGCAATTGGCGTCAGCGGGTCACATGGATTGTACTGAATGCCGCTACAGGTAGACAGCGCTGTAACTCCTAAAGCTAGCACCAGAAGCAGCCTCGCCGAAGGGTATGCCATGTTCGCGCCTTCCAAGCACCAGCTTCAACTACAGCCCTTAAAAGGCTTATCTAGCTAACAAGCAGATCATCGAGTCACAATGGAGATGCTGGTACTTAGCAGGTCTTCGTCATACAGTCTTCAGCAAGATGCGCCTATACCGCAATTATCGTTATTAGGTCTAAAACGTAAGGTACTAATGTTACAAAACGGAAAGGTGCATATTGGAAAGCAGCCAGAGCAACCAGTTACGAAGGCTTACTTGGCGACCGTTAGCTCCCAATCCGCCAGCCGGCGTTCAAACGGCACTCAACCTCAAAGCGCGCAAGAGACCTTAGTATCACCTTATTTTGGCAATAGCCAGCACGCGCGTTGAAGCAGCGATCGTCGTCGTGATGACCCACGGGCCCAGCCAGCCCAAAGCACATCCGCCCATGGCATTGCAAGGGAAAGGAGTTGCCATTACCTGACGCGCCATGAGGAAACAGACAGGTGGCTTCGCCTGTGAGGTGAATGACGGTGCTCCCAAACAGTTGTTGGGGCAAAGTGGCTAAAGGTCGGCAAATAGCTCCTCTCATAGAAAGCCCTGCACCTAGCTCCTATGAGTGGCGTTTCAGCTGCAGATAGCATGGCACCCAAGGCATGCCGTGACAATTGTACGAGCAACAGCAAAGCGCGGCTACCAACCTGTGTACCAGAGCAGCCCCACACAAACAGCTAAAGTCCCAATTAAGTCCCAAATAAATAGCAAAGCGTTGAATCAAAGCCATTTCCAGCCTTTTTGGTGCTACTTGTTTTCTTAGGTCCCCCGGGACGGTCTTCACCACTCTAGCACAAGTCCGCAACCCTTTCCCAACCAGCTTCCTACCGTTTATCCCATATAACATGTCAAACCCGCTAGTTGACTTTTACCCGCCCCTGCCCAAGCCTACTGCAGCAAAAAACGAGTCCGCTTTTTCTGCTGCCCGTTTCGATACCGATGGCACCGGGCGGCTCGCCTACAGATCTCCCACGAAGCAAAAGGAAGCTCTGGGTATTCCTGATGCTGGCCTAGACCTGCCTTACTGCTACGACATCGATAAGACCTGGGCGGAGAACCTAGCCAACGGATTGCCGCAGCGCTGCCGCGATCTGCCGCCCGCGGCGCGAGTCTGGGCGCCTGAGGACAAGTGGATCACCTTCCTAGGACATAAGGTTAGTAAATAAATGCTAGCGCAACTGCTTTAGCAGCAGCACGCGAAATGCGGAATGCCGACAGTCCCGTACAGCCGTACGAATGCACATGCTGTAACCGCATACTTACCTACATCCACTGCTCAACCCTTCCACGCCCATACACACACGCTCCATCCTGCCCCCTCCCCTTCCCCCGCCCCCTCCTCCTCCCCCCCGCCAGCTGGCCTCCCCGCTAGGAGTGGCCGCGGGTCCGCTGCTCTCCTCCGACTGGGTGTCGCTGGCCGCCTCCCGCGGCTTCGACTGCCTCACCTACAAGACCATCCGCTCGCAAGCCCACCCGGGCCACGGCCTGCCCAACATCCTGCACCTGCGCACCGAGGAGGAGGAGCAACAGCTGCAGCCCTGCTGCGGACCCGCCTGCCAGGCGCCGCCGCTGCGCGCCCGCTCCCTGCCCACCCGCCGCACCTCCGCCCCGGCTGGCCCCGGCGACCATTCGGATCTCACCGCTGGCAGCAGCAGCAGCAGCAGCAGCGGCAGCGGCGGACGTAGCCACAGCGTTCTTGACATCAGCAGCAATGCTGCCGCCGGCACCGGCAGCGGCAGCAACCCCAGCAGCTCCGGCCGCGACAGCGCTGGGCCGCCGCCGCAGCAGCAGCAGCATGCGGCGACAGGATCGCTGTGCATCAGCAACAGCTTCGGCATGCCCAGCCAGGGCCCGGCGGAGGTGGTGGCTGACGTGGCGGCTGCACGGCGGGGGCTGGCGGGCGGGCAGCTGCTGGTGGTGTCGGTGACGGGTGAGCGGGGGGAGGGGCGGGGCGGGGCAGGGGTGGAGGGCAGGGGTGGGGAGGATGGAGCTGGACCGTTAGAGCTGGCTAGCTACTGGTACCCGACTCCACGCTGCCGTAGTAGCATCATTAATAGGGGCTGCTGGGCGAAGGTGGACGCCAGGCACGCCGCCATCCTCACCACGCAAGACACGCCTTCGCCTACCCGGCTTGCAGCTCTTCCCAAGTCTTCCTCGGCCCTGCCACCCACCGTGTCGCATGTCCCCGCCGCCTTTCCAATGCCGTACACTTGCACGTCTTGCCACCCACCGTGCCCCCGCACGCCCGCCCGCATGCACGCATGCACCCAACCCACCCATGCACGCCCGCCCGCAGGCACCCCCGACCTGCCCGGCACCACCCTGCCTGCCGACCTGGCTGCGGCCGCCCGCACCGCCCTGGCGGGTGGCGCCTCCTGCCTGGAGCTCAACCTGAGCTGCCCCAATGTGGGCGGATCGCATGTGGCGCTGTACCAGGACGTACCCGCGGTGGAGGCCACACTGCAGGAGGTGGTGCAGGTGCGGGGGGGCAGGGTGGGGGGGGGAGGGGTGGTGGTGGTGGTGCGGATGCGGGGGCCGGGGGGCTGGGCGGGGTGCGGCAGCAGCTGAAGCAGGAATCGCCGGTGAAAGGCGGGTGCGGGGGTGGCGTGTTGGGTTTGGGGGAGGATTGGAGGTGGAGGGATGGCTTGGGGTGCTCCCCGTGCGTCACCGCTGCTGATGCGTCGAACCCCTCTCCTTCTCCTCCTCCTCCTCACCTCACCTCCTCCTCTCCTCCCCTCTCCTCCTCCTCCTCCTCCATGTCGCCCCCCTCCCCCCCAGGCGCTCGGCGGCTGCCAGGTGCCGCTGCTAATCAAGGTGGGCGCCTTCGCGGACCAGGACGGACTGCGCAGGATGATGGCGGCGGCGGAGAGGGCGGGGGCGGCGGCAGTGGCAGGTGGGAGGAGGTAGCAGCAAGGGAGCCAACTGTAATGGATCTGCTCCTCCTCCTCCTTGCTCCGCACTCGCCTCCTCCCACCCCTTGACCCGCTCTCACCCCCTCACCCCGCCCTGCCTAATCAGGCATCAACGGCCTCAGCCGCCGAGTGGAGGACGAGGCGGGCGCTCCTGCGCTGGGTCCGCTGCGCCCCACCAGCGGGGTGTGCGGGGACCCGATCCGGGCAGCGGGGCTGGGATTCGTGGAGCAGGCACGGCAGGTGGGTGTGGCGGTTGGGCTCGTCACCCGTGTTGTTTCCTTTTCGGGAACAGTGTAGCAGACATTCATGCAGTTAGGTATACCCAGGTGATGGGGTGGGGTGGGGTTGTGGCACAGGCCCCGCATGTGCCCTCGCATGTATCCTCGATGGAAGTGGGCAATGGTGGGTCTGGGATCGGAAGTACCGTCTGCTGTTGGCTGCTTTGCGACGACCGCGAGCGACGGAGCGAGGTCATACACCTCTTCGACCGTGTTAGCTGTAGTGTGGTGTGATGGGAAATCGGGATTCATGGGGTGTGCTTCCCCGCAGGTGATTGCCTCGGAGAACCTGGGCCTCAGCTTAATCGGCGTGGGCGGTGTGACACAGGTAGGTGGGGGCGTGGGGTGGGGGTGCTGCCAAGGTGCTGCCGCGGGGAGGGATTCGTTTGGCCGCAGCGAAAAGCGCGGCGCAAAGGGCATGGTACCTTTATTCGGGCTCCCACAAACAAGCAACTTATGCGTCTTTGGAGCATCCCGGACGCCGCACGTAGCCCCCTGCATGCATGCCCACGCACCCCGGAATGCGTGTCCATCCCAACACTCCTGCCGTACTTCGCGCCCCTCGCTCCCCTCCCTCATGGCCCACCACGCACCCAACCGCAGGCCGAGCACGTGATGCAGTACCTCCGGTCGGGGGCCAACGTGGTGCAGGTACGGGCCAGTACGGCACCTCCTTGCTGCTGCTGCTGCTGCTGATAGCCACAACGGATTGGCATGCAAACAATATTGACACGCTTGCTTGCATGGACGTTTCTCAATGCAGCGAGGGACCATCGCTGCCTCGTACATTGAGAGGACTAACTGCATGCGCTATGGAACTCTACTGATAGCCACCTCCGATCAAGTCTGCATGCTCATGTCCTAACGGTATCAGACCCACTGGTATCAGACCTCTCCACTCATGTGGGCTAGCCTGCGGACGAGGCCTCACCCTCACCCTCACCCTCACCCTCACCCCCACACTCACCCCCACACTCACTCTCACCGTTGCCCTCTGACCCTCTGACGTCCACGACGTGGCATGCAACCCGCACTACCACACGCCGCCCCGCCGCATCCCTCTGCCTGTCGTCCGGTGCAGCACCCTCCTAGCCTTACTACGTCGGGGCCTTGTTACGACCCTCGAGCTACTCACAACCCTCAGCTCACGGCTCAACCCTCACGGCTCAACCCAACCTCCCTGCTGCTGCAGAGCGCCACTGGCTTCATGTGGCGGACGCACCTGGGTACGGACTTCCAGCGGCTGTGGTCGGACGCGGGCTTCCAGCTGCCCGTAGCTGACGGCAGGGGGGGCAGGGGCTGAGCAAGCGCAGGGGGGGGCAGGGGCAGGCGCTGAGCAGCAGTTGCTGGTGCTTCTGCTGGCAGATAAATAGGTGGTCGTTGAAGGAAGAAAGAGGAAGCAAGGAAACATGCCCACATGCTTATCCTTGAGGAGTTGAGGTGCGGCTTGCAAACGCGCTTACTAGGTTGGTTGCACAAGATGGTGTTGGGTGTTGTCTGTATTGTTGTTCCCCTTTTACCGGTATATCTCTTGGCGCACCGATTCTTGTCCAGGCTAGGTGAAGGAGCGAGGTACGGGTACTTAAATGATGTATCAGTGCAGTCTGGGCACCTGATGACGCAAGAAGTACCTACTGCATGTCTGACTCGCAGTAAAACCTTGCTTGCTGTAGAACCCCTTCATCCTCTCGTGATGTCAACTGCCATCGACCCATGGGTCAGGAGGGCTCAATGACTCGCTTACGCAAGCACAGCTAACGCCACGGGTGCCAGTCCGGCCCGATGGTGTATGTCGCGCCTTGCAGGGTAGCGCACTCCGCAGCTCTCCCGCGCCATGCAGACGTGTTAGCGCCATCATCGACGCCCATGGACACAAAGGCAACGCTAGGGAATGTGTGCGTGACAGACTCTAGGGTTCGAGCCGCATGGGGTGTGTCCCTTCACGGGCTATGCCACCGCGCACAAACGTAAGGGACCCAGGCAGATTGCATG